GTTGGACTGAGCACTTATAATCTACCTGAAGGTACAATCAGATGTCATGGCACCTTTTTGTAGCCGAACGGTAGTATTGCTCGCAAAGTCTGTCATATATTAACCAATAAGATACCTGATAAATCAAATATCATACCACTAAAATAGGTATTTATCTATAAGATTAATATTGATGGCTTCTTATCTCAATTCAAAGCTAGAATCTGTATTAGAGGTGATCTACAACTACCTGATTATCTAGAAACCAGAGTCCTAACTCTAGCTTCTAGAATTACTAGAATAATTCTAGCTCTAATTGCTGCTTTTGATTTAGAAGCAGATCAATTAGATATGGTAAATGCATTCCTGAATAGTCTACTTGATAAAATAGTCTATGTCTCACCACCTCCTGGATATAGGCCTAAATCTAAGGCTTTAAGGCTTAGAAGAGCATTATATGGCCTATAACAATTACCATTTCTATAGTGGAAAGAAATAGAGCAAATCCTAGAAGTACTTCGACTCTATTTTATACCTGAGAATCCCTGCTCATGAATCTGTATACTCCCTTGGGGATGGGTAACGGAGTAGGTATTACATGACCTGGAGGTTCTTCTTCCTATTTTATCTCGGGTAGCCATCATCTGTTCTTCTATCATTGTAGTCTTATCACTTTCTGCCTTGCGCGTTGTTACAGACCCTTGTCTAGTGCACCTTACCAGGGAAAGCGGACGCGCAAGGCAGAAAGTGATAGGACTACAATGACGGAAAGGAATGACGGCTACCCGGAGAAACACATGATGAGATAAGAAGGATCGCCAGGTCACGTGATACCTACTCCATCGCCTACCGAGTATACAGCGGAGTATACGGAACCAAGCACGGTGATTGGATATACCCCCAGACCTACCCTCAAGGGAGTCACCACGGGAGTAGCCAACAGTTGATATATAAGGACACTCATTCATGTACTTAGTTTAGTTCTTCGTGATCAATCAATCTAGTTACTAAGGACCTACATTCAATATTGTTACTTAGGATATACCTTCGGTATCAAGTTAGTATTCGACTCGTTCGCACTTCCTCAACTACTGAGTATACATACTTAGTAGGCCTGGCCTTTTGGACTTGAGCTATCCACGGAATCGCATTGTCCATCGTTCGGATCTTGGATTAGGTCATCTCATCGGCATTATCGTTTATCGTCACGGAATCATATCGGATACATCACTCAGGTTTAGTTCTCGCTACGCAAGTACAGCTAACTACTCACAGAGCTCTTGCCCGAATACCCAGGCGTAACAAAGGTCCCTATATAATTCGAATTTTTTGTGGCCCTATGGCTTCATTTGTAATAATGTGGTTGCTGTGTGAGAAATCGTTCGTCAGGTGATCACCTACGGTAGCCTGCCTGATCAAGTCCGCACTCTGACAATGAGATAATCAATTTATGTAGACTAAATCAAATAGGAAATTATGGCTATATTACTGCTGGGATGAGCAATTCAATACGTATGATCTTTCCCACTAGGTAAAAAGATCCACTATGATCAACTCGATCAATGTTGCGGTTCTATTCCACCACTGTGACGCTCCCGCTCCTTTCTACCTACCTCGCTGTACCGCCCCTTTCACCGCTTTATATGTAGAACTTAGCAGCATCCTGCTCCTGCAACTTAAGGAAATCAATCTTTCTACACCATAATCAGAAGCACCCAACAATCAAAGTTGATTTCCCAGGCGCTGTATATATAGTATCGCAACTTGCCATTGTGGCCTTAAGCCTAAGGCGCCGGTGCCGGTTTCGATGGCAAGAAGCCCGCGCATCTACACAGTTCATACACGGGTCTCCTGGATCACATCTGATCTACACGGCCCGAGTTAGCATTAGGACCACCCCGAGGAATCCGCAGGGCTTCGTGCCTTCTTGGAGTAACATAGGTCACACTAGTGTCTGTTAATATCAATATGTCTCAATTACAAACCATTCAAATCTCCATTATGATTACCAATGACAGTTAGTGTATACTGTACGGTCATCAGACTGAATCACTATCACCTGTAATCACTATAATAGACCATAAATACTGTCAATTTTTCTTCGACCCTCTATAAGAAATTTTACCGGCCAATTTTAATTGGCTAAGAATCAGTGCAGTATACCAATTCTTTAGTAGTCGATAATTTAGCGAAATGCCTAAAGAGCTCCAAGTAATTGGCAAAAACAAGCCAGAATAAGGCAGCAAAATGCAGTACCTTGAGGGTGAGAATCGTGTACTAATGAATAAATAGAATAGATAACTTAGCCACAAGGCAAGCGATGGTCCTATGCTCAAAGAAATGCGTATATATCCATAACCGCAGAGTATAATTACTTCGGTCCCCAACAGCGTCGTACAAACTTCGTACCCTCTTACAAAAATACTAGTCACAGTGCACCGATGGATGTACGAGACCTGGAACAATCCAAATTGGGGTAGATAAATAAGTTACAATCTATTCCATTCATCTAAGTGCCCGAGCGTAGATAAACAGTATGTCCAAAAGAAGTAGTATACCATGGCGCCCAGTATTGCGCCCTTCGTAGGAACAAGTCCACCGGGGTATTTTAGAAAGACAAGGAAAAAAAGGAAAGAAAGGGCAAGTATCATGTCGAAGTTCCCCCTTTGCCCCCTCCGCCCAAGAAGAGTAGTAATGAAACCCCCCTCCCCGGTAAAAGGAAGTTTAGGCTGATTGATTAAAGGTAGGCTTCTCAGGATGGTTCTCTGCCTTAAATTCGGAACTATCGCTGTCGCCACCCTTGGGCTCAGCATCCGCCGCGCCAAAGCCGTACTGAGTGGCAACACGTTCCACATCCTCATCAGAAAGATGTGGCAGCTCCTTGGCAGCACGTACATAGCTCATGTTCTCCAGGTAACCTTTCGCAAAGATGAGGTCAATTTCCTCCAGGGAGCGCCCAGCAGTTTCCGGATAGAAGAAATAGATAACAGGCAGGAAACAGGCGTTAACGCAAGCAAAGAAAAGGTATGTTCCCCAAGAGATATTCGCTATCATAATAGGGGTCACCATAACAATAAGGAAGTTAAACAACCAATTTGTACAGGTTGAGATAGCGTTAGCCTTAGCGCGGGTCTTAATTGGTGAAATCTCCGCTGGGTATAGCCAGGGTAAGGGCAACCAGGTTGCACCGAAGCTTGCAATATAGGTGAATAGACCAACGGCAGCACCCTTGGCAGCTGATGGTTTATTCGGAATCAAGCAAGCAAATGTGATAACCATCGACGTACATTGACCAATGGTACCCCACCAGAAGAGCTTGCGCCGTCCAACCCTCTCAATCAGAAACCAAGACAAAGTAGCAAAGATTGAATAAACAATCATGTTGACACCGCCTAGGATCATAGACATGAATTGAGTCTGCCCAAGAGAGGTCTTAAACAAGACCGGCAAGTAATAAATCACCGCATTACAACCACCAATTTGTTGGAAAAACTGGGATGACGAGCCTAGAAGCATCCGCCGAAAATGCTGCGTCTTGCCGCCAGTGAACACAGCAGACAATGGCGTGCTCTTTCCAGCCTGGCCTGAACTATGGGATAGGTTAGCGTCATTGGCAAATTCCAGCAAATCAATATATGTTCACAAAATATATGAATGGATTGGGAAGAAGCAGCTACATACGCTCTAATGGAGTCAAGAATGATAGTCTTCTGGAGTTGCACATCATGATGGGAGATTTCCTTGCCCATAAGCGCGGCAATGACTGTTTCGCCCTCCTCGTACCGCTCTCGGGTAAAGAGCCATCTGGGAGACTCAGGTAGGACAATGATTCCCACAATGATAAGGAGGCCGAAGACAATCTGGAAAGCTATGGGAAAGCGCCAGGTTAAGTCAGGCGAACCATACGAAGAACCGAAGTCGATCCAATAGGCGATAAGGGTGCCGAAGGCAATAGTGGCACCTTCGATACATATGAGAAGGCCACGGTTAGAAGTTCGGGAGCACTCTGCCTGGTAAGTAGGAATGGTAGATGTATTCATCCCATTTCCTACACCAGTGATAACTCGCCCAATAATAAATTGGGCCAGAGGAACATGGCCAGAGAAAGAAGTCACCTGGATGATGACACCAAGAATCATGATAGAAGCGCCGAGCAGAATAGACATTCGTCGACCTAGCCAATCACCAGCTCCGAGTATGAACACCGCGCCTAAAAGGCAGCCTGGTCTCAAGGTTAATCATGATGTCCTGGTAACCATGAAGAGAACGGTAAATACCTACCAATTTCATAGATGGCAGTGACTGTTCCTTGCATTGTAGAATTATCTTTGGTGGCTGTGAAAACATCATTGAAAGGTGCGGCATCAATGATGCTACTCATAACGCCCTCTGTCACGATAAGTCAACTAGGGCTCACATGATCGATACAGATCCCTAAGAACATACGGTCATAGCCGAACAGCAAAAAACCCATAGTTGAGCAGGCAGTCACAGCCCGCATCAACAGGTTGCCGTTCATTCCAGCGAACGTAGGAGCAGACATGGCGAATTGTCGGCACCCTAGCCGAGAAAAGAAACGAGATGATGTATGGTTGTTGTTTCAAAAGGGCAATAGCTGTTCAAGATCGACCAAATGCCTTTGCCTTTGATGATAAATGAACTGCTCCCAGAGCCTGCTGGAGAACTTGAGCCACTCTCCCCGTCCACAGCCTGACCTTCACCAAGGCCAAGTATCGTATCGTATGGAACTTGTTGAGGAGCTCGGGAGCAAGCTAAGGAAAAGGGCAATAAGAAATAGGTATTTCTTTGGAATGCGAGAAAGGGAGGTAGCCCTCTTATAAACATCCCTATGCACTTGTTAGACTGCATAGGAAAGAAAATGTGGAGTCAAAAAAGAAAAAAAAAGGCCATTAACGGGGTTGAGGCAAGTCACCCATGAGGACGACGACGATGACGATGGCTCCACACTCAATTTCGCCATGAACCAAAGCTTCTAGGAGTATTATATCAAAGCTCCTCTCTCTCACAAGTAATAATAATAATAATAATAATAATAATAATAAATCATTAGCCATAAATAGCAAGGGTGAGAGAGCATGTGTCCCCGAAGTCCGCCTCGGCCAAGAGGCGAGGAGACGGGCAAGCATGCCCCAGAGACAAATGAAGGTGGATATGGGGACTCCAAATCGTGGGTTTATGGTGTGAGGGGAGAGAGCCTGGGGCTAGTGCGGCCATTATCCTTAAATCATTGGCTGAAATTGATGGGCTTATGTCGAGCTAACTAAGCCAAACCTAACGCTGATAAGCTGTATGTGCGTACCATAGTCTACTACTGGTGATAAAAAAGTATTTACTACGACCTCCTCTGTAGTAAGTAGGTTACATTATAGGTACAGGTACTCCGTCGATTATACTTTCTAGGGCTGTGTTTCCATGGTTGAGACAGCCTATTGGACGAAGCCATACTTACCCACTCTAGGAGGATGGTCAGATGGAAAACAAAAAGGCAAATCTCCCTCAATAAAAAACTAAAATTAAAAAGAAAAAGAAAAGAAAAAGAAAAGAAAAAAGTAAAGAAAAACCCCGCCTTGATTTGATCAGGCAGTAGTGTAGTGACATGCTGGGGATTTTAAATATTAAGTTGTAATCTCTTTTTATCTGATGCCTCACCAAATTATGATATCGGTGTCAGGATATTGTCTGCTAGCATTCTTTAGGAAGCTTCAACTCTCCCGGTTTGAACAGTCGGCCTGTGTCCGTGGGTTCACTTTGGTCCCTCCCCCTTCCTTCTCTTTCCTTTCTTCTTTGGCTTGAATCCCCTAACTTCTTGCTGATCTAAGGTTCTTAAGAGTGTTGCACTTAAGTGGAGACCAACAAGGTAGAACGTCTCAAAAGGCATACACAGAACGGTTCGACCCGAGTCGATGATTTTGCCTGTGGTCTACACGGGCTGCTCCTACATTGTCATTGGTTGTTGAAAACTCTGACGGTAACAGGAAGTGGGGTAGTGGAGATTGAAAACTGTTCTTTACTCTAGAATTACTAGTTTAATCCTAGTTAGGGGTCCTCCGGCGTATGAGAAGCAATGTGGCTTAACGAGGCATTAGGCTTGGGTAGTGCTTAGGACTTCTTGACCTATTGCTTGACCTTCTTGGTATTGCTTGTGAATTGCTTGGAAAGTGAGCCGATAGATCTGTCAGCCGAGGCCATCATTCGGATTATTCGAAAGAAAGAAGGAAAACAGCATTCAATTTCTTAATATCAGGATATTTAGGTTCAACTCAATAGATGTCGGCTCTCTTTCCTGACACACTTCCCATCACATTCATGTACTTTGGTTGCTTTTTGGAGTCCGGTTATACTACTGGTTACTTGGTCCGTTCCGGCGATCGGGGAACATTCTGTATTAATATCCAGAATTGATTCAATTTCGGAAATCTCATGATGGCATCAGGGGAATCCCGCGGAGCATGATTTCCACTTACCTGAACTAAGAGGATCTGTGCCACTTACGTAAGGTGGGAGGAGTTGTACGGGGAAATATCAGCCCTCCAGATTCTTGTCCCCGCATACTGACCTTACCCGAACCGGAGGTAGGATTCCGAACGGGTTCTCTCCCGAAAAGTGCCTCTTGTCAAATAATATGTATGCCACATGGGTGTTATCAGGAACAGTCTCTGGATTAAGATTGGATAGATCGCCCTCTGTCGAGGTATCGTTCAACTCCTCCGATTTCAGCTCTACCTGCAACTTCTGTTTTCCCACCGTTTTTCTTTCTTTTCTCTTTCTCACATTTTCTCCTTCAACCTCTGCTACTTCCCAAGCTGTTTCAGTTTTGCTATCAACCCGAAAATTCTTCGAATCCCCCGGCCTTACCGTCTATCGATTTGAACAGACTACTCCCTTTGACCCCACACAACCCCACCATATCTGGTCGTCCACTACTGGTTGGCCAAGCGTAAAGTTGCCCGAATATGGTGTCTGATGCCGAGATTGGCTCTTCCCTGTTATGGAAAGTAATCCATGGGATTCACTCATGTTTTTTGCCAAAAATAAATAGCAAAAATAAAAAAAAAAAAAGAAGAAAAAGAAACTGTTTTCATGTGCCATGGCGATGTTCTCTTGAGTCTTTTTCCTTATTTTTTTCTTGTTCCTAATGATTACCCGCCCAAGTTATGAATGGAATACTACCTATATAAGGGCGCTGCTAACAACTCCTGGTCGGAAGGATTTTAATATCCGAACATGGGATATTTAGATCGTCAATGTATGCCTTTTGGTGGTGACTACCATTACATGTTTCCTGCCATGTGAAATTTCGTCTAACCCAGAAAGACAAACACATTGGTCAATACAGTGCCAATTTTCAAACTGCGTGCTTCTAGTGGCCAAAGCCAGGGCCTCATCTCATATGTTTTCCTTCGGTACGGAGTAGATTTAAGGCACTTGAGAACACCCAAACAAAAGATTTTCCTTCCAACACCTCCAACTGCCACACAGATATAATTATAAAAGAAAAAGCGATGCAGTCTCGCTTTGCACAGATGGGTCGCGAATGGAGCTGCCCTATCCCCGGAAACATTCAATCCCATATCCTACAATACTGCACAGGCAGTATGACTAGCTATACACACGATGTAAAAGTCCACCCAGCTCAAGCCTGCTTCTTCTTCTCTACCGCCGCCCGCCTCCCATCCTCTTGTGAATCCCGCTGCTGGCCAGATACAGTTGAGGGTAATCGAAGCCAGAAGTCGAGTAGAGGAATAAACAGAATACTGTAGGATGGTAGGTAAGCATTACGTTCCGAGTACTGTGCCTGTCCGATTTACTGCTTCTTCTACGTGGAACCCAAACACGAGGCGATAGAGGTCGCTTAACCAAAGTAATTGGCCGCTCTGCACCATTGCTTGGACAGCTCTTGATATATCCACCACGCTTGCCTGGGCCTGCGGATCAGCATGCCGGAACACAGGGTCGAATGCAATAAGTGCTTTGTAGTTTCTTAGTAAGGAAATTTGCCAAGGCAACGGGCCAAATGCATCCGATGAAAGTGACTTGACAAAGGATGGCAGACCCTGTGGTCCGTTGCGCTGGGACCCACTATTCATCGCAGCCTTTGTTACTAGGATCCTGAGACTCGATAGATTTGGATCAGTAGACAAGGTCATTACTGTGTTTGTCGAGGACGTCTTCTCAGAAGAGCTCGTTTGCGCCGATACACTAGATGAATTGGGGTACCATTTTATCTGCGAGCTATATGTCGACCCCTGACCTAGAACAAATATATTCGGAATTGGCCCTTCTTCAGGAGACACGGTAACTGTGTCTTCGAAAATAGTTGTTGGAGTTTCGAGATTCTGTTCCTGTTCAGACAACTTGCTACCAAGATTCGGCTCAGATTGGCTGGTCCGCTTCATAGTTTTTGGGTATACCGCTTGACTTGGCCGCGGTGTTCCACGTTCGGATTTGCGAAAGCTTAGTTGTGTACATCCTTCTCGAAAGATATCACAAAGCTCCCAGCAAGCCTGAACCGCTGAGCCGAGTAATTCCTCGCCTAGACGCCTTCCTTCCTTTTTGCTCTGGCGCATGCTGAATAGCACCTCCGCTAGTGACCAGCACGCACTTAATAAAGAGTCGATTTCAGTTACCCGAGCTCTTTATTTCATAAGACGATGACACAATGTAATATAGAAATCCAATGTTCTGTCCCTGAAGGCGTCAGGCAAGTCTCGGTCGTGTGTGTTATACAAATGATTATTTAGTTCGAAACTGACGCGGAGGACTGAATCCGTTAGCTCGTTCTCGCGAATTCGACCGTCGAACAGAGTTTGACAGAAGTTCCGGCAAAGATAAAGCGTAGGGTTGGTTTGATGCATGTTGTCTTCGTTATGACAGGCATATAATTCCTGACATAGCCGCCAGCATGACTTCCAGGCCTCGTCCATGCCAGCCGCGAAATTGGAGCGTTGACGGTAGATAAAGCTCAGATTGGCCAAAGTATGGCACAGGGACCAGCATTCAGCCAAGGCGACCTTCAAAGCTTTTAGTTCTACCTCTCCATCAGAGAGATAATCCTTAGCCAAGTTGAACGCACCCGGAATCTCATTCACCTCCTGACTGATCCTCTCAGGATCAGTCCCCTCTATTATACCTAATGACATAATATCAGTATTTTCGTCGATCTCATCGAATCCTTGCATTATTTGATCTCGAGGGGTTACTCGCTCCGACCAGTCTTTCGTAACTTCAGTCGTGGTAGTTAACAGCGGTGGAGACGTTGGATTCTCAGAGAACCTCTACAATGTTCTAGTTCATACAACAGTGACATTGAAAGAATTTTAATACCTCTCTATTCTTTTCAGATACAGCAGTTTGCGCGCGATTTCTTGTTCTCTCGAAATTCACGGATGCAACAACACCTGAGCTAGGTGTAAATATTCCATCTGGTGGTTGCTGAGAATACAGTGTCTATATTGGGTACCTCTCAACAAGGTATTTCCCCACGGACACCAGAGGCGCATAGAAACACTCACAAACTCATTGAAACCAGGAGGAGCGTGTATAACAGATTTTGGAGGCTCATAACCCTCTTCCTCGGAGCTTGATCTAAAGGCACTGTGGCTGGTGCTTGCTATCCGTATCTTCTATGGAACGAGGTTAGCTCGTTATTCTAGAGTCTCGCGTTGCTCCCGATACTCCTCGTCAGCTACTTGTCACATACCCCAATATCTGACTGGCTGATACATTCATACTGCGGTGAACGAGTAGTGGTTATAGACGTGATTGCTAGTCTATCCTCATACTCATCAGGGCCGTGAGCTTTAGTAGTACTTCCAGTCTCGATGGACATTGATATCGGAGGAATGAGGTGGGTTGACCCTATATTTGATACAGGTAGGTAGTTATTGGCAGACCTGCACTGATCAGTGCGCCGGCAAGCAATGCATTGGAAACACCCACTTACATCCCGACAAAGCTTGTGTTAAAAAAGGGAGTGATACGCGCCGGGATCCGAAAGCTAAAAGAAAGGGACAAGCGTCTATCATATTGTATTGGTCGGGCTCCGAAGGCTGAAAGAGTGTGATAGTTACACCTCCAACACAACCATGGGCAGGAGTCCTATTGCTGAAGCAGAGTTGCTGGGAATAGCATTTCTACATGGTATAACTAGGACTTACCGACCTTGGAGGGAGAGCCCCGCACGCTATTCTAGGGTGTCTAATCCTTGTCTACTAGCCTAGGCCCCCATGCGCCCTACTCGAAAGCGATATATAACAAGACTGCTTGTACTTCGTGGTAGTGTACGTACTGTATTTATGTCAAAGCACACAGAACACCTAGATGACTTGCTTCACCCATAGTACGTACTCTACAGGAGATAGAATTGGCATATGGATATGATTTGATTACAATGCTTGGAATTGAGGCTAGGACACCTGACGCTACCTTCCATCTACAAACTCGCAAACTCGCGTTGTCAGGTTGCTGCTTAGCGGCTGCTAAATCAACCCAGAACAAAGCATATCTATCCCAGATAACGAAGTGGGTACCGGCAATGGTACAATTGACTATGCAACACAGCTGCCCACACTAATACCACGGAGTAGGATAAGAAATAACTCTTGAGATGGACTATCATTGGCTCAACATAATCCAACGGTCAGATACCCACTGTTCAACCTCTTACAATTTACACATGCAGTCAGCGCGCCGAGTAACGTCAATTTACTCGAACTGGCTGCGCTGCCAAGTTACAACCATAACTGATGCTATACGCTAATTAATATACTTGCGGGAGGATAGATATGTAAAATGAGGTAAATGCCCTTCTTTTGCCTGCTTTAAGCGTTTCCCTACTCAAAAAGCCGACGAATAGAGGAAACGCACGATGTGCTTCAAACTTCAACGACAAAAAGCAACTTTTCCGTAACTCCCGCGCCTTAATGATAGTTGACAAAGGGAAGTCTGTCTGTTAAGCAGATATCCACCCAGATTAGGCGTTAACCAATAATTTAAAAATTGTTAATGCCGAGACTCGACAGCAACTCCCAAGGAATGCCAATAGCATCTCGGAAAGTATGATATGGCTGGTTGGAACGGTAGTATCGAATCTCAACCCGTAATGCCTAAGTCTAGGTATGTTCATCGTTGGCTTATTCCCCACAAGCCGATCGATTTGAGAAATCGAGCATCCATCACCATCTCGGAGTGGTATGTTGTCAGAGAGTAGGTCTAGGGAGGATCGAATGCATTTACATTTGAGATTTTGCACGATCCCTTTCTGTCGGGTTATACCTACAAAGAGAATGGTTTAGTATACTGCCACATCAATTCTGAGATAGCACCTACCGGAGAAGCTTCTCAATTAAATCAACATGAGTCATGATCATTCTACGGCAGCAATACCGCTTGCAACCAAGCTGATCCATAGCATCACTTGAAATCACTGATTAGAAGTCGCGCAAAGACAAACAACGGTAGAATGTGCGTCGCGTACCCATCCGCTATACCCTCATCTAGTAGTTGTAAATAACGTTCCCAGAGGTCCCCAACAACCTAAACGATCTATATATCAGTCGGCGCAAGAGGTGGTGGATAAAGAGCATAGTGCCTACCTTGCCACATGAAAAGCAACGGACAGGGATAATCATTTCTGGTTATCTCGTATTTTGAGCAGTAGTTGGATGGGCTTTGGAATACAGAGTATGCTGGGGGAGGGGGGCAGTTGCTGTATACTATGGCCGAGAATGAGGGTGAAGCGCAATCTCTGCTGGGTTCTATTAGTAGTCGATTCGCCGGAGTAGTTAGGTATTCAAAGGTCAGTAATTATCGAACCTCGTGTTGAGAAGATTCGAACGAAGGGTCCACTTATTACTTCCTAAGGAAGTTGATCTAACCCGAGGCGGACTAGTAAATTGTCTGCCGCTCGATGATTGTTGCGGCAAAAAAAAAAAAAAAAAAAGATTGTACCTATAGAATGCAACTACCAGAATTGGATTATGATTATCTTCCTTTAGACTTCGAGCCATAAGGGTTTTCTGTCCTCCAGTGCTCGCTATTTGCCAATAATGTCAGGTTCCAACCCCCTGGCGAGGTTCTCGAAAAGATCCCGAGCTAGCGATACTGCACAAGATACTATGATTCGCACCGATCGAGAGCAAGTCAAACGACGTCGTACCTCCCGAAGCAAGAACGAGATTAAAAAAAGCTTGGAGACAACTTCGCCCAGAGAAAAAGACGGCCGCTATCAGGCAGCTCAAGTCGCCAATGATCCTCTGCCGCACAGTACCGATCAAGTCAAGAATGGAGTATCTGAAACTTGGTCTTTATCCACAACAGTCGCGGGACAGTTTACCAACATAGATCCAATTCTCACTCGCGATGAAGAGTATGTAACCTTTATTAAACGGTTATTGGTTAGTTTTCTAAGCTCTTGCATAGGTACCTTTTCGTCGGACTTGAGGCAGCCGTGCATATCTATTCTGTTGCAACCTCTTGTCTGGTTCGCACACTACAATTGAAGCCCAACCAAAGCGTCATTGGCTACAGTCTTTCCTCGACCAACCAGGAGCATCTCTACATAATCACCTCCGCTGGTTCTGTTAGCAAGTGGGATTGGCTATCTGGCAAACAAGTCTCACATTGGACCACGGGTCGCAAATTGATCTCTGCTGGCCTTTCTTTTCATGCTCGTGAAGATGGCCCGGTTCTTTCCCTGCTGGCTTTGCGAGAATCCAAGGCTGGGAAAAGGGAGATAGTTGTCACTTACTTAAGTGAGAAAACACTTCACGAAATTGTTATCCTCGAAACAAGCACCCGGCTTGACCAGATAAAGTGTACTTTGGATGGCCGAGCTGTTATTGCATACGGTGGTCAGCATATTTTCATTGGAACTGAATGTCTCAGCCAAGGCAACCTGGAACTCAAGCATTATACCTGGAAAGAGGTGGTATCACCTGTCAGCATTAGTTCTGCTGATATTAGGAATTCTGCGGCATCGCCTCGAGCTGAAGTGCAAAGTTCGGGTAGTAAAGGTGCTACTAGTATTGACCTAGCTCTGGGCAGCTCGGACGGGTCTATTTTGGTTTATCACGACATTCTAGGTCTTGTTGGGCAAGAGGAGCACCATGAAAACGCGAAGACCGGGACTCCTAGACGCCTCCATTGGCATAGGGACGTTGTCAATGTAGTTCGTTGGTCCAGGGATGGTAAGTGTTTACAGCAGTGTGAGCACAAGAGCTAGCTAAAATCTATGCAGGTAACTATATCATCTCAGGAGGTCATGAATCTGTTATGGTATTATGGCAATTGGATACAGGGCGAAAGCAGTTTCTTCCCCACCTTTCCTCTCCAATCTGCAACATAGTGGTCTCTTCGACCGGCAATTCCTATGTCATCAAGTTAGCCGATAATTCTATCATAGTCTTATCAGCGAGGGAGTTGCAACCTTTTGCTACTATAACCGGCTTGCAGTCGTACTCACAAATGAACAAGTCCAAAACACGGATAAATTTATCACGCGTACCAGCTACAGCAATATTGCATCCACAATATCCTGACCGGCTTTTGGTAACCGTGCCGGCCTCTCGTCAAACTACCCATGAAGGCCACCGCCCAGCAAATTCTTGTGTTCTCCAGACATACGATATTCGCTCAAATCATCATATTTCTCGTCAGGCTCTTGCGCGCACTAACGTGACAACTTTGAAAGTTAACCCCGAAGGCTTGCAGATAGTTGCACCAAATGTCACCCATCTAGGTATATCTCAAGATGGGGAGTGGATGACTACGGTTGACGAATGGAGTCCATACCCTCACGATGTTGAGGCTCTTGATTCCAACGGGGTTTGTATTGACAGCATTGGTGCGAACCATCAGGAAATATTCTTGAAGTTCTGGAGATGGAGTAACTCGTCTGGCATGTGGGAACTTGTCACGCGGATCGATGGACCTCATTTTTCGGACAAGGGCTCGGTCCCGATCTTAGATCTTGCATCTCGACCACTCAGCCATGAATTTGCAACAATCGGCAGGGATGCCGTTTTGCGCTTCTGGTGTCCAAGCAGTAGACAGCGCAGTGGCTTGAATATGAATCATGGCGAAGTGCCGCTCAAGAATTGGAAATGTCGGAGTACTATCGACCTAAAAGGATACGTTAACGGCGACAATACCGGGAATTTGAGCGCGGCCTCCATAACCTTCTCGCAAGATGGTTCCGTTCTTGCTGTATGCTTACAATCAATGCATCCTGGAAACTCGGGGCTTACCATCCTTGTTGATGTTCAAAGCTCAATTGTCCATTACACTCGAGTTGGGGTATATCCAGGGGATCCCTGTGTGGCGAGATTCCTAGGGTGCTATCTTATTGTCCTGTCAACGCATTCTATTTCTATCTGGGATACAGTTGATGATATAGTAAGGACAATGGGCTCCGTGCAGGAGGCTGATTGCTCTCTAAGTGATAAAGCACACCGGCTCTTAGCAGTGGATCCCAATACACAAACTTTCGCTATTACCCTGCAACATCCACAGAGCCCTCTCGCTACCAGAAAGGGACACAAGTACTTTGTGCAGGTGTATGATGTGCACTCGGTATCCTTGCTTGGTCAAATGCCTCTGGGGGGATGCCCTGATGCTTTGCTTCCTGATTCACGAGCAGGTGAGTATATTGTCGTGGATGCAGCAGCAAACGTACGAAGACTTGGTAGCATCAATAAGAGCTCCCAGGCTGCTCCATCCCAAGACTGGATCGCCGAAGCCAACTCTGGAATAGCGGAGTTACTCGGAAGCCATGTGCATGGTCACAAAGACCAAAATCCTTCCCAAGTGCTCGTTAATATGGGTGACATGGAGAAACCCCTCTCGCAAAGCAAGAAACTGGCTGGGATTTTTGGTGAATCACCATTTGTTTTGCCTTCTGCTAGTATATTATTCCAGGATGTTGTGCAGGCTCTCACTGCATAGCCATCAATTTTGTTCGAAGTTGAGTTGACTTGAAATACTGCGCGATTTTTACTGGTATTGGCCTAGACTTTGTATGCAAATTCTCATTCATGGCACTCTATTAGCTTCCGAAGGAAGAAAACTGAGAGCGAGTGATTTCTTGTCGAAGGGTAATTACTTCGGTAGGAATGAGGTACTTGTGGCGAAGCTTTATCAAGTCTGAATCATACTATTTACAGCTGCACACTGTATATAGGCTGCCATAAAACGCGGAAGACTCTGCAGCTGGTGGATCCCTAACTTACTGATATATTATTGACATAGGCTTGCTGTGGGCTTCGATAATCCAGTGGTACGTATGTAGATCTTCTGGTATTGACCGGCCGGTAATCTGTAGCCCCTAAGTATGCTAGGCCCTGAATACTCAAGCGGTAAATTATGTGACGGGTTAAAGGATCAGGATATTCACTGGTACCAGGTTAATGGACAAATATCTCATTTTTTTAGACGCAGGCTGAAATTTCTCGTCATACTGCAAAAAGAAATGAGCACTACCATTCAGTTATCAATAGTCCTTGATGGTCATAGGTATGTTGTTGCCTGATGAACTAGAGTTTCATAGGGACGAGCCTAACAGATCTTTACAAGGAATTCTCTTTTCTTTTCTCTTTTTTTTCACTGGTAAACCGACTAGTCGATAATTTCCAAGTCTACTACTATGTTATAATACATATACTAGATTACAAGCAAGAGTTAGCAGATCACCTAGGCTCCTGACTATGTTTCCCTCCCAGCACTGTTGACATTGCAAAGGAACACATCATCGAAGATAGCTTCGATTCTCATTAAGGATAAGACGGCCCCGAAGACCACCCTCGACTGAAGATCAATCGTGAAGGCTGCAAAGATTTCGCCTATGCCTTCCTGGAAGCTGAGACGGCGAACGATCAAAAACGATATACTACAGGCTCTCAAGATGACATGCAAGCCGCCGTTCAGACCTGTTTTAGGCAAAATAGAAACGAGGCCTTTCTCCCTTGCACATGAGTCAAGTACGCATCAAGTTCGTGGTCCTCATCTACGAGAAATGATATTTCATGTCCGTTCTCGTCTTTGTCCATTCCCTCAATCTTCGTAACGAAGACGTCTGGATATCTAGCATTGACTTGCTGGCGTAGTTCAGTAACGGACCGCGTTGTCAGCTTCTCAACCCATGTCTTGGAGTCCCCGTGTAGTGTACTCTGAGGATGAATGCGAAGATAAACAGGTATTTGTGTAGTAGAAGGTTCTAACAAGGGATCCACATATCCGAAGGCATGCCCCGAGTCCCGATGGTTGGTTGTGGCAAACGAGGGGTCATTAGCTGCCTGGAGGAGTGAGGGGTCTATCTGCAAGTCACCTAGGTCACCAGAAGCAGCCGGAGCACTCGCAAGGGCTTGTGAAGCGAGTGTACTGATTCCGTTAGTTATGCCGCTACTGAAGGTGCCCCCAATATGAGAGTTTCCCAAACAAGGGCTGTGGGCTTGAATCCGAGGACAAGAGTGTTTACGGGACGGGTCTCTCTTGGTTTGGTCATCACGAAGTCGCTTCATGACATCGCGGCAAAGAACTTCCAGAGCTTTCAATTTGGTAGAGTGTCCTGGATCTGTTGGGCCAGGAGCTAAAATTCGTTGGAGTAATTCGGAGTCTTGAATCCACTGCTCCTTCAAGTTCCTCCAGTGCTCATCCCCAGCCTCTAGCTTGCTTGTGAAGTGATCTGCTCTTAGTGTGCTGTAGAATGCATTTCGTATCTGACGGCTCTCTTCGGGGTTGATACCAAGTGCATTCTTAGCTTCTGCAATTGTCATTCGCCTCTCCAAGGTTCGCATCCTTTTAGTGACATCTGTGCACACGACATCAAGAGCAAGTGCCTTTGTATCGAGCTGATTTGGATCCTCCCAAAATATATGTTGAAGATGTTGTGATTGTTGGATCAATTTATTTTTAGCTTCTTGCCACTTCTCGGGCCCGGCAATGGTTTTCTTGATGAAACCAGCATCCTCACAAATCCTTTGAAACTGATCTCTAATTTGGCGATACATGGCGCTATCCAAGTCCAAATGCTTCTTACTCTCATCAATAGTCGTCTCAGAAGGAAAACGCGGGGGCCCCGGTGGATCGGCTGGCAGCCCTGCCCATCCTCGAGTACGGCGCCGTCGCTTCCTAGTAGCCCAACGTTCTGCGCTTTCGGCTTTCAATCGTTCTAGCCGCTCTTTGCGTTTCGCTAGGACTTCGGGCGATATGCCAGGTGATGGAGAGGGTGGGCTTACTGTGTCAGTAGGGAGAGTCTCAGTCTCATTGAGCGACCCATCATTTTTGTAAATTTCTTGCTGCAATACAAGCAAGTCGTCATCTCCGGAAAGTTGCGCAGATGCTTGCATATTTGTTTGTGATTTCATCCCATTGGGAACGCGGAGTAACCAGCGATTCTTAGCACGTACCCGCATGAGCTCTCGCTCTTTTATCTCGAAACCTTCTTCATTTAGAATTCGGAGCATGTCCCGCTGGCTAGTATTCCGCTCCCAAAGCTGCTTGACACGTGCAACAAGTTCGACGTTCTTGTGGGCTGGATTTTGCTTGGAAGGAAATCCCCATCGCTTGAATTGTGTTTGAAATGCACGTTTACTAGTTCGGTGGCCGGTTAATTTTAACTTCGATTGCTGTGATGGCAGTCTTAAACATGTATGGGAATGGGCCATTCTCACCTGGGTGCGAACTGGTATACGTTCTTCATATACTCCATAATTTCCTCCAAAGCCTTTTTGTCCTTGATGTACATCTGATAGCAGATGTCCCGCTTTCCGTCCCAATCATACACCATGTTGAGAAATATTCGTGAAGGCGCTCCCTCCAAGTTGGAGGTGCGCCTGTGGGGTAAACCCGACGGCCTTGTGCCTACAATTATGGAAGAATCCGGGGAGAGGTATTGTGTGGAGTTGCTGTATGGAAGACTAAAGGCACCTTTTGTCGCTCTTGTGTACCGTAGTTTCAAGGTAAGTACATACTTTATATGTTGAGCTGTCTGGAATACCGTAGTCAGCCTCGCTGAGCTAGAGGTCGGCGGCACAGATGGTGCACTTTTTAGAGAGAGTCACGTGATATATCAATGAATGAATCTTGCGCAGCCTTAGTCAATTTACCGCATGAGTAAGTCACTTTTCTAAAAATAACGGTTTAGGTCTATCATCTACTGAAAACCAGCCCAATAAAGGAGAGATGTATGGGTGACTATGCCCTATGAAGCGTTATATACATAATTCAATAACAGTCAATGATATCAGCCGAAATTTCTGATCCGTCTCCGCAGCTTGAATATCCTAGTTCGTAGCCACGTTAGGAAAAGCATCCAGGTGCTCTTGGATTGAGATTTCCAGGATCCTGAACTTGGACGTGGTTTCGCAGTAGATGAAATAGGATCAGATGCAGGCGGGAAATTCGGTGTTTCTCCAGGTGGCTCCTTTTCCCAAAGCGGACCTGGTGCTTCCTCGTCCTTCGAAGAAGCTCGCCAATGGTGTTTCTCTTTGCGTTTAATTTCCTTCTCTTCTGCTTTCATCTGCTGCTCCTCAAACCTTCGTGTCTTGGCTGCTTCCTTCTCTTCAAACGCCTGACGCGCAGCTTGCACTGTTGCTGCTCGAGATATAGGATCCGTACTAGTTCTCGTTTTAGATCGAAAGACAAAGTCTAGGGACGACCTTGATATTGGTGAAGTTGTATCTAGCGTACTGCCGTTATCTCGCGAATAACCAAAAGATGAACGACTGGTGATATTGGTCTGGGAAATCCCGGGGAGTATTGTAAATGAGTTACTATGCGTCTGTAACGACAACCGTGGCGTCTGCCCCGAGGGTCTACGCACTGATGACAAGAATGCATTTGAACTTGACCGGCCTAAGAGCTCCCCTTCAGCCGAGTCACCTTTGCCAGAGGCATCGCTGTCAAAGATGGAGGTTTGATACGATTGGCTTAACTGTGGGGTATGGGAGTGAGTTCCCTGGCGCATCTGGTGAATGTTCTGCGAGCCCAGATTGTTCATACTAGGACTAGTTGACGAAGGAAATTGGGAGGTCCCGCTAGTTGATCGGTGGTGAAGGCCAGGAAAGTTCTTCCGACTCATGAAAATAGTATCTGGATCACCCCGATTATCTCCTTTTTCGCAATTTGTAATGCTCCCCAAACCGTGGTGGTGTGGAGAAGCACGCGAGAAGTCAAGGGCTGTTGAGGGGGGTTCACGAGATACCTTGCGTAGCAGAGGCATAATGTACGGTCTGGATTTAGTAAGGCCTTTGGTTCTCTGTGAAAAGTTGTCGATATCTTCGGAAAATGTATTCGAAGCAGGCACACCTGCCAAGCGACGAGAATCTGCCCTCCGTGGTGGTTTGAACAGGAGAAAATCTTGGGAGACCTCGCTTGAAAGAATGCGAAGTTGCTTCTTTATTTCAGACAGGACTGATTTCATAGAAACTTTTGATGAGGAACAAGAACCACTCAGATCGTTATATTGAGCAGACGAATGAGCCAGCACTGGATTATCATTGCACAACGATTTGGAATAGAAACCGCAATCAGATATTTCGAAGGGGATAGGATAGGCATCACACTTGTACTTAGGGGATGGCTCGAAGCTTCCTATTTTATATTGTTGTGTGCTCAGTAGCGGCGAATTTTGGAATTGCTCTTCAAAGCGTGCCATCAGGTTGAGAGGAACGATGCTGCTTAGGTTCTCTCTTATTCTCTCCAGACTACTGGCAGAAGACACAAGTGCTTTAGTGCTGCGTTATGAGACGCATTGTCGCCATGACATCGACCCAGTGATAAAGCCAGCAGAAATTCGGGACAAAGTTGCACACGACAGTGTGCAAAACCCTCTCTATCTCCGTATATAGATGACCTTCTGTAAGGTCATACCAATTTTGGAGGTAATAGCCTGGTGGAGAACGGAATTTTAACCAGGTGTCATAAAATAACCGGTCAGCAACTGGAGGAAAATAGACCAGGAAATGTCGGAACTTGTTGGTTGGCTTGTCAGGTATACAAATAACAATGGCCGTGGATCCTAACCACAGGCATCTCTGATAATTGCAGATAAGGTAACTGAGAACCAGAAGGGTTACCGCACAGCTAAGGACAGTAAAAATAGTCGAGACACCGGCTGCTCGATAGGAGGACGCAGAAGATGACGGCGGTGAAGTTGGAATTTATTGGGGGGCGGAGGGGGCGGAGAGCCACGGGAGGTGTGGTTGGGTTAGGAGGAGGGGAAGGGCCGGCGCGACGGATGCGGAGAGCCGCGGTGAACAATGACAGATAAACATATGTACAGTACACGGCATACGTACTCCTAGTACTTACAAGACTACCGGCTCCTCTGTAAATGAACCACAACGCTGTTCTTACTAATCTCCACCTTTTCCAACTGAATATATGCATACATATTATTTCTCAATTACTACTCAGTACTAAAAAACCATTGTCTATCATGGTGGATCATTGATCAGAATCATCAGATATGTACTCCGTACCCCGTACTTCTGTCAGCCGTTGACTCCGCTGATCCTACCAATGAATATGGGTACTCTCTCCTAATACTAGTAATACTAGGTACCTACTATGTACGCATAACTTAATATAGTTCTCCTAACAGGCACTACTCCTTATGTACGGAGAACTGTGATAAGCTAGCAAATGACTGGATAAAATAAGCCTTCAACATAATTATTCCATATCTAATGGGAGAGAACTCTTGGCGTCACATGGAACCCACCTACCTACTGTACTGTACTTACTGTGTCCGCGGCCTTGTGAGCTAGAACGGACCTTCACTTCTCTTCCCCTTTTCTGTCATTATCTCTCAAGAACAACTAAATTTCGCTACCTACCAACAGAATCGCACCAGTTTGGGAGTACTGGTTCCTTTGAATGGGTGACATCTGGTCGAGTTCAAACCCCCCACAGGACAAGGATATGTAATATACAACATCCCTAATCCTGGTGTCCCTCTTTCTCTCTTGTCTCTTTTGTGGTCGTACTTCTTCCCGAGTGTCGCAAAACGCAAAGTGATGAAGAGGGGACCTAAAAGATCAGCAACCACTTAGGCTTGTTGCCAAGATAGTTCACCTAAGTCGATGAAGGCCGAATCACCCCACACAATCAGTCTATCATCACTATCTATGGGCCATGATAATATAGTAATACTAGTAATAATGCGTAACTACATGGCGGGGCACTTACAGCTCCCACGGGTTTTCTTCTTTCACCGTCGCTTCTGCTAGGGTTACGAAGAGCGCTTCAAGGAAGTTGAGATATAAATATCACCCTCCTGTCTTGGCCCTTAGGTGTAGACGGACACCCTGCGATTCATATTCCTTTCTCTCTAGACCGCTAGCATCCTCGGCCGGTGTCCGAGGAAAATTACCATGTCGACCCCTGTCCAAAAGCTGTGTCTCCTTCTACCGCTTTTACTAGTCTTGTCAGGACAAGCTGATGCATTCGGAGCCGGAAACATTGCTTCAATATCCCGTATCGAGGGTCAGAATTGGCGTCATGGTGACATTGAAGACACACTGTTGACCTTGTTCTTGGCCCGCGTCGCAGGCGGCCGTAAATTTAGCAAGCTCGATGTGCAACGCGTCTATTTTAGAAATTAGCTTCGCGACTACAGTCAGGCTATGTTGATGTTGGCACTTTGAAATATGTAAGCGCTGAAGCCATAGGTATCTTAATCTGGGTGCTAGGGTTCTTGAGTTTCGGGTAAGCTGCTGGAATCCTGTCATGCTAGTGCTATTAACTGAATTTGAATTTCTGCTCTAGTTATAGGACCAGGGAATTCGAGGTGACTACGGAACGCCTAGGATGTTACGAGCCTACAGAGCATATAGATAACCCTCTCGGCTATGCTGAAGGAAAAGGTGCTCGGGACTATGATCGTCGACTCAGGGGTCCAGTTGATGAGGAGCGCGAGTTATCGATTGACCCTAGGACAGGTAAGCTAGGTCACTTAGCAACCTATGCTATCAGCCAAAAAGTGGCCTACTGAACCCTTTCTTGGTATTCACAATTAGGCCTCAAAAACTACATAGCAAGAGAGGACATTGATATTGCTACATCCGCAAGCTTTGTACGGCGCGTCTTCCATCGTTCGGTGCAGCTCGGCCGCCAATATACGAGGTCGCGGAACGAAGAAGATTTGCACGAAGCGCTCCTCCTTCTCGGAACTGGCCTGCATTGTCTAGAGGACTATGCAGCACATTCCAATTATACAGAGCTGAGCCTTATTGAGTTGGGCGAATCCAACGTTTTCCCCCACGTCGGTCGTAATACAAAAGTTGAGCTCCATAGTGCGCAGAACGACATTTACCCCATTGTTACTGGTACTTTCGGCGGGGTGGACTTTTTCCATTCTGTACTGGGGGAGCTATCCGATAAGGTCACACAGTCTGAAGTCCAATCTTTGGACGGCGTCATCGCTGATTCACAGAGTGGCACTCCTTTTGAGGGCTTCATACAGGATCTCCTCAGCAAAATACCCGCTGGATTGATAGGTGACAGTGAAGGCCAGGCGATTAAAATGCGGGAATTCAAGGCACAGTCTGAAAACGCTCGAGAGAATAGCCATAGTGTGTCGCCGCGTGAGCCAGAGGAATGGACACGTCATTTAGATGAAGTGCATCAACAAATCTACCCCGTTGTAGAGTGACATGATGAAATGATAAAGTCGATCAACCGTGCAATTGAGAGGATACCCATTTTACCAGGACTGGTCGAGCAAATTCAAGAACAGATAACTATGTTTGTCTTTTCTGTTCTAGCACCCTACGTTCTCCCCATCATCAAGCAAGTCAAAGTTGAGCTTCAAACAGGTTCCTCTGAAGTTATTCAAAGTAGCAGAGAGCAACAACATATAGTCTTTGATGATGACAATTCATCAAACCCCACTCATTCCATGCTGTCTAAGGACCATTTTGCAAACGTTCTGAATGAACCAGCAGGTCGGATAGCCTCCCAAATTATCAAGTGGGCCGTGCCACAGCTGATGGAATGCTAGGACGATGGAGATATTGATATTATGAGGACCTTGGACAGAATAATCTTAGGCGTTTTCCATCACTCAGCCCTTCGTGAGTACGGAGAAGACGGTGCAGCCGACGTACGCCAGATTATGTTTCGTACTGTGGAAGAATGGTGGCATGCAAAGACCGAGGAAGAGCGGGACTACCTCCGCGAGCAGCTCACTCGTCAAGGCGTATTTGAAGGAAAGAACCATAAAGAAGGAGTGTATGACACCGGCCATGGCTGCGGTAAGCCACTTACGTTATGCAAAGGCAACCATAATATCTCGGATGAACCCAGTGGATCTAGTCCTAGTGGCTTTGGGGGGGGGAGGAGGTTGCAACGGAGGCTGCGGGTGTCAGAGCACTCGAAGGCCTTGTTAGCGGCCTTGTAGGTAGTGTTGGATCTTTACTATTGAAAGATTCCGGGGCACGTTCTTCAATCGGTGCAGCCGGGGAGGATATAAGCCATAGACACGGAACCTTTGAGAATCCTGAGGAGCAACAACACCAATATGGTCAACAGTCACCATATCAGGAAGCATCACTTAGAGAAGATTGGTGTCCTCGAAAAGATAGATATGAGGATGAGGATGAAGGAGAGCTGTGTGAAAACCGTCCCAGCTACAACTTTGAATCTTCAGAGCGTCGAGAAAACCGAAAGCGAGACGATTATAACCAATACACACCTCGGCCTGATATTAGCAGCCAGCCTTTTGTGTGTACGAATCGGAGGACACATATAGACCTGGAAATGACGAGTATAGCGATGGCGATAGGTATCATTACGGCCGCCCTGTACGTGGTGAGTATGGCGGTGAATCTATAGATTCACATGATGACAATGATGGTCATTTCCCCTACAGGGATACAGAAATGCAAAACTATGAAGATGGCAGGCCTTATCAGTAAGTGGACCCTAACCAGGTGCATGTTATTGCGTATTATAACATATTCTGATATTGCTAACCAACTTCAGAGTTTATACCTCTCAATACAATAACACTCAAGGAGGCCACGGTGGGTTTAGAGGCGATGAGTATGACTCGCAAGAGGATGGTGCAGACCATTATAGCAGGAATGATGACTACACCGGACGGCAGTATGAATATGGGCGGCGTTATGATGCAGAATTGGGCGGTTAGGGTAGTGAGAAACCCATATAGAACTTTAATTAGCTCTACTGGTGGAGGACGGTTTGGTAGGGCTTATTTGCTTCCCCCTTCTCTCCTTCATCCGTTTAGATGTAGATTAACTACATATTATGACCGTTACATGGCTGGCTTCTCTTCTGTTCCCCACGCGCCTCTCCCCCCCTTTTCCCAACACAGCTTGTCCTCCATCGCATACAGTTGAATACTATTACCATTTTTTAAGCTCTTCCGGCATTGGCTGTTCAACTCGAACGACTTTGTCGCAGTTCAGCAAGCAAAGTGGGTCAAAGGCTAGTTTTAACTGTGAGGGTTGCTGAGTATCAGCACTCGGAACTTATCACGACATGAGAATTATCTATGGGAGGCATCTGTAGAAACTTACCCGCCGCATCGCATCCACCGTAGACTCCCCCACTTCATGTTCGAGGTAATCACGCTTAATGAGGCCAACACCGTGTTCGCCCGTTACAGTGCCTTCCATTTCTACTGCCCGCTTCACCATTCGATGAACAACAGCTTCCGCAGTTTTCCTCTCATTTTCATTGAACAAAATGATGGCTATTGGCAAGAGTTTTATGAGTATAAGAGCTATAAGTCTCAAAAGGAACCCAGTCTCCTTACCGTGAAAATTTCCATCGCCGACGTGACCACAAATCCCCGCCAACAGCCGGCTTTGGGTCATATCTTCCTTCGTTGCTTCAATGATGTCGGGCAACTTGCTCATGGGTACAGCCACATCAGTCGTCCAAACGTGATCCTCAGGGCCTCGCCTCATAGACATCACGCTCCAGAGAGCTTGTTTTCGGGCACCCCACAATTCTTGCATCTCATCATCACTGCGCGCAAACTCGAACGATCGGCCTGCATTAGAAGAAACGATCTTCTGTACCATACTTACCTGCTCCTTGACACCCATGGGTGTTCCCGTAAACTTGAAGAACAAGGTCGGCGATTCTTTCCATCGCCGGCTAGTTGTTTCACTGTCATTGATACATTTCATTTGCACATCGTCGAGTATTTCGACTCCAGCGACTGGGATGCCATCCTCCACCACACGTGTCACACATTGTGCGGCATTCTGTATTGTCGGAAAACTTGCAACAGCAACGCTCTGGCTCTTGGGTTTAACTGTCAATTTCAGTGTGGCCTCAGTCACAAGCCCAAGGGTTCCTTCACTCCCAATGAAGAGCCTGGTGAGATCGTAGCCGGCACTTGACTTCCGTGGACGCTGTCTTGTTTTGATTATTGTGCCATCCGCAAGAACTACAGTCAGAGAGAGGACCCATTCCCGCATTGTACCGTACCTGTAGGCATTCGTCCCTGAACAGCCAGTGCCTACCATGCCACCTATCATAGCACCAGGGCCAGGGTCAGGCGGGAAAAATAGACCATCTTGCGAGATCCGTTCATTTAGCTCTTCCCACCCAAGAGCAGGCTGCACCACTACATCAAGGTCTTCTTTATGAAGTGCCAAAATGCGATCCATGCGACGGAAGTCGATACACACGCCGCCACGCGTGGGCGCAAAATGCCCCTCCAGACTGGTACCACCTGAGTATGGTGTTACTGGGATTACTCGCCGATGACAAACTTTCATGATTCGAGAAACATCTTCAGTGGTTGATGGATAGAGGATAAGGAACGGCTTCTCGCTTTCCTTCCGAGTGTAAGAGGACCAGTCCGATCCTGAATGCATCTCTAAGTCCCCGTTTTCCGTGGAAACGTTCTCCTTCCCCAATATGTCAACAAAGTCAGCCCATGCAGCCTGGAGATTCGACTGAGAAACATCGTGTTGCAGTGATTCTAATTCGAAGAGGTTCGTCGTTGATGAGGTTGGAAGACTTGGAGGTTTCAAAGATCCTAGGAAATAGGCCCCAGTAGAGAAAAACACCAGTGCTGGCATGAGGAGATCAGCAGAATATACGAGGGCCTTGCAATAAAAATCAAAGGGGCCTTCGGCAGGGGCATACCAAACATCAAGGCTGCATAGCGACCCCCCTGTGACTGGGTCTGAAACTGTGCGTAACGATCCTGCTCGGCGCGCTCACGCTTCAACCGTTGTTGCGTACTCTCATATAGCTGGTTTTTGAAAGACTGTGGTCGTCGGTCGTCGAAGTTCGGAGCAGAGGATCGGTAATGTCTCTGCTGTTGTGTGAGAAGCCGAGGCACGGTTGGATAGTAAATTCTTGATTGCAAAGCACGCAACGTCCCCCTCAATCGAATGACACTGGGATTCACCATGGTGATGACTTGACGGGTGCTGCAAAAACAACCTGCCTCAAGATAATTTCACCACAGCCGACTTCAGTTGTTCTTTCAAATCATAGCTTGTGTATCATCAATGACACAGCGGGTTGATAGGTAGCTTGTCTGGGCTTAGTTTAGGTTTGGGTTACTTATAAAGGAAAGGAAAGGTGGTCTTGGCATCATCCCATTTTCGCCAATCACGTCAACATATACGGTGTAGTTAACTTATATATATATATATATATAATTATATACACGCACGCATACACACGCATTTACATACATATACATTTATACCTACATACTAGTAAATACTACAAGTGGCTAGCAGTATCCAATCATGGGTCTCTCCAAACCTGGTTATTTTTTTAGATATCGAGCGGCTATTAGTACATGGAGACATGGTATAGTCTAAAGAAGGCGAGGGGAGGTGGATTTCTTCTTTTTCCTTTTCTGTCGTTTTCCCGCTTCTTTTTAAGCTACGAAACGGCAGAAGGAACGAAAGCCGGTTAAATCGAAAGGAACCAGCGGTTAATTTCATTGAATCCGCAGAAAGCTGGGGAGTGCCAAGCCAATGATATAAGGCTCACCCCACCAGTCTCAGATGCAGAGAGCAATGATCAAAGCGATCCTAGATAGAGACCCAACTTCCAACCTGCCTTTCTTTTTTTAATTAGCCTATTGACCACATGACCAAAAGGTTTTTTCATCCAATCTGCCCACCTGGTCATATTGCCTAAATAGCTTTATTATAATATAGTAATAATACACGCAAGCTCGTCCCATTCCTCACTTTCTCTCCCTCATTCCCTAGTTCCTTATCTTCCGAGTATTGATTGACCATTTCACTCCACCATCCACTACCATCTAGCCAGAAAGAAAGAGTGGATAAAATGAGCGCTCAATTCAATTCCGCCCAGGTACGTAGGCAAACCATCACTTTCCCTCAGCACCAAATATTCCCGGCAGGAAAGCTGAACTTTCCCAGAACCTGTCCTTTGTTCTTGAAGGAATCCATCAGGTTAAGTTCGAAGACCGACCAATCCCGGAATTGAGAGACCCGCATGAAGTTCTTGTGAATGTCAGGTTTACTGGCATTTGTGGCAGTGATGTATGTGACGATCGTGCTTGATGTGGAAGGGGAAACAGAAAAATCCCAGCTGCTGACATGGTTGAGGTTTGAATGCTACAGGTTCACTACTGGGAACATGGCTCTATTGGTCAATTTATTGTCAAAGACCCTATGGTACTTGGACATGAATCCTCCGGCGTGATCAGTAAGATCGGTTCCGCTGTCACAACGTTGAAGGTGGGAGATCGCGTTGCTATGGAACCGGGTATCCCATGTCGTCGATGTGAGCCCTGCAAAGCCGGGAAGTATAACCTCTGCGAGAAAATGGCTTTTGCCGCCACACCACCTTACGATGGTACACTAGCCAAGTACTATGTTTTGCCCGAGGATTTCTGCTATAAGCTCCCTGAAAGCATCAATCTTCAAGAAGCTGCAGTAATGGAGCCTCTCAGTGTCGCCGTGCACATTGTAAGGCAAGCAAATATCGCTCCAGGACAGTCTGTGGTAATCTTTGGTGCGGGGCCAGTGGGGCTGTTGTGCTGCGCCGTGGCTAGGGCTTTTGGCTCCCCGAAAATAATCGCGGTGGACATTCAGAGAGGAAGGCTGGAGTTTGCGAGGAAATATGCTGCAACAGCAACCTTCGAGCCGAGCAAAGCCCCTGCACTGGAGAACGCAAACCGGATCATCGAGGAAAACAATCTTGGCCTTGGGGCAGATGTTGTTATTGACGCCTCAGGCGCCGAGCCTTCAGTCCACACTGGCATCCACGTCCTCCGTCCCGGTGGCACTTACGTGCAAGGTGGTATGGGCAGGAGTGAAATGACTTTCCCCATTATGGCGACTTGCACGAAAGAATTGAATGTTAAAGGCAGTTTCCGTTACGGCAGCGGAGATTATAAACTTGCGGTTAACCTCGTAGCCTCGGGCAAGGTTAGCGTAAAGGAACTGATCACCGGAGTCGTTAAATTCGAAAATGCAGAGCAAGCATTTAAAGAAGTAAAAGCTGGGAAGGGTATCAAGACACTAATTGCCGGTCCTTAGCTTGAGGCATAAGCTTTGTTTGGCAACTAGAAGTCGTAGTAGGTGGTTAGATCTTTTATACCTAAAACTCTCATATTTTTGTACTTTGGGTTGAAAGGGAACTTGATTAGAGCGAATTTTTATTAAAGGAAAAAAGCACATTGGAAGAGGGTTTGTTTCGGCATCGACTTCTCTTAATCTATTATTAGTATATCGTTCGTTGTGTAAAAGATAAACATCCCACAGTCAATAGCGAGACGATTGAAAAGCTGACATGATTCGGTTGAGACCCTTTAATTCTGCAAATCAACAAGTGTAGCAAGCAATCATTCAATACCGTCAAAGAAAGTCATTAGGGGTATCTTGCTATGCAATCAACGACAGGAGAGTTCCTATTACACGGTGTGCCGTACGGGGGAGAGAGAAGGCACCAGTTGATCGAACTCAAAGGAAGGAGGGCATTTACGGCAACCTGGTAGTCCATAAAAGATGCCAGCATGCCTCATCTACCCAGGGTAGGTAGGCTGAAGAAACGGTACCACAGCCGCAATGAAGGGCAAAGGACAACTGTGGTAAAAAGCAAACGAAAGAGTTTGGAGCTGTGAGACGACTACCCAGGGGCGAGATCCAAAAAAGATCAGCAACACCCTTCACCGTTTTTATTATGTGAGCCACTCAACCGGAAGACATCCTCCCATTCCCTCATACTGCTTGTCCACTTACTTGTGTTTCTTCTAGGGTTTCGATTGTGCAGCTGAACTGCGCTTTCGTCAAACGCTATTCGGCTCCGTACGCTAGAGCCATCACTTGTACCATGGCCGTAAAGACCGCCATCGCCATCGCCATACTGAATACCACTTTGGGGATCGTCAGGGTCAATTTCACCCAATTCGATTTTAGTCAAAATGATCCGGGCCAGCCGGTTAAATAATTCTTCCACACCTTCTCCGGTGAGGGCTGAGATTTCAACGGCGACGGGTATGTTTGATTTAGCAGCCCACCAGGAGGATTCTTCGAAGCCAACTTCACGACCATGGGGAGCATATGTAGCGGTCATGCGTGTCCCAGTCATCAAATGACTAGTAGAGCGAACAGATCCACCCCCTGAATCGAATGCAAATGAAGATCGCTTGCTGGAAGTGCTGGAAGGGGTAGGAGGAGGCCGCGTGCCGTCCTCGATGGTGTCACAATGCAACATGGAGTCACATGTGAGATCCGTTTTATTACCGGCCAGTAACACAGTAAGGTTAGGGGAGGCAAGGGCACGCGCATCCATGAGAAAAGTAGAAAGGGACGCAAATGAGGCATGGGATGATAGGTCGTAGATAAGAATGGCTCCAGCCGCTCCCCGATAATAGGATCTAGAAACAGAGCGGAACCTCTCAGTACCTGCAGTATCCCAAAGTTGTAGCTTTATCCTTGTTCGGCGAGAGCCGGTGCCTAATTTGACGATTCTCGAGGAGAACTCTACGCCGATCGTTTGCGACGATAGCACTCTCCCTATAGGCGCGATATGTATTAGCTGGCTATCCAGCTCGGGAGGGGGGAGGGTCAAGGTATAACATAGGCTCGATCGGGATTTACAGCCGTACATTCGTTCTTCACAAATCGGTGTAGCACACAAGACCTGCAGTTCCCAGAGATCAGTGAGCAAGAAAGCTAGAAAAAGCCCAGAGGGACAAAGGCTCTCAGGAAACTTACTTCCCAGCGCCACTAGGACCAAGAAGAATAACTTTTGCTAGGTAGTCATACATACTCTCCAGCTCCTAGTTGGTATTAGACTGGAGATACTCGCGATGAGAACGCATCGACACGAGCCGAAGGGTACAAAGCATATGCACTGAAGTTGGCTAGTTTGAAGGGACATACCTGATTTCCCTCTGGAAGAGAAGAGGTCGAAGAAGCATTCGAGAAGCTTCTTTTGCGCACCATGATCAATAATAACAGCCATGGGAAGTGCTCTATTATAGGGGGAGCGACAATATGAGATATGCTTGAGGAGGGAGTTACTGCCCACTCCTTTTCGTTCTTTCGAGTTGCGATGCGGGTCAAGTTAGGGAACGGACGCGATGCCGCATTTAGTTACTCCACTGCCAGCTACTCCATTGTAAGGAAGGATGTTTCAAATTCCCCATTAATGTACCCCGCCTGCAGCTACGTATAGATTAGGCTAATGCTAATATGTATTATACAAGGTAAGGTAAATTGCGCTCTCTGCTACTAGTCAATTGTATTTCACCTTTCATGCAATGTTAGATCGGTCAAACGTAACACTCAGTTATGGCGGCCCTGAGTAAGTCGTTAACTTGTATTATTTCATTCGGCGTTCAGTTTTGAGGAATAGAAGAAGAATGTCACGGGGGAGGGGGGAGAGAAAATGCAAACATGAATCAAGCCTTGTACTTTGAGATTCGTAACGTCTCGAATACATAATCTATCCAAATATAAACATATGTGGTGTTAGATAGAGCACAGTAGATGACCAAACAGTAAGGTCTTCCCACTGGGCCCCCCAGATTCTTTCCTCTTCGGGGGGTGTTACCCCCGCCAGCTAGAGCAAATCATGAATATCTATTTCAGTAGGAATAGAAGCAGTCAATGGTGCCTTTCGCGCAGATGGACAATTGTAGTCCATCCTTGACAGCACACCCTGCTCATGTGATGTTCGCACCAGCAGCATCGTACAACAGGGCCAGGAAGCTGCGCCATAGGTCTTAGTGCTGAAGTGCTCTCCTGTCTAGTAGCCGACAATTGCACGGATGGCCCTAACAAAGCACCTGCTGTCGTTTTAGCTGAAGCTTGGTCGTTGGGCATTGATTTTGGGATGAGAGGTATAGGATGGCTGTGACCTGTGTGGGCAGAAGACTTGGTAGGGAAAGCCAATCTTGCATACATCTCAGGCGGCATATCATGCCAGAACTTGCAATGACAGCAGATGACGAACAGCTTCGCAACTAGTTGGTCTTGCTGCAGCTTTTTTGCACTTTCTACAGCTTGTCTTAGCTGGAGAGCTGCTCTGTTAGGGTCCACAGCTTGAGATGCGCGGTGCAGTTCGGAAGACATCTCTTTATTAGAAGAGTTGCTAACACCAGTAGAGGCAGAAAAATTCTCTAAATGCTTAGCCGGGATACATTCTCCCCGCGACTCCGAAACGCTTGATGCAGCTTCATCAGCAGTATTGTATTCCTCAGACTCTGGCTCATGGGACGTGCTTGTTGACAAAGAGACAACTGATTGTCCTAATTTGTGATCTAGAACGTTTGTTGGGTCACTCCTCGGCGAGGACATCTCTCGGCTTCTGGGGTCTGGAATCCTTCGATAAGGAGAGATCTCTTTCCTTTCTGAAGTGGTTTGTGCTGTAGATCTTTTACCTAGGCTGGTAGGTCTCGATGGAAGGCTATGTGAGTCATTCGTAAATGCACCATTTGGCGATTCATAATACAGCAGTTTTTCAGGATCCGTTGCATGCTGCACTCCCTGGTCTGAGATATGGGATAAAACAGGAAGCCCCTTTGATCGGGAATTGGGGATTGTTTGACTGAAACAAGGCCTGGATTTGTTTTTTTTCAACCTTGGATCATTGACTAGACGGTTTCGTGGGACCCCCTTGTATTTGTTTGCAACCTCAAAGGGCCCGCTTGAAGCCTGCACGTCTTCGCGGTCGTTTCCACTCGATAGTCGCAATGAAGATACTGAGTACGGTATATTTGTGTTGAGAGGAACAGTGATCTTGGAGGATGCTGAAGGCTCTGTGCGACATATGCCATCAAAGCCTGCGGATTTTAGCTCAGCTGGGACGGCGTCTGGGGACGACAAAGTGGTGCTATTTGTTCGAGGAAAGCCTGAAAGCGGAGACGATGTGAATCCCCTATGGCGTCCCTGAATTTTGCCTGGAGGGTTTCTAATCGGTGCTCTTCTCGGCGTGGCTGTTTGGAAGGCAGTAAGAGAATTTCGAACTTTGGGATAGTTGGTGTTAGAGGGAATGTTAGAAGCCGGTGCTCTTTTCGGGCCAACGGTGCCCAGTTCACAAGAGTTCTCTACTCGAGATGCTGCGTTTTGAGGGGGAGCTGGTTGCGAAAGACGCCCAAGTGGCTGTGTTTTATCGGAAGCCCTCTGTCCAAGGTTCAAGGCAGCTGCAAATGATAAACGGTCTAGCTCTGCTGGTGGATCAGGACCTTGTACATCCGAAATGCTTATAGAAATAGCTTCCTCTGTCGCCTCTTGCCCAAGCTTTCTAGGCCCCGGTCTATGCGAGGTATCTCTCTCATCTTTGTTCAAATCATTACTGCTCCCCGGTCCATTAACAGCTGTCGTGGCTACGTCTGAATTGGAAGGCTTTTGTGGTTGTGAGGATGGTGTATAATTCGGAAGCAGCGGATTGCTTTGGACAGCTAGCTCCTTGGAGATGGCTGTACCAAAGCGTTCAGGCAAGGTCATGGATAATGAAGGAGTAGTAGGTTGAGCCCCAGGACTAGGCTTCGAGATTTCTCCGGGTCCAACTGAGTGATGTCTGGGGGAGACCTTGTCGCCCTCATTGAATGAGCTTGATCGCGATCGCGATCGCGATGAACGCCTTGAGCTTGAGAATATTGACGAAAATCGTTTGGTTGTTCTAGATTCGTCTGCACTTACACTTGACGCTCTACTTGAGCTACCAAAGGGCTGCTTCTTGGCGAGGCGGCGGGGTTCTCGTCTCAATGAACTATAATCCTTGGTCGAATCCGCTTGCTCCAGCTTCATCAACTTCTTCTCGAGCTCTAACCTTTCTGCATCGAGCCGCAATGTAGCTCGTCTTTCCTTTCTCTGCGTGTCATTGCTGGCTCTTGTGGGTGAGACACAGATATCGGATATATTAGAAGTCTCTTCGGGTTTAGAAGATGTATGTAATTCATGGCGAAATATCTCATAAGCTGGCGATATTGGAAGGCTTTCGGATTGCTCTTCACTTATAAGGACAGGTTTAGAGCCCAAAGGTGTGTCAGAGTAAGAAATATGTTTCTTCGTGTGAACGTGAGATGGCTCGGTGTTCACATTGTGGGAACTTGGATGTGCCTGTGCCCTTTGTGCGGATTTCCGTTGCTGGGGCGTAGGTGTGGAACCCGCATCAGACAGGACCTGCGAGCCTGTGCAGTGCCTCTGTTTCAAAGAATCAATGATTGTATCTTGTGGTTTGCTAAAGAATATGATAGAACGTGCGAAAGAAGAATCATTGAGATTTCCTTACATTTCCAGGGCCATCAATACGCAATATGCGTTGCAGGTGCTGTGTAAGTGATGACCTACGTGGTCTTGTGCTCTGATTGCTCTGGTTCATTTTTGAACAACCTGGCAACTGTAAATTTAGCAGGTAAAATCAGCAAGGCAATACAGTAAGATGCCTTCTGACTTAGGGTGGGCTGTAACGAGCATGAGCACCAACATTGAGAGGTGCGACGGTGGGATCCCAGCTGGCAAAAGTCCGGGATGGAGCAAAATCTTAGATCACCCTTTAAGGATATATGTATCTCAGTCCATAGGACAGGTCGCATAGAGCTAACATCACTAGACGAACCAAAAAATCAACATTGGAAGTGAAATAAGGATCAGACAGAGAACTCAATCCCTCAATAATTTGTGGTGGTAATGTGGCTGCCACCGTCGCACTGGCCATTAGGCTCAAAGCCGCCAGACCTCTCAATTTTTTTCCTTTTTTCTTTTTTGAAACAACCCGACTAATCATTCCATGCTGCAACCGCTTGCTGCGTTCATGCATTTGATTGGCTTCTGATTCCGTGCAATTACCTCCATCATGGATACTACTACTTGTTACTAGTAGCAGTATAGTAGTACTGGGGCTGAGACATCTACTACCTTCCATAGTCAGTGGTTGGTACTGTACCTAGATTTTTATCAATGCTACATGTAGGTCTTGCTATGGTTTTCTTTTCTTTTTTTTTTCTCTTCCCTTTCTCCTTTACCTTTATACCCTCGATGGTTGTAGGTAGGCTGTGCGTCAACATGGGGTTTATCACTTACTTTTCATATTGATGTTTCTCTTTGATGCGAGACACCTCTATAGTTCCGGATCTTGCCATTATTGTAGCATTCCTTTGTGTAGTGTTTTCAGTATGGTTATCTGCCGCGGTGTGATAGAGTACTAGTAATCCATAGATATAGATTCACCTCTATGGTGGGGCTCCAAGCTTAAACCCCTCCATCCATGGTTCACAGCATATCTAGAACTAACGACGAATCATGTAAGCCGTCATTCTCCAATATGAGCCCTCCATTTACCTCCCGCCTGCGCTGGTAACGGCCAGATTGGTATACCGTGTTTGTGTTCCCAGAACTTTCTTTGTCATAGCCACGCTTGATCGACAAACTCAACTACCTGCATATTGCACCAGGTAGAAAGAAGCATAAGAAGCTATTGTTGCTACGATCTCGTTACATTTCTTTTCCTTTCTCTATCAAGTCTACTTTATCTACAGAGGATGACAAGCGAAACTCAGAATAAGTCGAGAGGACGGCCTCCCGATTATCATGCCTCCCATCTGCCCTCTTATTCTGGGAAAGGAGCTATCGTTGGACATGGCTCAAAACCTCCTCCGTACCATAACTGGCAGGATGCAGTGCCTGATACATCTACTCTTCCGCCGCCTCCAGTAATGGGCCTCTTATCGTCGAATAGTGGCAACGCCTCTAGAGACGATGCAGAGCGTGCACATGAATTTTGTGACAAGGTGCCTCTACACTTGCCTGTTAAGCCATCGGTTGCTGTGTATTCCTCGGCTCAAGATCTCGATTTTCGTCCCGTGGTGCCAGGAGACTTCCATGGGACATTTGCAACAGTTGCACGAGGCCGATGGAAGGGATCAACACGGGCTGGAAATGGTGATTGCCTGATATCGACAAGTCTTCCACTATATTTTCCAACTGAGGACTCCCCATTCGCCACTGCAAAGTGTAGGAATATGTATTATGAAGTTAAACTGCTCGGGCTTCGTGAAGGGCCAGTGTCAACTGATCCCAGCGGGTTCTCCATTGGATTCGTAGCGCACCCATATCCGTATTGGCGGTCCCCCGGCTGGGAAAGAGGGAGTGTTGGTGTCTTTTCTGATGATGGATGCCGTTTTGTGAATGATTCGTGGGGAGGTAGAAAGTTTACAACAGCCTTCGCCGTGGAGGAGACTGTGGGCTTGGGCATGACTTTTCGTCTTCCGGATAATTCGAACAACTTACAAGGCAGAGATAAAACGTGCAAAGTTGACATCTTCTTCACGCGGAATGGACGCCGGGTAGGGAGCTGGGACCTTCATGAAGAAATTGATGAAGACGCTGGGAGTGTTGAGGGATTAGAAGGTGACTTTGATCTCTACGGGGCAATTGGCTTGTTTGGGGGTGTGGATTTTGAGGTATGCTTTGACCCAGCAGGCTGGCTATGGAAGCCCTACCAGTAGTGATAACATGTCAGCTAGTCTACTAATGCTCACATTATTCTCCTACTCTGTCAAATGTTGGATTAGATTAGTTCAGCGGCATTCATGTGATTCAGCTAAACTAAACTGATGAACTCTGTTGCTAGGAGTAAGAAATCCGGTTCAACCTCTATCATAGATTAGTGAGGGCTATAGCCAACCCTGTTACTAACCCGCATTAGAGGAAAAGAAAATCTTCTCCAGAGGAAAATAACTAGTAATAACTGTGTGTGTTCATAGGACTAGCATATGTAACATAAATATAGAATATCTCGTCTGCACCTGGCGGGATCGCCAGACACCATTTTACCTTGTTAGGCAGTGACCGAGGGGGTGGGAAGGAAAGAAAAGCGACACGAAGTACATCATGTTCGGTGTAGAGACCTTCTAGAATCATTCCTGCAAGGATTTACCAGGATATACCTTGTTGATATACATACATTAGTGTATCGGGGGGAAGTAAGAGTTGCATTTCCGCCATTGTCTGATATGCTTATGCTACCAACAGTTGACCGACACCAGAGGTTCTAACGATACTACTTTTGCCATGCATGAGCTTTTTGACGTCATAGTGGCCCCTCTATTTACAATCTCGGAACACCAACTGACAGCCCCCGTGGGTTGTATATTATTGGTGTAGGACAGGAGGCACAATGGGCATTGAAGGGTACAAGGCTTTCTCATTTGGACTTTGGGTTCAGCCTATGCGCGAGCAAAAAAGAAAAAGAGAAACAAAAGAAAAAAAAATATTTAGTTGGTCATATCCACCTACAAAGGTCATCTTCCCCTACCTGTTAACAAAACGAATACTTCTGTGGAGAAATCATGGCAACAAATTGTATATTTCTAGAAACTATTACCTATGCTTCAGGGCTGAAGTGAGCCATATGAGAGTAGTATTCTTTGACAAAGTATAGATTACGGTAAAACATATTATTAAGGTAGATAGTAGGGTTCGCCTGAAGATAAAGCAGGTAAATGAAGTAGACAAATATTTACCACACGACAAGTAACGTAACAACTGCGCCTTGGTTCAACTCCATCCTATAACAATAACTTTGTTATAGCATTTCTTAAAGTGGTTAGGAGGGGAGGGAAATAATAGGAGAAAGAAAAGCAAACTCAACATGAATGTGGTGATGATTGAACGTGGCAAGTCATTAAGTACTGTCTACCGATAAGTACCTGAATGCTATATGCCTTGTAATAAAGGGTAGGGTATGAGATAATTTCGGGGGAAATGGTGAGTCCAAAATTACCTCTAAGCACGTGCACGAATAAATAATTGTAGCGATTAAGTTATGGAAAATACAATAGCATTGTTGCGTTGTATCTGTGTCTCCACTTGAGTCGGTCCGAAGTCGAGACTCCTGCAATTAATAGCTGTTCTTTTACGAATAAGCTAGCAACATAGACATTTATTGAGGTGTGACGGTACGGAGACGAAAAACTTGTGTGGCCCCGCCTCCCACCCCCAAAGGATGGCAACATTACAGTAATTAGTATACAGTGAACTCGACCTCGGCGTTAGATTTCCTAGTGGAGTCGCGAAAAGCTTACTGACCAGAACCGACTTCCTAGTCACGAAGCAGAGTCAGTAAAGTACATCGCAGCAGTTTTACACAGTGGCTGGAGGAAAGAAATGGGACAGTGGAAACTTAGGTTAGTGGTTAATGATTGACTTGATTAGTTGCAGAGGAGATGCAGTAGTCGATGAAACTAAATAATCGTCGGTGGCTCGGCCGAACTTTCATGGCTTTGCCAAGTTTTAAGATTCGGTCCCACTGACTGACACAATCCCCACCTATGGTGTGTATGTATTAAAGTATGTACAGTATAATTCACCACCACCGTTATATCAAACAGGGAGCATCAACCAGTTTGCTCCATATTCAACATTGAACAATGATGAATAGATGGTAGATAAATTAGGGGATATCCGGCAGCCATAGTACTAGGAGAAGTTGTCCACGCTCCGGAGTATGACTTGGATGGGCTACTAGTGACTTCCAGAATTGAACGAAAAGACGATCGAAAGCCAGGTGTGATCCTTACCCATTGGCTTTCAGATGAGCTCCTGAACTCGTCATTGCTTCTCTTAATTGTATTCATCGCCTTGAGCTGTCTTTTCTTTCCATGATAATTCCTGCTGTACATACGGGATATATACACCGGTCCTAGATTTTTCCCCAACCCTCGTCGCTGTCAAACACGTAGCAGATGCGGCAAATGAAAAGTTGCCTACTAACCATATTAGGCGAACCCCAATGCGCTCGTAGTGGCGGAGATTTTGCCCCCATACTTTTAGTTCCAATTGACACTCGCCCTTAAGCACTAGTTAGGCCTAGCTCCGTTCGTAAGATCCACCAGTGAGTAGCCTCCACTTTGTGCACTGTCCGCCTCCACAAAAAGACCTAACCTATTACCTGGGTAGTTAGCTGAGGTAGGCTTTCGGCTCCCGTATTATTCTAGTGTCATTGCATAGTGGTGCGTAATTAATGTGCCCTAACCTACTATTTTGACTACCCGGAGTATGCACGGAGTACTTGATTCTCTTTGTTTCCCTCGACGAAACTCGGCTGTCTTGGAAGCAGTCAAGGAATTGAATACGCCCCTCCTATAAGCGGCTTTGCACTTGTAGCCCGTGCCGCTTTTTGCACTTTTCATTACAGCTCGCTGAGCCCCTCTCCAGATGTAGTCGGTATTCAAGGAAATCAGTCTCTAGGCTGTAAAAGAAATAATTGAATTACGGGTCTTTAACGAGACCGGTGACATGATCTACGGCGTAAACTGCAAGTCATAATATTAATAAACTGTAATAAGAGATGAACGGATGAGAGGTTTTTGCCCTGCAAATGACTCTGATTACAGACTTCTATATGGGGCCTTTGGGTGGATTGTGCGTTAAATAGTGGGCACCTGCGGCAGTCCGGTGTGAGAATCTGTCAATGTAAACATGGCCAAATCTGATTCATACTTTACTCAATACGATACTCTCAGAGGGTGTAACTTTTCCTTTTCCTTTCCTTTTCTTTCTGAGTGGGAGGTGTTAGTCCGTGTGCATGTACCTGACAATCGAGATGGACATGTAAAGAATAAAAAGAAACCTTGGCTCCTCCCTCCAACTTTCTCTAGCAAATAGAATACAGCAGCCGTAACCTGGCGTTCTGTCAGAAGCCGCGTGCAGTATCTTTGTTTTCCTGACCTGGTTAACAGCTTCCTTGCCCCATCTATGGATGATATGGATCTTCGGCCATTCCCGGGTGCGGGTGGAGTCCTGTTCGAAGTCCGTGCAGCCGAGAGAGATACGCGTCTGTTTCAGTTGCCCAGAAGGATATGAGGTTTGTCATGGCTTTCATAGGTCCATAGCTACTCTGGACTAAAATCCAGCAAATAACTGGCTCGTTTAGCATGCAACTTCCGCCTTTAAAGGGGAACGATAAAAAAGAAACGAAGGCGAACAAAGAACCAGGCAAATAAAGAAGTAGCCCAGAGGTTATGAGGCTTAGTACTCCGTTCTCCTTAAGGCATTGTTTTTCGGCTCTATTTCCGACCGATGGGTTATCGGCGGCTTGAACATCAGTACGTTTTGTAATTATGGTACAGGGTAGCAATATCAATTGAGTCGGCACCATGGTCCTAGAGCAACAAGAAACATTACAGGGGCTGAAAAAATATTGTTCAAATAAGTCCTTTAGTAGAATGAATAAATAGAAGGTTCACACTTCAGCATGAGACCAACAAGACTCTACCAACATTTTCTTCCCTTCTTCGGCGCTCTAATAATTGATTAAAACAGCCAAATGTAGAGACTTGCCGCTACCCACAGGGGTGATATTATTAAACCATATATTGTTTCAGTAGCTAGCTATCAACTGCTCCGACTTGCAATCTCTACCAAAGTACACTGCATCGTTGGTGGGGGAAGAAGTTCTGGTGAGACCACAGCCAGTGCCCATCTGCAAGCACATTGCCGTTTTTGGTAAGCTGCATAAAAGTTGATTATCATCTGCAGCCACTAGGGCTGGTGGTCTGCCTTCATATGGAGCGCAATCGGCACGAGCCTTGCCAACTACCAAGGCTCCACTAGTAGGATACAATCATGCAAGTCAACCGCTGTACAAATCTAGTCCATACTGAAAAAGGAGCTCGGGCCGCAAGTTCATTATGGTCACCTTTAGTTAGAACTCGGGCGGAGAAATCACATTGTCCTTTGGAGATTATGACGGTCTTATGCGATTGGCTGGGTGGGCCGAATCCTTTCACAAATCACGCTTACCTATTCCTTTTGAGATACTTAGGCTTCTGTGCCCAGGCAAGTTATACTAGGTATTATCAAGTACCTACTACAACACACATCCATTAATTCAACCTAGTCTTTACAATTTTTTTCCTTTTCCTTTCATTTCATTTCATTTTATTTTTTTTTTTTATTTTTCAATAATAATAATAACAGGAACCCCAGGAAGTAAAGTGTTGAAAGGCTTACAGTATCCATTGTTTAATTTATATATCTCTTTAGCGTATCCACCAGGTTAAGCCAGCTTACTCTGAAGCCTAGTCTCCAACCCTAGGGTTTGTAGTTCGTACTGATTAATACTATCAGCTATCACCCAGTAGATCAAAATAGCATATACTCCTCTCTCAGAATTGGAAGTAGAACTATTATCAGCCCCCCCTTGAGAATTTAGTTTATCTTCTTAAGAGATATCTAAAACCAATTAGCTCTTGATATTTAGGCATGTCATCAAATCTCCATCATCAAATGGTGCCCGTCATCTACATGACCTGAAGTGGCTGTTGACATTCTCTACTATTTACTCCTGTTCTCTCTTCCTAGAAGGAGTAGTACTCTGCAGTACTACACACATGACATCGTTGGTTTTTTAGGTAGAAGTCTTGGAGACATTACTTACCTTGACTTGTTGTTTGGTGCTTCCTGACCCCGGTTATCGTTCGTTACCTTCGGCATCAGGATATATCTAACTTTGGAGCTAAAAGAATATTTTTGCCGGAGCCGACCTCATCTTCTACTACTTAGTGGAAGCCAGCGTCTGGGGAACAGACTTGACTTCGTATTACACCTAGCCTATGATATTTTCTATGGCCTCCCCACCTAAGCTTCGTGATCCATAACTGCTTAGTGGCCGACTGTTGTGGGCAGCACGGCAGGGAGCACTGCTAGTGGCTTATTACACGGGGTTGAGAGATCGCCGCTAGGATCACCGTTACCCTGAACGTTTTCGGTTTGAAGGCTAGGGTAGGTAAATAAGTAATATGTTTTCGCCGGTTATTGTACTCCGTAACTGACGCTACTTGAATTACCAAAGATGTCTGACGTCTGTAGGCTCCCCCTATATATAGGTACTTCTACCTTGTCACCCTGGGGGAGAAACAAGGGAGGAGGAACAGGGCGTTTTTTCTTTCTCTCTCCATTACCTACAATGGCAAGCGACATTCACCCAACCCAACTCTACATACCTAGATACTTGATAAGAGAAGAAGAATGGCGTAAAGAGAGAAAGAAAGTTTATGTATGAGATTATTATAAGCTTCTAATCTCCGTGCCCCATATTATTGGAGCACAAAGGCCACACATATTACGAGTCTACGACAGATTTGAGACAGACACATTGGCCTAGCTCAGATTGCGTGCCTCGCTAAATAATAAGTCGATAACTTCCCACAATTTCATTTTTCCCGGTACTACTTCGTACATGCGGTTTTGTATTATCACAAGATTATAAGCCGAGGGCTGCATACGTTCTATATAGTCTTGGCTAAATTTGATTCGGTTGTAATAGAGAGTAAAATTCTGTTTTTAGTATTCGCGTGTACCTTGAATAGGAGGGTACCTGTTTGGAATAGCTCAGTTCAGAATTGAAGACGCATACAATCCATGTTGCGCCTTCCTGGCCTTTTTATTTTTATTTCATCCCTTCCATCTAATTATCCCAAGGAGTAGTCTACAATGACTGGCTAATGGACTTTTTTCCCTTTCCTTTCCTTTTCTTTTCCTTCCTTTCTTTCTTTCTTTCTTTTTTTTTTTTGGGTTAGTCATTCGTTAACGTTGTTGGGGGCTAGCAGCTGAGGACTTGTGGAAGTTCATGTGTTATGTCTATCTGGAATGCTTGAAGTTCTCGGATAAAAACTATCAATGATTCTAGTGGGCTGAATAAATTTACTATCGTTTCTAAACGGCAAAAGTTCTAAGAAACATCATGAGGTCTAGACAGATGATACTAACAAGGGCATTATCACGTGAATTGGAACAGAATTTCTCGGTTATGTTTTTGTCTAATTCCTTTTGTCTTTCTATATCTTTTAATTATTGTTGTTGTTCTATTTTATTTCCCCAGGCCTTTCTCTATTTCTCACCTGTCTTGCAGCTCCGATCGGAGGTAGTAGTGCTTTGATGGGATGGACCACTACTAATTAGTATATTTTGGTAAGGTGCGCCGTGCCATTACTGGAAGTGAATTTTTCACTGAGTGGGTTTATGGTCTCCAACGTTTCAATGGGTGATGCCAACTCCAGCTGGTTACCTGCAGACGCCTGTAGAAGTGGCAATAAGATAATAAATCGTTGTAAACCAGAATGTCAGCAACGGCGATTTTTTTCTCCACTGGAATTTTAAATTCATTTTTCCCTTAAGAAAATATTTAATTTATCTTTTACAATATTCGCCCCCCCCCCTTTATTTATTAATTCTTTTTTCTTTAGAAAAAAAGATAAACTTTTCCTTCTCCCTAGGAAATGTAGAAGAGATGAAATGTGTAAATTTTCATTAATTTGTCTTTCTTTTCCTTTCGATATGATTTTCTGACTCGAACCGCCTGGCAACTCCACCTATGATTTTGCTTCGTACTGTACAGACTAGTATCTAGTATGTACATGGGTACTGACTCATCGGTTCATCGACCTTATTTACTTATCAGGCTTTGTTAGTGAACTGCCATCTTCTTTTCCCTATATTAATTAATAACTGATAGCACTGTGTTTCCATAACGCATGGGATGATAGGGCCAGTTAATTAGTATGGTGTGGTAATATCTTGTTGCAGGGGTAATCAGTAGTGGATAATGAATCCCCGGGCTTTGTTCCGTTATAGGTACTGATGGTACTATGTACCTACTAGTAACTAGGTGGTATGGATCAGTGCAGTAGTCAAGTACTTTTGAAAGCAATGGGCAGTACTGGTATCGTCCAGAAGAGATGGACAGAGGAAGGGGTTCAAGGAATTCGCTGAATATTCAAATGGGTACGAACATCCATTCTTATCTTTCTTCTCTCCGAGCCACGGAGCGTGTTAAACCATTTGGAAATAACCACACGCTCTTGGTAACCGGAAAATGCCTCCTCAATCCTAGCTTACTTCGTAGTACCTCATTATCCACACACCACCCACCAGTCCCCACTCCCTGGCCCATGCCACTGCATACTCCGTAGTACCTTAGCTGCATGGGCCGCCGCCAATCCCTTCTCCACTCTCAGTATTCCATCAATCCATCTAGATCCAGGGTCTCTGACGCACGAGGGAAAAATACACCTGCATGACACTCGAAATGACAAAGGAACTGGAGCACAGTCGTAACTTTTTCCATTACTTTTTAAGGATTGGCTCAATTGATTGTCTGGATGCCGGTCTTGAACATGTGCCTTCCCTGGCCTCTGCACCAAGATAAATTTCCCAACGTTGTAGGTCACTGATATTTTGAATTGAAAAGGCCAGAAGTTTCCTCCCAGAGCTATATAGGTACCTAGGAGCTTCTATTAGCTGGGGGGACGTTAGTTAACTATCGAGCTCTCTTCCTCTTTCATTCTTCCCGTCTCTACTTCCCTTCAATCTCATCTTTCTCGACTTGCCTAGGAAGACTATCCATTCGTTCCCTTCCCCTTTACTTCTTATATATATATTTTAAACCGAACACGCTCCAACCCCCCCTTTAACCCGCCCTTTCACTGGTTCTATTCTTCCTGCTATGACCAAATTTTGAATTTATGGCAGGGGTGTTACCGCAACGTTGATCGCATTTTCCTTCTGATTTTACATAGTCATTCTCGTGGGCTTTGCGCACAGCTAAATCTTCTTTGTGAAGTGTGGCAAGAGAAAGATATTGTTAGGATAAGAAGAAAAAGTGGTAAAAAAATTATATCAATCCCATTGATTCAACAAAGCGAGGCTGAGTTTACTCACTTCTTCCTCTTCTTTCAACTATGGAATTTCCATATATGCGAGCGTTCGTTGCTCTTTTGTCAGTAGTTTGACCTTTCTTTTTGCTCCATTACTTTGTTGGAATATTTTTACTAAAATCACAAAGTTGAACGCCGAGTGGCTAACCCCTCTTTATTACAGTATTTACCGCTATCTTCGTCTTGCTGTGAACCTTGTATCATTCTGGACATTCAAGCCCATCCCCCCACCAGAGTCCCCGAGGTTGACTGCGCAAGATGTGACTGTTATCCTTCCTACTCTCGAGGGCTGTGGTGATGAGTTAGTCGAGACAATTAGGACAATTCTCGATAACCAGCCTTATGAGCTTCTGTTGGTCACCATCGAAGCAAACCGCAAAAAAGCCGAGAATATGCTGAGCTTGATGCCAGCTTCAAAATCGAGAATCCGACTTTTTACGGTCACACACCCCAATAAACGCCGTCAGATGACGAGAGCCATCCCGGAGGTCCGCACGCCTATCACAATCTTCGCTGATGACGATGTGAGTTGGCCGAACACAGTGCTCCCATGGATTTTGGCACCATTTGAGAGAAATGAGCGATATGGAGGCGTAGTGACCTGCCAGCGACTTCGACGTGCTATTGCGCCGACATTATCTCAAAGAATCTGGGGCTTTCTGGGAGCTCTTTATTTAGAGAGGAGAAACTTTGATTGCGCTGCCACAACACATCTTGATGGAGGTCTTCCTTGTATGTCGGGTCGAACGGTTGCATATAAGACGGACATTCTACAAGATGAGGGGTTTACTTACGCTTTTACGAACGAGGAATGGTGGTTTGGCAGGTACCAATTAAATGCAGACGACGACAATTTCATTACACGTTGGATGGTATCACATGGTTGGGAGACCTTCATGCAGTATCATCCCGAAGCTGAAGTCTTGACTACCTTGGAAGATAACCCCAAATTTTTGAAGCAATGCGCACGTTGGTCTCGGAGCAACTGGAGAAGCAACTTGACTAGTATGTTCCATGAAAAGCACATCTGGTAGTAAGTACTCTTTTCCCTATATATGTCTTTGCCCCCGTCTTTTCTTCTACTCCGGTCATGCTGTCTACCTGGAAATGAACGGGAAAACGGGAAGATGCGTGCTTTGCCATGAATGTCGCAACATGGTAGATCGAACAGACCTGCCGCGGTAGCCGGGTTGCTTAAGAGACCAGTTTATCGTGAGCGCGGCGAGTCGTACGTAGATTGCCAGTAGGATGCGATATCCATTTCTGACAAACATAATACGCTACGGAGAACAAGCGCCTCATATAAGCATCACGCTAACATACTGGTACCAGTCGCCAGCCATGGAGCGCATACGCCGTCCATCTGACAACCTTGTCACCTCCAGCCCTCTTAGGCGACTTGCTGCTTGTCCTCCTGTGTCATAAGGCCACGGCATCCTGGGAGGAGGATTGGCAAGCACTCGCTATGCAAGCCCTCGGGGGGTGGATGTTTGTCAGCAAATTCATCAAACTTTTAGGACACTACGTTCGATACCCCGTCGATGTCTTACTTTTGCCTGTATCTATCCTCTTTGGGTATTTCCACGGAGGAATCAAGATGTACGCAGTGATGACTCTCAATGTGGTAAGTTGCGAATTGAGATTAGTCTCTGTTTTAGTTCCTCGACTCTACAGAACAATGCGCAGGCCGCCAAGGTCCGCTTTTGTGCTCGGAAATAATTCTAGGCTCTCGCCTGCCCCAAACCCAGTTTTCCATTACTTGACCCTCCCTTTGGATATGCATTGGCCATGGGCCCCCTCATTCTGTGCTTATCTGAGAGTAATGATCTGGTTAATCTAGCCGCCCCCGCCCATTACGTTTTCATTCTTAACCGATTTTCCATTTCCCTCCAAACCCCATCCATGCCCCCTTTTTTTTTTTTTTTTTTTTTTTTTTTTTTTTTTTTTTTTTTTTACAACCTTCTGAGTCTCTTTCCTCATTACACCTGAAACTTACGTTTCTCTATTACCGCATCAAGAAGTTGCTAACAAATTTCATCATAGACCACCTGGGGCAGTCGAGATGGTGCCGATGATTACGACGCCGAGCGTATGAAGAAGCGGACAGACAGTGACCGTCCGAAGTCTCCTTATTACCCGAAGTTCATCACCCAGTAATTTGACTGTTACAGGATGGGCGATTGGTGGGTAACCATTACCTATCTAGGCTCCTCTCTACCTAGGCAGTGTCCAGTGTTGTCCACAATTCTGGTCTGTGTGCGTCCTGCGAGTATTACCTGACGAGCGGTTCGTACCAATCTGACTCGGCAGATGTTCCCAACAAGTCAGGCCCTTGGCGACAGCTCCAGATTACATTTATTTTACTTTCCTTTTTTTTCCCTTTCACCCTTACGAAGAAATGCCTTGATGATGCCACTTGAGAGCGAGCAAAACAAGTCCTCAGAGATTTCGAATTCCTTAGCCCTCTACAAGGTCCACCAGCCTTCTTTTGACTCTTCTTCGGTGTTTGACTGCATCAAAGTACCACATGAACTGTAGCACAGCTTCAGTTGATACTTTCCCCCTTTTATCTTCTTTGATACCTCTTTTCTCTTACTTCTCTTCTCTTCTCGCTTATTTCTGTCTCCGTCTTCTCGCGAACGCCTAGGAGTCCCTAGTCACCAAGGTCGATGGGGCGAAGATTTTCAATTCTTCCATGTTGCTCATCAGCACTCCTGATAAAAACAAACGGCGAAATGGTGATATTTCTGTAAATTACTAACGAACGAACGGGCCTCATTTCCTGGCACCGTGTTCCCCCCTTATCGTTGTTATTGATATGATTGTCCCTTTCTATTTTCTTTTTTTGCCCCCGCTTCTCCCCTTAGATCGGCGTTTGAGTGGCTTAGTGAAGTGTTCAAATTATTCGAACCCTTTGTCTTGTTCATCTGCTACCTAGTACTATTCGGTGTAATTTTTAATCAATCGAACTATGTTATTATTTACTACCTCTTGATACTATGCGACAAAGCTACAAATCCTAGTATTGGTAAAATTAACCCTGATCGAGACATTCAAGATAGGTTTCTTGGACCTGTTGTGATTAAAACGGGCGTTTGATATTAATTGTACTTGCATATTAATCACCACATACATAAAACCAGAGCAAAGCCGTGATATAGTTATTGCTTGAAATCTGTGAATGAAACCGTGGGCGAATCCAATCAAGTGTGGCGTCTGTGGCTAGCTGCACAAGGACCCGCCGGCTCTAAAATTAATGCCTGAGGTATTGAACTCATATGTACTCTGCAATCCTCAACTGATAGTATCCTGCACCAACCAGCGATTTGAGCACCTCTACGCGCTTATATCTCAATCATTCTAGGACACCATCTTCGAACTGACTGCTTAGTGCATTAGTACTGTGCTAAGGAGGTGATGCCTTTATTCTCGCGAGCCCCTGCGGCTCTTTCACGGCGAGGAGTCTCGATCATCTTGCGACACGACATTGCTATAGTGCGCCCTTTTCATTCTTTCCCACCAAGGGCTGCCATTGCCCATCCTGTTACTGCGCATGGCCCTCCCCCGAAGGCTCCGTCTGCCGCCCCAGAGTTTGGTGAACACACAGGACAGCAAGATGGCCGCATAGAATCAAGTTTGGATAGCAAGGCGCCACAAAATCGAACGGCGAAACCTTCGCCACCGAAAAAGCGGTTCTGGAAAAATGTTGATGTTAACATGAAGCCAGGTATATTCCCCACGCTGCTGTGTACGTGCCTGCTTAGCTGATCGGTCCTTGTGATTCAAGAAGGAGATTACCAAGTTCTGCTAGACACCCGGCCTGTGCGAACCCCTACGAAAGATGTCCTTTATATTCCGCCAACGAAGCCTCACCTTGCACACTTAATCGCTCTGGAATGGGACGTCATGACTTCAGCCCAGCAAGCTCTTAAAAGCCATATGATTCCACTGACTTCTCTCGCTGCGCGCGCGGCGGAGATTGTTCGAGAGGATGCGAACGGCGAGACAATCATAAGAGAGCAGGTCGTGAAAACCGCAATGCGCTATTTAGAGACAGATACACTGCTCTGTTGGGTGCCAGCGAAGGACGTCTACGGTGTTGAGGAAGTCAACGAGGATGGTCAGAGGCCGGAGAGCCTCCGGGAGGCCCAGATCAGAGTTGCAAAAGACATAATCTCCTTCTTGAGCACTAAGTTGTGGCCTGGTATCGAAATTAAACCTATACTGGATACTGAGAGTATCCTGCCTATGTCTCAAACGCAGGCTACAAAGGACATAATTGAACAATGGATTGTCGGTCTGCAAGCGCATGATTTAGCTGCTCTTGAGAGAGGCGTTCTTGCTTCAAAAAGTTTACTGGTGGCTGTGAGACTTGTTTCGGAATGGAGTGAAAATTTTCGTCACGCACAACGGCCGGACCGAAAGAAATTCGGCATCGAAGAGGCAGCTGAAGCATCTAGCTTGGAAGTCAAGTGGCAGACAGACATGTGGGGCGAGGTTGAGGACACACATGATGTTGACAAAGAGGATCTGAAACGACAACTTGGCAGTGTCATTGTCTTGGTGAGCGGAGAGACGAGGTGACAATGCTGTTGTTCTTAGAAGTAGTAAAGTAGTTGCCTAGACGCTTGGAGATTTATATTCGGGCTTTGTGGATTGGTTCGCACATATAACTAACTACACATAACATCGGTCGCGCCTACTGTATATTGTGATGACTCTCACCTTCTCATTTACTTTGCCTCCATCCAACTGTTACTTTTCTCAGTCTCTTGCTTTCCTTCCTCTTCCTTCTAGTTTCTTTGATACTCAGCTGGGCACCACCTTACTATTTTCAAGGACACAGCTGACACCTGTATTTTTATTTTTATCTTTTCCTTTTATTTGGGCGCGCTACGAGGTTGGTGATTGTCTTTCTTGTGCCCGCCAAGGCGCGGGAAAATAAACGGAATAAACCAGCTGTTACTCCATAATTTGGGACAATGATCATCGCATCCCCTCAACTGCGCGACAACAGATCAGACAAGCGTTTACATTCACCAATTAATAACCTAGTCACAGTTCATATCTTCAATGTTAAGTACTCCCGCGCCTTCCTTCGGTAGTTTCCCGTCTTTGCATTCTTTTATACATCATCACCAGGGTGGTCTGCTCGTGGCGAGTGAGTGATGACGGAAAAGGGTGAAAGGTAAGTTTATGATGTCGTTTCTTCGTGCTGTTCTGGGGCAAATGACCATCGGTTCCATGGATCACATGCGCCGTCCGTACCTGCTGGGGATAACCTAGTATTCGTTAATCGTCAAGTTAATCTGACTGGTGTACACATGAACGCGGCCTTTCTCAGTGTCTTCCTCATTCAACGTGGGCCCTCTGACCGTCTGGACCCTTGGCTAATCAATGATGCCTAAATCACTTAGGCATAAACGCTCTAGAAGTTCCTTGGCGCTTGCGATGTTGCATCGTGATAAGTCAAAAGAGGGTAACGAGGGGATCCCTGGCCGCGAAAGTGGCGCTCCCGAGTCTGTCGTATCTTCGGTAAATAATACACTACACCTTCCTACTCTACCAGTTGTCCAAAGCTCAAGCCGCCCAAAGTCTCTCCAAGAAACAAAATCCCCTTTTATGTCGGACGAAACCCCCCTGGAGCCGATATGCTCCAATCAAAGCGGCGATCATATCGAGAAGCTACCTGCGTTGACAGCCACAGACAGTATTAGTATGTCACTCGACCAATCCGTGCGGACATTCCGACTTTTTGAGATTTTGAGGAGTGGAGATACAACCGCGATATCAAAAGCTATTAAAGAGACCAAGGATCCTCAAGGAGCAAACGGCCTCTCTGGGACCTCGATACTTCACCTGGCGATTCAGTGCGCCGAACCGCAAGTTGTCGAATATATTCTTTCTAGTGGGTATGAGCTCGACATCAATGCGCGCGACCGGGATGGCAATACGCCTCTCCATCTCGCTGCGCAGCTTGGAAGAGGAACTCTGGTCCGTGAGCTACTAAATACCCTGTCTGTCAATGACTCAATTGTCAATTACCGAGGCCAAACAGCTCTCGATGTCGCCCGCACACCGGAGATTTTCCAGCAGCTTCAACTTGCACGGTCCCTTTTCATTGACAGCAAGTCGCAAGAGATTCAATCACTCATATCCCAAGGTGATTATGAAAAGCTGGAGAAAGTGCTGGAAGAGCCACGTGTTGAAGGAATAATGGATGTCAACAATTTGGACTTAGTAACTGATCCTGCCACTGCCCAGTCTGGTGGTACGTTGCTGCATGAAGGAGCCAGGAAGAAAGATACGAAACTCATCCAGATATTGTTGATGCATGGGGCGGACCCCTTTCGTCGTGACAAGAAAGGTAAATTGCCACAGGATGTCACAAAGGATGACAGAACGCGGGCAATCGTCAAGAAGTCTCCCGCTGCTGTAATCGCCCAGCGCGGCATACAAGAGAAAGCCATTCTTGGGACCAACCCGGGCCAAGCCGTTTCCGGGCGAGCCAGCGTAGGAGATACGTCTTTTGCGGGGAAAGATTCCCGTGAAATGAGAGGATACCTGAAGAAATGGACAAACTATACTAGTGGCTATAAACTGCGATGGTTTGTACTCGAAGACGGCGTTCTTAGCTATTATAAACATCAAGGTAAGCCGTTTGAGCCTTCTCAAAGTGTGTAACATTTATGGTGGCCTAACCTTTCTTTCTTGCTTTCTCCTTTCTTGCAGATGACGCCGGGTCTGCATGTCGTGGTGCGATCAATATGAAGATCGCTAAACTGAACATGGACTCACAGGACAAGACTCGGTTTGAAATCCATGGCAAATCGTCTGTTAAATACCATCTTAAAGCGAATCATGTTGTCGAGGCAAAGCGTTGGTTTTGGACTCTTAACAATGCCATACAGTGGGCAAAAGATGAAGCAAGAGAGGAAGAGAGACGCCAATCTCGACATGCTGAGGTGCTCCGTCAAGCGAAAATCGAACAAATTGAGGGCCGAACAGCCGATAGCTCATCCGATTCACCCAGCCTTGTTGCTACCAAGTCCAACGGAAAAGGTCTTGCTGCCACATCCCTAGGTGTTCCCAGTAGTAGTGGCACAAGGCTTAGCACACAAGCGTCTTACACAACGCTGGAGAGTATGCCTGCGGATGAGGAGGGCTCCCTCCATGGGTCGTACGAACAAGGTGCTTTACAGAATGAAGTAAATCGAGTTGCCAGCCATATAACCACTGCGCCTGAAGGTGAGGGCGATGATGACGACTATGGTGACTACGCATCTAGCCGAGAGGTTCCAACGGCTGATAAAGATGCTCTGAACATCACCGCACAATCTGCAAACCTTCAACTTGATATTCTCGCGAGTGTTGCGTCCTCACTGCAAGCCGAAAAATCGAAGAACCCAAGTCTATTACTTTCGGACCCGGCAGTGAATCAGGCGCTGGCTGCGTATGAAGCAGCCGTGAGTAGTCTCCAGGGGCTAGTGCAAAGTCTCCTCAAAATATCTCGGGATCGTGATGCCTACTGGCAGTATCGATTGAATAGGGAGGCACATCTCCGCAAAATGTGGGAGGAGAGCATGGCACGAGTTGCACAGGAACATGAAGAGTTACAGTCAAGGATGGGGGAGTCTGAAGAGAAGCGCCGGCGTACGAAGCGTGCCCTCAAAGAGGCACTAGAGAACTCGTCAGCAACTACTAGTCGCGCTGTCAGTAAAGCGCCGTCTCACATGGCAACTACAGGTGAAGAAAGCGACGATGCTGGTGAACATTGGGAGACACGGGTTCTAAAGGCTGAGAAACCTCCTCAGCTGGACGAGCAAAATGTTGGGCAACCTCTTCGTCGTAAGAAGTCGACTCTTTCTCAAATTAGCGATCTCTATGACTCGGCTTCGGATGACGAGGATGAATTTTTCGACGCGATCGACTCGGGCGGCATCAAAGTAGAAAAGCTAGCATCTGCAGAAGAAAGCGAAAAGAAGCCGAAGCCAATAGAGGAAAGCACTGAACTGCGGGCATCAAAACGCTGGGAAATAACACCTTCATTCAAAGGATATGAGGAACCTATAAGAACGAAACTGAAGTTGGATTATGACAATCGGCCAAAGATATCATTATGGGTAAGTAATGCTTTTGTCTTGGCCTAGCCAAGTAAACAGCAAACAATGTCTCACGTATTTTTTTTAGGGCATTTTGAAATCCATGATTGGTAAGGACATGACCAAGATGACTCTGCCGGTTTCTTTTAACGAACCAACGTCCTTGCTACAACGGGTGGCCGAAGATTTGGAGTATGCAGATCTTCTTGATGTGGCTGCTGATCGAACTAATTCGATGGAACGCATGGTGTACGTTGCTACATATGCAGCAAGTGAGTACGCTTCGACAATTGGCCGTGTTGCCAAACCATTCAACCCTCTTTTGGGAGAGACATATGAGTATGCCAGGCCCGATAAAGGCTACCGATTCTTCGTTGAACAGGTCAGCCACCACCCGCCGATTGGTGCCGCATGGGCCGAATCACCGAAGTGGGATTACTATGTAAGTATTATGTTATGCGGCAAGGCCAGGACTTCATGAGACTAACAACAGGTCCTCTAGGGTGAATCAGCTCTCAAGTCTAAGTTCTACGGTAAATCATTCGACATCAACCTACTTGGGACCTGGTTCTTGAAGTTACGTTCTGCATCGGGCGGGGAAGAGCTCTACACGTGGAAAAAAGTCACCTCATCTGTCATTGGTATCATTACTGGTAACCCGACGGTCGACAATTATGGGTTAATGGAAATCAAGAACTGGACTACTGGCGAGGTCTGCTACCTTGATTTCAAGCCAAGGGGCTGGAAAGCTTCGTCTGCCTATCAGGTGACCGGTAAGATCATAGACCAGAGTGGATCCCCAAAATGGAGCATTGGAGGTCGCTGGAACGACAAAATCTTTGCCCGCCATACACCTGGGTATGAGGTGGACGTCTCTGGTCAAGACCCCGAGTCATCTAAGACGTTCCTGGTGTGGAAATGTCACTCTCGACCAAGCGATATCCCGTTCAATCTGACGCCTTTCGTCATCACATTGAATGACCTTCCCGATGGTCTGAAGCAATATCTACCGCCGACTGACACCCGACTTCGACCTGATCAACGGGCAATGGAGGAGGGAGAGTACGACCTTGCCGCCAACGAAAAACACCGACTCGAAGAGAAGCAACGGGCCAAGCGAAGAGAGAGGGAGACCAAAGGGGAGGAGTATCAACCCAAGTTTTTCACTCGGACAAAGTGTACGGTTACCGGTGAAGAGTACTGGGCGTACAATGGGAAGTATTGGACAGCCAGGGAAACACAGGACTGGAGTATGTGTGAAGACATCTTCTAAAGGCCAGATCCATACTGTATTGCATGTTTTGGGTGTTGGCTGAGGTTTGATTATAAATCCTACACACCGAGCGAGAAGGGGGAGAGAGTGCTTTTCACGGTGTGCAGTTGTCAGATATGGTTTTGTGTCATATTCTTATTGGTAAACTTTTCGTGTTCGGCTATAGTTCTATTTATGAAGCCTTCATACAGGGTGTAAACTTATAGCAATCCTAATACATCATTGTCTTGATTCGCCAGTAGATCACGTGATCATGCGGAATAGTCGATCGGAAAGAGCGATCCCCAACTTCCCGCATCAGCAGACTTTGGATGTTACGTGGATCGCCTTTTTAACAGCCACCACAATGACTGGAGGATATACTTGTGGACGTTGTCTACAGGTTCTCCGACGAAGAGTTGCGACCAATGGCTTTACAATCCGACTACAGACAACTTACAACTCCCGGCGGATATACGGGCCCTCCGTCTCTCTCGTGCGAAGCTTTGGCTCGCGGAGCAACAATTGTTGCACACCCAAAAGCCTCCAAGGACACACCAAGCGGACCTCTACGCCATCGGTGTGTACTTCACAGGACGCACCTCACACAGTCCAGCAAAGTATGCAGCGGGCCACGTCTGCAACATCGACTTACTCGCCAGAGTCACGGGCCTTACTGAAGCCAAACAACCTGTTCCATCCTTTTTCTCAGTCGCCTTCACCTTCGATTCGGCAGCGTGCTGCTTTTATAAAACAAAATGCCTTTTGCCCTCATCCAAGTCACCAACAGACCCGCGCGCCAGTCTCGCCACACGACCCTGAGTCGCGAAAGAGCCTGGAAAGTGCGAGCCCGCCGGCCCATTCGCATTTCGAATGCCCTGACTGCGGTGTCCCTATCTACTGTTCGGAAGGGCATTGGATGGATGATTTCGAGGCACACCTGGAAATTTGTGAGACTATTAGACAGATAAACGAGGATGATCATGATCTGCACTCGGGACGGTTTTTCCCGGAGTTTTCTTATCCGGGCCTTCAGGATGATAACTTCGTCATCAACATGACGAATTGGGATACTTTCCTGTATACACGAGAGTTTGATGCGATCAACCACGACCGGAGCATGCGACAAGTGACTAGGATGCTCACTTATCCACTTACAATTGGGAGTGTCTTGCACGAGCTGAGCCCTTATGGTGTTCGGAAAGGTGGTAGGCTTACTGTCGAGGGACTGAAGAGTGTCAGCGGTGAGTTTTTGTATTATCATAGATCAATGATTGGATTACCTACTAACCAGTCCTTCCAGCGCTTCGATACTCGTTGCACCCCCCCAAGACCGGGGAAGGAGTCGATATTCAAGGACTACGCTTGAAAGCCCCACCTGTGAGGATTTTCATTCTGGGAGCGCGCGCCGAATCCTCCCTGCCTCGTGAAGTGTGGCTTCAGCTAAGTTACATATTCCCACGATCCCTCATTCATTTAATATTTATTGGGCCAGAGAGTATGGCCAACCGAGACGCTGAATTTCCGCTTCCTGAACGGACGCCTGAGAACCCATTTGGAGGGATCGTTGAAGACAGACTTGGTGGGCAGCTGAAGATTACGACATATGTCGACTACTTCCATACAATGTACAAAGCGCAATATTTCCAGCCGTTCGATCCATACCTAGATTGCATCATGCTCTTCCATCCTGGTCTAGGGCATCCAGCAAGCTCTCATGAATGGGAAGAAACCCTGCCACAGCTACTTGAGACCAAGGTCCCGATTATCAGCACTGGATATACGCAGTGGGATATGGAAAGGGACATCAACTGGGTTCATGAGAAATGTGCCGGTGAATTCGATATGTTACTCGAACCGGGCGAAAACATCTTTCGCAGTCTGAGGTGGGATCTTAATGACTTGGATCCTCATGATATTTCCTGCGGAAATTGGGGACTCTGGGCATTTAGAGGGAAAAGGTTCGTCATATGTAGTCTTTTTACACTTCCGTTCTGCAAAATTTTACACCTACCCACAAGATGCCATATTTGTCTATCTGCTAACCTTCCTTTTAACTACAGATATGAGGCGACTTTCAGGGGCTAACCTAAGAATGCTTTTCAGCCGCCCATCTATCCTAATGCCTTCATTGTACATCTAGTGACTACTGTCTATTAGCATTCCTCGGTTGGCTGTTGAAGCAATAGGTTCCGATCTGCACACTGTATCCAGTATGCGTGACTGTTTGCATAGCATCCCTGTACCCTTTTACTATGTCATCTATAACTGTGCCAAATAGAATCATTGCCTTAAAACAACTTATATTATAGCTAAAAATCAGTATGTACTTTACCATAGATTATAGTATATGTAGACGCGAAATTTCCAGAGTAAGAATATGCACGATTAAGTTCAAATCGTCAACTGTCCATTTAGTCCTACACTTCGTTACTTCGAAACATAAATTGGGATCGGGTGAGGCCAAAAGTAGAAAAGTACAACAAATGGTTCAGTCAAGTAAGGAAAAGGGTATAGCGATCCAAATCATAACAAGGGGTGGCAGGAAATTAAGCTATCATCGAGGTTGATGATCAGATTCCGAACCATAGCATAGTAGAATAGAAGATGACGACCCTTCCCAACAGATGAATACCGTGAATCCGTTATGTAGAACAGCGATGGTCTCGGTTGAAGCTCAAAAAAAAGCATGCGGAATGAGATAGGTAGGCGGAAAGCGGCTTGCCGTGCAGTACTTTTTGGGTTATTGATTGTACTTGTTAACTTCCCTCTATTGGCACCGCCCTCCCTCCATGCTAGGCCCACAGAGCATGTTAATCAACACGGGTTCGAAAGCCAATTCATATGGTGCCACAGCAGCCAGGATTTGCTCGCCTTTGAAGGATGACCATCCTGATCCAATTGCGCATCGCTTCGAACGAATCACCAGCCAGGCACTTAAAGCATGACGAAGCCAGCAGCAGCGACCACACCAGCAGCCATTGCGTTAGACAACTTGATGGCAGGGGCGCCACCCGTAGCCTGAGGGACGATGTATGACGAGGGTGTCACAGAAGGAGTCGGCGAAGGGGTCTTCGAAAAGAGCGGAGTGGAAGACACTCTTGCGGAGCTGGAAGGGGTATGGACTGAGAAAGCAGAGGAGCTGGGAGAGGTTGAGGTCGTCAAATGGACAACCTGGATGGTGAGGGTCTTAGTTGGCGAATCCTCTGCAAAGGCGAAGGGCGCAAAAGCTGCGGAAAGAACGAGAAGAACCTTGCTGAACTGCATCCTGATTGCGATGAAGATACAATGGGTGGTATGCGATTTCAATTGGGCTGACTCCGTTTCAAAAACGTAAGGGAATGCGACAGAAAACGCGACGTAGTAGTGTATATAAATTTCAGATTTGGAGGATAGATGGATGAAAAAAGAGTGAATGGAGCTGGAAACGAGTGACAGCTCTTGTGTTGAGAGGAAAGAAACAATAGTATCTCACTGATTAATGAACGACTAAGAGCACTACTTTTGATGAAAACAAAACGAAGGAGCGGCAGGGGAAAAGGGGGGTTTAGTGTTTACAGACTAAGAGGAACGGGGGGGTACTAGGGTCAAACATTCCAAACACTCGGCCAAAACCCGGGAGCTCCATTTATTACCTAAATGACTAGCTGTAGTTAGTAACATTCATTCCGTATAGGAAACTCTGATGGTCGCTTGGCGTACCTAACTAGCCATGGAAACGCCGGATGCTAGAACCTTTCTCATATATCCGTGAAAGGGGGAGAACTGTAGAGAATTTTGATTCGTTGCGGCGGGGCGTACGAACACGACACAAGCAAGAAAAGGGGGAGTTATAGATATCGGTGTTTGAAAGAACGTTTCCTGCATCCAACGCCAGAATTGGGGTATCAAGGCTCTATTCTAGATCCATTAAAGCAAAACACCCAGGCCACTAGTTAATCTTCGCCAACCCATCAAGTCGCCATTCCTAGCCTGATGCGAAAAGGAAAAAAGAAAAAAAAGAAAAAAAAGACCCCATAGAAATGAAAGCACGATTGATTATCTAAATAGGCGAGTCCAGCGGCGCCATTACATGCTCCAGACGGTACCAACAACTATGGCCATTAACCAATACGCACTGGTCTGTATGACTATCTGAGTAGCGTCAGAAAATGAAGATTGGTCAGCCACAGTCGTCCCATTGGGCAACGTGCCGTTGATATAGATGGTCTCGGTGCCATTAACTTTAACAACTTCAACAACACTAGAGTTTGCAGGCTGGGTGCCGTTGAACAAAGATTCATAATATGTAGCGTTGGCATTTTCATCACATCCACACTCAGCATACCTCTCGCACAGACAGACCACTGGCATCGATGTGTTTCGATGAGTGGATTGGTCCACGTAGTGGTAATGATAACTATATGGGTAGGCGTATGCGTCGTGTAGCCAAATACCGCCAAAGAAAGCCAGAGCAGTTACTGGCAATATGATAGGTGCTATCCCTAGTGGCGATAATGCGCCTGAGGTATAAGGAGTCTGGGCACCACCCGCGTAATAAGTACCTCTGCCGTACGAGGGCTGCGGTCCCGATCCACTGTGCGATGAGCCCCCAGAATTGCTAGATGAGCTATACAGGCGATGATAAGTCATGAAAGCCCATGCCACTTTTAGATATCTGTGACACTTACCCTGTTCTTGATGACGAGCCACCTTGGCCTCCTCGTGCAGCACTTCCACCGCCACTGTCTCCTCGTCCTCCGCCACCGCCGCCACGCCGTTTGTCTAGGTCTGGCGTTTTAGAAGACCTAGGTGCAAAAACCACATCGTACACGGCTAGATCTGCTTGTGTAGTAGGGTGAGATATGGCTGCAATCGGTAGTAGAAGAAGCGTAGTTATGGAGGCAAACTTCATTCTTCGTGTCACAATACCGTTCGCCTTATGGAAGACAGTACAAGCACAAGGGGTGTGGTTGATACACAAAGCCCTGAACGATGGAATGAGTGGTGAACCAGGAAGTATGTAGCAGCAGCAGCAGTAGTGGTGGTGGTCGTCGTGGTGCGTAAAAGGTAAGACAATCAATCATACAAACAAGGTATGTGCCGTGCACTTCTTTTGATGTCCCTTCCAAATTAATGTCTATCTATCTATCGGGTCGATTAAGGAAGGTTTATATACTTATCTAGTCGTCGGAAATATCAAGAAGATTTGTTAAGGGACATGACTTCAAAAGACAATATACACCACGGTCATTGGACAAAAAGGGCCCACGTGAAGCGGGCGCAGCCACAAAGCCACGCTTGCGTCCACTGTACACAAGTGCATAGTTTACTCATACATACATACATACATACATACATACATACATTAGCTAACTACTACTCGCTATCAAGAGGTTCCTCCATTCAGTGGATCATTAATCTCCCATATACGAAATATCGGGTTCCGTTTGCTCTGTAAGTACATAGCTCCATAATCCTCGGGTCCATCCACACTGTTACTTTACCCTCTTCGTGCTCACTTCTCGCTTTTTGTCCCATTGGAAAAACTCCCGAGAGAAATATACGAGGGCTACAGGCTATTCTGCAAATCACGGTTGTCCTGCCTTAACAAGCGGTCTGTAAAGGGGCTCCCACATCTGCACTCGTATCCACTTTTCTAGATCTTCATCATCCTCGGGAATTCCCTCTTCCTGGGCATGTCCTTCCTTGGTCGCTGTCTTGATGACCGCCCGAGCTATATCCACACTAATTTCACGTACATTCTCGACATCCGGCAGAAGTGCCCGGTTTGGATCTCGCAGTGCCGGAGAGTGAGAAGCCAATGCTTTGGCTGCTGCCACCAGCATCTTGTCAGAAAGGATTCGCGTCCGAGATAAAACCGCCCCAAGGCCTATACCGGGGAAGCAGGTTGAATTGTTGCACTCCGCTATTCCGGGCAAGGTACCTGTCAGCCAGAAATGAAGCCAGTTTGTTTGTCGTAGTATATGACTACATATCACTCACCGACTTCATATTTAATTCCATTACGTTCAACAGGGGGGAATGGGCTCCCCGTCGCGATTAGCGCTCGACCATCCGTCCAGCTGTTGATGTCCTCTGGAGAAGCCTCATGCAGACGTGTAGGGTTGCTTAAAGGAAAGATAATAGGGTGCTCGACGTGTTCTGCCATCTCCCGGATAATGTCCTCTGTGAAGGCCTTCGGCTTTGTCGAGGTGCCGATCAAAACATGCGGTTTTATCTCTTTCACGACTGACAGCAAATCTGTAGCTCTTTCCTTGGGCCACTCTTTGTCATCCCGTGCAAACGGTGCCTGCTCTGCTGTAAGTCGATCACCAAGAGACTTCAACAAAATACCTGGCTTATCCAGGCACCTTTTCCTTGAGATCAGCGCCGATTCTACCATGGTAAGACCTCTCCGCTCTTCCTAGAATGGCTTACCATATCTGTCTCAACGCTTCCTGCTTTGTTCTGCTAGTCTCTGTGGCAATAGTATCGGCAACTTGTTCCGCAATACCAGTACCAGCTGATCCTGAGCCGAAGATAACTACACGAACATCCGCCAGCTTAGTATTACTGACATGGAAAGCCGTCATTAACGCAGCTAGAGTCACACATCCAGTTCCTTGAATATCATCATTGAAACAGGGTATATGCGACCGATACTGATTCAGAAGCCTTCTGGCGTTATGGAGGCCAAAGTCTTCACTACATGGGCATCAGTCTGATGGAGACGGAGAGATAAAGAAGTTGCTATGGGAGGAAAAAACAAGTAGTCAAAAGAGACGGATGGGGAGTCTATGTCGATACTAACAAGTGAATGTAGGCGTTAGGGAACATCTTTCTGGCAGTTGCCACGAAGTTTCCAACAAAATTATCATATTTCCTGCCCCTGACACGCGGCTGCCGAAGGCCCAGGTACAATTCGTCATTGAGTAGATCTTTGTTCTATTTTCAATTAGCCCGGTACTCAAAAGCTGCAGTGAGGAAACATACATCTGTGCCACAATCCAAGACCACAGGCAACTGTCGAGAAGGGTGGATGCCAGCACATAAGGTCGTGAGAACCAATTTGGCCACAGATATCAATATGGACCCCACGCCTTGGTCTCCAACGCCCAGTATCTACAATCAAATCCGTGAGAATTGCTCTTTCGAGTCAAAGAGGTATTTTCTTACTTCTTCGCCATCACTGACAACGACATAGTCGATGTCTGAACCACGACCGAAATTGGAAAGACATTCTTCAATCCTGTCCTGATCTTCGACATTTAGGAAGCAACCCTCTGGTTTTCTAAACAGGCGGGAGTAGTTCTGAATTGCATCACCTTCTGTGGGTGTATATATCACACCAAACATCTCCTTCAGATGAGTTTGTATTAACTTTCACATGTTAGCATGTAATTGGCCTTGTAAAGGAAGCTGTTGTTATATGAACATGCCTTATAATATAGAACTTCATTTTGCGCCTTCATGCTTGCCATGAAGGTATTTTTCGCTAAAGCATCGGGGCGGCTCTGATACTGATGAAATGCCCGCTGGACTTGTTCCTCCAAAGTCTGGATGTTCGGGGGTAATAAACCATGCAGCTTGAACGTCTTCCGTTCTTCCTGAGTGAATGCAGAACCTTTATTAAACTGGCACGATGCGATGACATTCCTACCCTGTGACCTGATGATCAGTACACTGAACTTTCTGGGCGTTTGGCAATCGAGGATGAAAGCATTCACCTCGTAGGGACACTCCAAAGGTCCAGAAGCTGCACGTGGGAGATGTCTAAATTTGGACTGGTGCTGGGGCGTAGGCATGCTCAATATGCAAATCACTGCGCTTTAGATGCAAGGGCTACAGCAATCGGTGATTCGTTGTTGACAATGGGATTCTTAATCTTGAGAACATATAAAAAAAGTAGTTCTTGGGATGATACCATTTGGGGAGGTGGACGGTGCCGATGACGTAGTGTAGTGAAGTGAAAAAATTTAATTGTTTGTTCGAGTAGTACATCAGCATGTTGTAAAATGGACATCAATGGTTCCACTGTAGGTAACTGGGAAACCCCAATCCCCGGTACAGTAAGTAAGTACTAGTTAATATCAAAGTAAAATGTCAATACTATCAAGTTCATTGATATAGTTAAATGGAGCGCTATACCATATGAAATAACTGTAGAGCAGAAACATAAGACGACAGGCATGGTAATGACTTTGCCTTGTTATCCGTCATATTGCTGCCGTAAGTCACATGGCGACGACTCTTCAAACAGGTTACAGGTCATGTAGGCGCGTTCAGACGCCAAGGTGGACCGAAACTAGTCATGTGATGGGGTTAGCAAACCAACTGGCTCGTACCTTACAAGTTTTAATTAGCAGCTTATAACCAGCCAGCTTAATAGATAAATACCTCCAGTTAGAACAAATAGTTTCTAAGTACTTTTAAAGTAGTTAGAAGGTACATTGCAATTAGTTAACAAGCACTTAGAAACTGTTTATTCTTTTACCTTCTCTACCCTAACAGACTCTGTAGGATCTTCTCTTCAATTTATTGAAATATCGTCACGGTCCATTTTATAAAAAGCAAGAAAAAAAGATCCTTCAAGTAATCTAGTTAGAGAATAACTTAAAATGAAAACTTATTTGTGGACGGCAATGATGAGAATGAATTTCACAGGAAATGTTACAGTATCTAATAGCTGAGGTAGACCGTTCTGAGCGCCAAGATATGTGGGGCGCCTAACTCATCTACTTTACTGTCCACCTGACCTGTGTACTCCTCTCAAAGGGGTAAATGAAATATTTCTTGATGACTAAGCTCTAACCGAAGGACAAAACTTCTGCCCCTCATCGTTGAAAATTTCTATCTCAGAAAATCAGCAACATTACTCACGTTCGCCGACAGCAGAATAAACGTCATACAAGCAGCATCCGGATCTAATACTGATACGGACGGTGCCTACAGAGCTTTCAGATTGCAGAATCAAGGTCCTTAATGTGTCTGGACTAGGTGTATTCTAGTGGCTCAAGCCAGGGCTGGATGTTAAACCCCATTCTAATATTGTTTCATTGGGGATCGCAACAATACAACCCAGCTGTCTCAAGTCTACTTGATCCACTACTCCATATGGACAGGTGGAACACCAGATGTTACTACGGGCCCTTCATTAAGAAGGACAGCCACCACATGTCACGTCCTGTGACTGTGGTCCTGGCTGGAGTTGGGTTGTAGGGATTTCATTCCAGTTTCAGTTGCTAGAGCAAGGTACAGGGCCTTCATAGTTCATGTTGCTTGCGTTCTATCTCTTACGAGAGCATGACTCCTTGTGCACCTACAGTATGCGAATAAGAATAGTACCTTAATGTATATATCTTTGTTAAACCTTGAGTATTTCAATATTGAACGCTTGGAAGATAAAGATTACAGCCTACTCTTTGCCTCGTCATCAATGACCTTAACAACCACCTTACCCCAGGTTTCCCTGCCTCCAAGCGCCTGCAATGCCCTAGGAACACTCTCCAATCCGACAAAGCTTTCGTCTTTAAACGCTGTCCCCTTAAATTTTCCCTGAGCCACGAGGTCAAAGATTCCATTCCACACTGAACCCACAGTCTCCTTCTCAAACCTGGCGTACTGTCCCCAGTGCAGCCCAACAATGCTCACATTTTTCAGTAGCACCCTATTCAATGCGACCTTCTCAATCTTGCCCGCCGCGAATCCGATAACCAGCAGGCGTGCATTCCACGCGACGCATTTCAAACTGGCCTCGATCATGCCCACAGGATCATACACAATATCCACACCTGCCTTCCCATTGCCTGTTCGGTGTTGCGCGCACAGCTTCTTCACTTCTTCAGGCCAGTCCTTGTTGCGGTAATCGATGACATAGTCAGCCCCGAACTCTCGTGCAATCTGTCTTTTGCGTTCCGCACCAGCCGTTGCTATTACAGTCGCACCATTACCCTTCGCAACCTGTACGGCAGCCAATCCGACGCCACCGGCGGCGGCGTGGACGAGGACCCAATCACCCGGCTGAACGTTTGCTCGGTGTACTAGACCGCCAAACGAGGTAGGTGCCGTGACGAAGAGACCGGCTGCGTCCTCAAAGCTCCATCCGTTAGGGACAGGGAGTAGGGCGTGTTCAGGAGCGAGGATGTGGGTAGCGTAAGCGCCCTGGGTCGCGCCGAAGACTCGATCGCCGACTTTGAAGCGCAATTGCGAGGCGGGTTTAGATGTTGGCACAGCTAGAATAGTCCCAGCAAACTCAGCGCCTCCGATCCACGGGAGCGGAGGCTGGTGTTGGTATTTGCCTTGTATTTGAAGGAGATCGAAGAAGTTGGTACCTGCGGAGTGAATCTCAATTAGGTATTCACCCGGGGCTGGGGACGGAGTGGGAAGTGTGGAAACTTGGAGACCCAAAGGCCCCTGTTTAAGTAAAACCATCAATAAGGCTACATTTTGGAAGATTACGTAGGTGTAAAACCATAGATCGCTTACCTTGACATATTCTTTAACTTGGATAGCACGCATATTGATGGATAGTCAGATACAATGCAACGGCGATAGTATGCGAGCAGAACCTAAGGGGAAAGGAAAGGACGAGTGTAAAGGATTAATAAAGGAGAGAAATCTCGTCAGCGAGTTTGGATCAATTCCACCAAAAGACAAAGCCTGTCTTGCATATTCAAAGCAGGAGGGAAGCTTCCCCGCGCCTTACCAAGATAGTTGCCGAGGTCCGTTGTCGGAATAATACAGATCCATAGAAAGTTTAGTGATTATCTCATTTCTTCTTCCTAAACTTAGCCCCCACCATTTTCAAGGCTTCACTAGAAAAACCACAAAATTTTAATAACCTACATATGGCACATATCAACGGTTTATGCTCCAAATCAAAGTAGAATATAGCATTGATGAAATCACCAAGTCCAATGCCTCAGAACCCAAATTGACAACCAGTATTGACTCGATTACCTAAATGTACAACGTATGCATAAACACACCTTAACTCCTTCTTTGCTCATGGATATCAAGAAACACTCCTCTGACCCTGTAATACATCCCGTTGCGCCAGGGATCTCATGACCTGCTGAGACCATGCAGCATCATTCATCTGCGTACCACCCCTATAAACATTGATCCCACCTGTTTCCTTTTCAAATGTCATACACATGGGACAAATAAGTCAAGACAACAAAATGGAAGGATAAGAAAAAGGCAAGAAAGGGACGAGCCATGCATGATAACATATTACCCAAGACATTGGGGGAATAGCAATGTAAGTACAGGTTATGAAATGCAAAAAGGTAAGCAGACCGACAATCAATGTCGAGAGATCTGTATATAAAGAGTTCAGATTAATAAGGAAAGGTCGCACACATCACAGGGTGCCCGCCTGAAAAGAATGGGGAAGGAGGTGTCACTAGTCCAGCCGGAGGATGATTTGACAGCTTAGATGGGAGAGACGTCTTTTTCTCAAGCGCTGCTGGCTGTCTTCCTTTCTGGTTGGGCCTTGGGTGGCCGCCAGCGGTACCAGGGCTATAAGAGACAGACATAGCACGAATAGATGGCTTTGTAGCTTCGTGCAAATCAAACACCTGCTCACGTGAGAATGAGCACCCTGGCGAGGGGGGTGAGTATACCCGGTGAGGAGGGTGAGGAACCATCTGCATTGCCGGATCGATAGGGGGGCTTAGAGGTGCAGTAGTGTAGTATGGCATTGACGAAGGCTGAGCCCCAGCCTCTAGATGCATCGGGTACCAATGAGGAACGGCCCAACTGATGGGCTCTGTTGCGGCGGTTGTCGGGGTCGCAATGCATGAGCCAGCTGTCATCGCATAAGGGGGGCTTTGGAAAGAAGGGGCTATTGATGATGTCGAGTCAAGCAAAACGCCATCCACCATAGGAGAAGCGTGAGATGGCTCAAAGGCATTAGAGTTGGGAATAACTACCACAGACGAATCCCGATCTTGAGACCAGGCGTTGGAGGCACCATGGCTATTAAATGGCCCTGTGGTAGGTAGATCATGATGCATATAGGTTCCATCGGCCATAAAAAAGACTGGCTCGGTAGAGGATGATACTGTAACTGGTTTCTGTGTTGGGTACAGCTGGGTCTTGGGGGAAACCGGGGTCTCATCCTTTGGAGACCCTGCTTCGTGGCTACTCCCATCTCCATTGGCGTCGTGTTGGTCATCGTGGGACTTCTTCCGAGTCTGGCGAGATGGTTTGGTAACACGCCATTTCTTTAACCTACTGCGCAACTGAGTCTCACTAGAGACAGAACAGCAGGTTAGACCAGCCGTGAGTAAAAAATATTCCGGGTAGAAGATCTCACCTTGGATTAAAATCATCTGAGCGAATCTGCTTGATGACCTGTTTAAGCGGCCATTCTTCGTCCTTATATAACTTAGCGATCAATGCTTTCTTCCTCTCCCACACGTCCGATGGGATTGTATTCTTCATTTCCAATTGCTATTCTTGACCTGCTCTGATTGATATAGACAACTCGGATGAAGCGACAGTGAAAGATATTCTATCGATAGTGAGGGTGTGCAGAATAAGGTGATGTAAAAGTTTATATATATGACCAAGCTCTGAAGCAAGAGTAGGGGTGAAACTCGAAGACGGAAGGATAAGGAAGAGGCTATTGTATCTTAATGGGAGAAATTGGGGGATGTACGATATAAGTACAGGGCTACAAGATTATTACTGGTAGATCATAGTCGGAGAGTTATGGATCACCACAAGCGCGTGCGCCGCTCCAACCAGCAGTACGCTATGAGGAGAAGTGGATAAGTCGAGGGATGGCAATGAGAAGCTCGTGCCCATCGAGCAGCTCATTCGGGGAGAAGGGAGATCTACCCAGCACGACGATGCCCAGGGAACGACATCGCCAACGAGTGGATCACTTCCTTAGTCTGGTGGGGTTTGCAGCTCGGTCACTCGGGTTTTCAGTTTGCTGGAGGTGGTACTTCCAGTGCCTCGGGTCCTGTCATTCCACTAGTAATACAGTCATCTAGTATATTATTATTAAGTTATAGACGAGGAGTACCGAATCAGCTTGACTCATTTAAATTACATGGGTTGTAAATCTGCAGGCCACCAGGGTTCAAAGTAAGCTTTTTCTGTCGATCAATTTTTTTTGGGGAGGCAGTGTGTCTGGGTTGGAGTAATAGCCATCTTCTTTATATCCGCAATACGATAGATATGTTTAGTGGCTATATGTATGCAAACATAAGTAGATAATGACATGATGAAAGTTACAATGATAACAATTTCATTCGCTTCCACAGTTATGTACTTCTTTTCTTATCCGAATGAGTCAATTATCTTTCATTAATGTGTCTCGCTCTATCAGCCCTTTTCTTTCTTTTCTTTTTTCCTTTCTTTTTTTCCTTTTTCTTTTTTGACTTTCTTTTCTTTTTTTTTTCCTTCACCCTCCCCCTCTCTCGTTTGGTGGCCCCATCTCTTCAAGTTTCTTATTGGATTGTCTAATTATCTCCCGTCAATAGTTTCATTTTATGTAGTATACAGCAGGCTTTACAATTGCGTGCTGGGTTTGTCAGTCAAATGCTTCTGGCCCCTTGTTCGTGTCAACTCGAGGACGATTCCTCTATTTACCTCCCCCTTATAATTTCTTCTCTATATTTTTCCTTTTTTTTGTTTTCTTTTTGAAAATATTTCCTCCCTAGTCCTTGAAACTCAAACTGATCCAAGAAATACATGAGGGTCAAATAAACACCTCTTAGATTTGAGCAAAGATAAAATCATCCATTGGGACAAGGGGGGGATACAAATCCAAATTAATTGAAAGTCCTTAGAACAGTCTCATAGGGCGATCCTCACAGACTAACCAGGTTTGAATCTACTCCGAGTAGGCGTTCTAAGGGGTGATCCCTCCGTTCTGTGTTCATGATGGAGAGGGGCTAAACCAAACTAAGCGCTTGGCGCAGTCATGGAGCTGCCTATTCGGGAATGGATGCGGATCCTCCAGGACTGTAATCGGTACCGTAGACCAAAGACGAAGAGAGACTGAGGTATCTTCTCCTAACCTTAGTTTTCCGTACCTAGTAACCACCTACCTGCAAGAGGTGGGATACATGGAACAGATACAGCACGTGGGCACCGTATTAGTGCGTATTTCTATCCGCAGTGTAGTACTCTGTACTGTAGTTGGTACATGAGTACAGACATACTTATCGGAACACATTCCATGTTCTTCCATATTCCCCTTTAAGGTGTTCATATTAAGATATCCCATTTACTCCCGACTTCCATTAAGGACCTATTCTTCAGGCGACCAACGAAGTCCTAGTACAATCAGTGACACCGGCTAGGAACTGTTCCGATAGCCTGAAACTCGGAGATTGATCACCTCAACCATGCATTGTCATTCCATGGGTGACACTTGGAGAAAGATCATCAATGGAATGGTTCTGGATGGAGCAACCTGCGGAGAAGACATTCTTGGCTCATCGCACTAAGTCTAACAAAACCATGTGGCTTGACTGGTTTGATCATAGTCTGTACTATCCCTGTCTCATAGCAATGGTAGTAACTGAGCAAGAAGAGAAATGGTTGCGAGATATCACTATTAACAGAGGATCAGAGTATACTTGCAAATTATAGTCCTTTAATCTCCTTACCAATATGATCGTAATTTTCCTCCCTCTCGTCGTCGTCCTAAATTTAGTTTGAGGTTGAAGCTTGAATTAATTTAATATTCCTCTCTCTCTAACTGTGCTGTTTGCCGATGCTACCCCGTAACAGGTCAAGTGATCAATCCCCGGCGGCTGATCGGAAGCCAAACCAAGGAACCGCAGCGCGCAAATTAACTCTGCGTGCACCGTTGGAAACTAGTAACCATTCGATAACCATGTGGTTCTCTGAAGAAAGTTTACATTAGAAGAATCGGAGGTTAACTTCCGCCGGAGGGGAAGAGAGATGAAAAAAATTGAAGGGAAAAGTAAACATCTGAAATGAAATAGAATGAAATGATCTCATTGACCGATCCTGAACATTATTGACAACACTGGCAGGAAGCGAAAGGGAATAGTGTCGCGACTAAGCCATCTAGCCCTTGACAGAAGTGGGGATTCTGGACTCTGGAGAGACTGCAAAGTGGCAATCACGCGGGAAAAAAAGCAGGGAGATAGTACAGAGTAAGTACCACCCCTCCCAAGGCAAGCCAGATCAAAAATAGACAGATAAATAAAAAAGAGGATGATAAAGAGATCAAATAAAGCAAGCAAGCCTCCATCGTCGGACTACTTTCGGAAGTGGAGTGGCGCAAATCCCCTAACGAGATGCCTCATCGATCTGGGGAGGAGGTCAGTAGTGACGATCAATCGCCCGGCAGTGGGACGACTCCTGGTTGATCTCCCCCAAGGTCCTCACTAATTCTACGCTCCAGGATTCAACCAAGCCAGCTACTAAGGTGGGAACGAGTCTCAATCACTCAACATGATTTGGTCGGGACCCTTTAGCCTGCCCCCACGTTGCAATATCCCAAAACACACCTGACCTAACTTGATCTACAAGGCAATTGCCTCGGTCGAACGCTGCAGCATGAAGGCTGTTTTTCTCTTTGCTCTGATAAGGCTGATCGTGCCTGTACTGTGCTCCCCTAACCTCGCACACTGTTCTTTGTGAAACAAGGAGGAATATCTGACGCTAGCAAAGTTAAAATTACGTATGATATACGATAGCAGACCAATCTAATACCTCCAGTAATACACCACACCCACACTCTCTCCCTTGTTAGGGTTGGAACCATGGGATGCCGCTTGCACAATGCTCCGCTGCATGTGCCTTGCTTGGGTGCCTGCAGAGACCGAGTTAATCTGAGCCTCCAGTTATCTATCAAAGTCATCCATTCTCCCACAAATTACATCAGCAGGCAGATCTCAATGTTCTTGAATTCGAAAGCATAGAGATGTACAAAGCACGTTTATCACGACGGGTGATTCTCATATGTCTGCGTCTGTGGCTGGCTGGGTGGAAAGCTTAAGAGTTTACGTATGCTGCAGGATGGAGGAGAGGGGGAAGGGCCCTTCAAGGCTCGAGCTATACTTATACCTACAAAATGACATTTATTTACCTACACAAATACTCGGATTATTGTCGGATTATTGGCTCGGAAATCTGGTCGGCGAATAGCTTGGCAGGTTGATGCCGGATCGTCTTGCTGTCATTGCACCTCCGCTGATTGACCTGCTAAGGCCAGATACTTGATAGTTTTGGAATTCTCTTACATATAGCTGGGGAGATGTGAGTGGATTTGGGGGGGTATTATTGTAATATTTTTTGGCCGACGGCGATATCGGAGGAATAGAAGGCGTGTACTCCGAATGTATGTATGTAAGTACATACGTATCTCCATGCATAGTACGGAGTATATGTATAAATATAGATAGATAGGGTACGGAGTATGTATTTTGTTTGGCTGTTTGTGCATATGCATAGACTGACTCAGTAATCTGTACAAAGTCATTGCATCAACCATTTTGTAGAATTTTGCAGAAGATTTGCCTTAGTCGAACCCGCATCAACTTCGGTATCCGGCACTCAGGATCGTGATTTGCGACCATTCCCGAGGAACTTCACCATTCTGCCTCTCGGAGACCATACCCCATGCGTCCAGCACCCAAATCCCTCCTCGATCTTTATGAGTATAACCCACGTGGGCGATTGAATTTTGGTTCAAGGTTTTAATAATGCTAACTTGTGACCAAGTTTTCCCTTCATTCTTTTTCTTTCCCTTTCTCTTTTCCTTTTGTTGATAGTGCTGAATAAACTCCGCGGTAATGGTATGGATTCCGAGATGGCAATGCCGTCATAAGGTTTCAAGGCAGGGATGGGCAGTGATAATTGGTATGGGGGTTCATTGACAGTCATAGGTCCAGTAATCTGACTTTCTCTTCCTTTCCACCTGGCCTACTGTACTCTACTTGGTATGCAATTCGGCCGAAGGATCCGAATCCGCAGATCATAGTAGGCATTGAGTCCAAACCAGACCAACTACCTAGCGATATAGAGTTCAAGCCCAGGCTCCAACTGGTACAGGAGTAACGGTCTTCGCGTGCAAACTAAATTCACTAAGTCCACCACCGTCACTAGTGCCCCAGAAGGAGGACACAGACAGTGAACTATCATTACCAAAATGAGTATTATGGACTTGTCGAAAGGTCAAGTTCTAGGAAGGAGAAGCCTCCGGATCTGTTCACATCTCCGAAACGGCCGAACTCCTTCCTCCAAGACAGAAAAACGGTCTCTGCTCCCCTTTGGTTGGGCACACATCTCGAGCTATCTTTTGAAGTTTGAACCTGGATCTACATCCCGGCTGTTCCTTGTTCCCGAGACAGCCTGCTCTTCTTCCTCCATACAGTTCCAGCCCCTGGGAGTCTGATGGCTGATCAGTGGGGCGTTGTGTCCAAGGCATTACTGGATGCTCTTGTGTGGTTGTTGGAGACAGCCGTGCTCCCAGCACTTCCTGCTAAGGTTTGGCAGTCGACTCCAACTAAATTCCATGGTTCAACCGGTTTGGACTCCAGCCTATCAACGCTACCGTTCAGCAAGAACTCTCGGCAGTTTCTGCCTGCTATATTTCCCATTGGCCAAATATCATATCACGAAAGTCATTCAGATTGGACTGGTCTGGACCACATTCACGAAGGAGACGATTCCTTTAGATGGTCGGACTAGTATCTCAGATCTTCCATGGTCTCTCTCATCAACTACTAGGCGTGGATACCGCGGGCATGGTATGTCTCAACCTCGACGACGTAGACTTGTGTCTATCCAAGTGGATATGTTTCAGAACGATGTTGCGCATAAACTTTCACTGGTCTGCTTCCTATGAGCGATTTACTAATGACCAAATATAGTACAATCCACCGGAGGACAGCACTGCTAGAATGGCATTGCTCGGAGGTATTCTACCTTTTAAACGACCAGCAATCAATTGCCCGGAAAGTTAGCGAACTACGATGCGATCCTAGTCTGTGTTGAAAACGCATCCTTCCCTTTTCTTTTTTTAGCTAGATTTTTCACCCGTTTCACCATTGCATGGAAAGGTAGCATGCCAGACACCGCTACTCTTGCTGAAACGAGCACTATTAACCCACAAGAGCCAATGACATTGTGATCCTGTATGGTCATCAAAATCCATGATGTATTGATACATACAACCCTCTGCCTGGGTAACCCAACATCTAACTACTGGACCAAAACTTAAGAGAGAATAGCACAAAACAGTTCAGTGCTTCGGTAGAGATGAAATTGAATGCGCTCAGAGAAATGAAATCCCACTACCCAACCATTTCATCAGATAAACATTAAAGAAAGAAAGAGGGGAAATAGAAACATCTACAAAGCGAGATAGAAGAAGTCTTTTTCCTTCCATGACGGACGCCTCCAAACTCCAGCCAGTATTCTTTTATGCACACCCACCTTTCTCTCCCTCTCCCTTTCCCTTGACAGGGAGAAGTAAGAACTGAACCGCGACACAAGTTTAATATTCAATCGCAAAAATACAATTACATTAGACATCTTGAGTCCTAATTCTCCTGAACCAAATCACTGATGTGATAGATTAAATCTTTTAGTCGTCCTAACGGCGTCTCTTGCGAAGACGATGTTCCTTGCCCTTCTTGGACTTCTTCTTACTCTTGTCCGGGGGCAGAACGAGCGGTTCATCCTTCAAGTTCCATTCCATAAATCGTAGGAGGTAATCATCGATGTGGCAAGGTTGTGGCTCAACATCTACCAGTTCGTCCGCACTAGTCCCAGGTGTTCCAACTTCGTCGGCTAGCGGGGTCCCAACCTGGGTCTGAGCTGGCGTTTGAGCGGGGGTACTATGAGAGACACTCCGATCCTCAAAATCACCATCATCTGCATGCTCCAGCTCCTTTTGGGCATTCTTTGCCGCATCAATATCTTCTTTGTCCTCAGCCTGTTCGAAGACGCGAGAACTGCCCGATACTCTGTTCTCGAGGACACGATCCATTGCGGCACTAGCCTCATCCTGGCCCTCCAATATTTCGTCATCACTAATCACCTCGCGAACATCCAGCTTGGTAAAGTAATCCGTGGTAAACTCGCCTTCTTGGATGATGACGTCGTCCAACATCCTTTTCTGATTGGCCTTACGAAGGATGTTGGATTCAATGGTGTATTCCGAGACGAACCGGTAGATGTGAACATCGCGCGTTTGCCCAATGCGATGACAACGATCCTGGCACTGTTTGTCCATTGCGGGGTTCCAATCGAGGTCGTAGAAAATCACAGTGTCGGCACCCGTCAGATTGATACCCAACCCACCGGATCGACTGGATAGAATGAATGCGAGGATGCGGTTATCATTGTTGAACCGATCTGTAAGAATCTGACGCTGCTCAACTTTGGTGGTGCCGTCTAGTCGGAGGTATCGATGGCCATGAATATTTAGGAACTGCTCTAAGATGTCAAGCATCTTAGTCATCTGTGTGAAAATCAGCGCCCGATGACCTCCGGCCTTAAGGTCCCGAAGCAATTTATCGAGCCTTTGCAGTTTACCGCAATCATACTGCAAGAGGCGCTTATCTGGAAATGCGATGGAAAGCCGCATTTGGGCTTCGTGAAATGGGTCGTAGGGCGGGAATCTCTCCCTCTTGGTTAAATGCCGGGTCTCGATCGGAGTCAGAGCTGCCTTAGTGATTCCAGCGGCGACCGCAGCTGGGGTAACACAGGCAAACCGCTGAATATACCCATCCATGGTCTGTGCCCTTTCTTCGATGGACAAAAGCATCGAGGCAAGAACGGACGACCGACTGGACAGCCAGTCTGCCAATGACCGCTTCCGCAGCGGACCATTTGACGTCGGCCGTTGTTTGCTGTCAGCTGTGAGAAACTCAATGAGGCTACTTCCATACACAGGACGGCGACCGTGCCGCTTCGACTCGAAATACAGACACCGTTCCAACTCCGCCATTCTCTGCTTTCTACAGTCATTTTCTAGTGCTTCCAATGTTGACTGTATAGTGGAGCCGTTGAAGTTCATCTCCCAATTAGTTCGGTGGTACTGCCGCTCGCGAAGCACGTTAAAAGGACCGAAAGCCATGAGTCTCGTGCTGTCATCAGCCAGTCTTCGGGATGTATCTTCCCTTGAGATAGGGACTAGGTTAAGGAAGTCCAGATCAAGCCTGTCGAGAGGGTGCTCAAAGAGAAGCCGTCGGCGAATGAGAAGTTCTCGGGTCTCGAATTCGGTAGCCACAGAACGTGGCATCGCAAACGATGTGGAAATCGGTCGAGTCTCAAATAGATCTGGATGGTTACAGACTTTCCGTAGCTGCATGAGACAATTGATAATAGACAAATAGTTCCCAGAAGCCAGAGTTTCTTTGGTTTGTGCCCTGGACATGAACCCATCATAGAGGAATCGTTGGCGCTTTGAGAGCCTACAATAAACGACATGCTCGTATTTCGCGGGCATCTGCTTCTCGACGTCGGCTTTAAGACGACGTAATATATAAGGCCTCAGAACAGTATGTAGTTTGGTGACGACCTGTTTTGCTTCATCATCCATCGTCTCTCGGCCGTGTTCGAGGATTTGCTCTACCGGACGTCGAAACCACTCGGAAAAATTTCTAAGATCCGCGAATCCCTCAATGCCTGTCTCATCGCCATCAGATGGCATCAAGAAGAATAAGAGCGACCAAAGTTCTGTTAGGTTATTTTGAAGTGGTGTACCGGTAAGTAGTAGTCGAGCTCGTGTCCTGAACGTTAGTAGCGCTTGCCACCTCTGCGAGCGAAAATTTTTGATATTATGCGCTTCATCCAAAATCATGTAATGCCAATTCCGTCTCTTTAGAACCTGCTGATCTTGCAGAACTAGCTGGTATGAAGTGATAAGAACATTCCAGCTCGTGTCATCCATCCAGCCCCTACGTTTCTGCCGTCGCTCCTCTTGGTTACCGTAATAAGTCATGATTTTGAAACCCGGACACCATTTCTTGAACTCCATTTCCCAGTTAAGAATCACGCTTGTAGGCACAACAACAAGGTGTGGCCCCCATACTTCATGTTCCACAGCCAAGTGTGCTAGCAATGCGATAGTCTGGATAGTCTTGCCAAGGCCCATTTCATCAGCTAGTATGCCATTGATATGATTTGTATATAGGCCAGCAAGCCAGTCCAATCCAAAATGCTGGTATTCTCGTAGGGTTCCTCGAAGTAGATGCGGAATGGGTGTCTTCAATCCAGGGACAGGAGATTCAGTGGATTGAGCAGGTTTTTCTCCTAGAGCTTCGTAAGACGACACAGACTCAGGCTCGGAGGGTTTCGTAGCATGCGTCCCCGGAGATGCTTCACTAGAAGGCTCTCCACTCTGATAAGTCTCATGCGGTTCTTGATCCATGTCCTCTGGAGACCCAGTATGGGTAGTTTCAACCGGGGTATCCAGCGAATCTAAACAGCCAAGATTCGATGGATCCGTCATTTCAGCCTCTGTAGCTTTTATCTCAGTAGGAGTGTTGTCAACAACCGGGGGATCCTCGGCGGCATCCTGGGGTGTGACATCTGACTTTGCTGGTCCATTAGGTACAAGGGAGACTTCATCCGAGTCCTCCAGCCCCTCATCTTCATCATCAGATGCCATCTTCGCATGGCCGCTGTTAGCTTCAACAGGGTCATCAGAATTATCATCGTTAACGTCAAGCTCGTTGAATGGTGAATCGTTGGTAGAAAAAAACCCTAGCAACCCCGGTCCATCATCACTTTCACCATCAGTGTCGAAATCATTAGAATCCCCATCATCACTTTCGCTCATATCATCCATATCTGTAGACACCTCGTCACTATCATCCATGAGCATCGGGTCAACATCCTCAAGTTGGATTTGCTTTGGTGACAGCTCTGCCATAGTTAAACTAGTGCCTCCACAGTTATCTGCAAGACGACCGACCGGTGAGGTCTCACTGTTTCTGGACTGGACCGTGTCGCTAGAAGCCCGAGACTCGTCATCCGAATCATCATGGGGCGCGGGAAGGTTGGCATACTTTAACCGGAGCTCCTCTGCTGTTAAACCCTCATCATCATCTATATCACCTTCATCTTCACTTTCCGACTCTGTAGATGACATATTACTTTCGCCGTCTGAGCCTTCATGAGATATATCATCCGTTTCACCTCCTTCGTCGCTAGATTCGGGAGCATCACTCCCAGTTTCTCCAAGGATCTCCATGCGTCTTTTCTCAAAAAGCATAGTGGACTGTTTTATTGCACGGTCCAAAGCTTGTTGATCCTCTGCTTTTCGTTCTTCTTCCCAGCGTGCCAGACGCACTCGGTCTACTTCTGCACGAGCTAGGTCGAACATCTTCTGGAGATCCTTGGCTAACTGTTTGCGTTTCCCACGCATCTCCTCCTGCTGTTCCCTGAGTATGTCCTCTGGATCCTTGTTGCGCTTCCTCCACGCGTCAGCGCACCATTGAGCGAAAAGCCTTGCCGTGTGACGGTGACGCCTATGTTCTTGATCAAGAAGCTTCTTGAAATACAAAGCGTGTGCCATAAAGTGGTCCTGGTGCGAATATTGAGGGGGTGGTTCGTCTTGTTGCTCCGGTAGATAAGCAGAGCATACGTCTGAGCTAAGAAGACCGCCAGGCTCGATAGCTGCGGTGATTAGGCGCCTCTTTTTCGCCTCCTCGAGCGCATCTGATGGTGTTATAACTGCGTCATCTCGTACCCTCCCATCCTCACTCTCGAGCCATTCTCTGAACGAATTGTACTTTCGAGGAGGTAAGACGTGGGAAGGATGCTGAATACCGAGAGACGGCTTTTTAACCTTGATTCGCAACCTAGGGACACGCTGACCATGACCATCTCCTTCACCATTTCCCACCTCTTTTGTTACTTTCCCGCAGCCACTCACCCCACTTGCCGCAACAGTAGTAGACCCGTTAAGACCGACGTTGGAGGTTCGAAAAGAGGTTGAGGTACCAGAGCTTCTAGATCTCGTCCGTGCATTGGTTTCCTTGGGAGCCGGAGACTGTGAGACACATTGTCGGCTTCCGCCTGCTCCTCTCATCGACAGGCTTCTAGGCGATCCGTTGATTGCTGTTGTGCCGCTAGCAGACTTTCCATTCGTGTCCGAGCGCGATGGGGTTGTCGACACTGACGGCTTTCCACCACGGGAAGCATCCTTACTTATTGTCTGGTTCTGGGTTACTCGAGTATGTCTTTTGTCCGAGGGGGGCTGAACCTTGAAGGGTAGCGCATTGACTCTCGAAGACTTGCGCCTGCCATCTTGGATGAAGGAGGTCGGTCCATCAACACCAGCCTTCTTCCAGGGAGGCGATGCTGGCCGCGGGCTAGAGCGATAAGTAGTAGTCGTTCCTGCAAGTTTTCGCTTCTTTGATGGAGGCCCTGCCGTATTATCGGTTGCGATCTTGTCTTCTCTAACCTCCGCCAGTACCGAGTCGCAGTTTGCAGAATCAACGAGATTTTCGGAAGTAGGCAAATCGGTAGGTGAAGTTTCTAATTCGGAGGTCACGCGTTCATCTTGTTGCGAAATGCCGTTTGGGCTGCCGTTTTGCATGTCTTGTAACCACGGAGACAGGGGCCCTCTTCACAGCTGACCCCAGCTTTCCCAACGAGGACACGGTCGAAACGGGGAAATTTAGCATCAACGGATAGCTATAAACGAGTTAAAATGCCACAAGAAATTTGGCATAGTTATCAGCACAGTAGCGCGGCTGGGGATGGGAAAATAACTCGAGTGTAAAGTTTGGGTGAAGAAGTGGTTTTTTCTTATTGTGACGAAGGGTACAGAGCGACGTGTATGTAAGCGCGCCCGCAGGCCCAAGCTCTGCAACGATGCCTGAGGCCCCGAAGAACCGCTTGCCGCAAACCTCCAATTAATCCGAAACTCGTCATTGTCGCTTTCACTTCATCTTATCTAGTAATCTTTCTACCCATTCTTTGCCAACTGTCACCACCTGGCTATCCACGGCAGAAGGGTGAGTACCACTTTCGGAGTGCTCTGCAAACCCCTTCTATAAGCTTCCTTCGCTAATGGCGACAAATAGATGCTGTCTCAGCGGATTTTGACCCGGCGTCTGCCCCAGGCGGTAGTTCGCTATAGCGCCCCTCGCGCCTCTTTCTCACGAGGCCGGATTCTTACGGCTGCGGAGCTTGACGATCCTTTGCAGGTATGATTTACCTTATGACATAAGCAGCTGGTTTTATCGCCAATTGACATTGTTCGGGTTCAACACACAGAATGGCAATTATCAGAATCCTCCTCGCGTTAAGCGTGCCTTCAGAGACCCTCACGGCGACTGGTGGGACAAACAGGAAAGACGGAACTTTGGAGAACCAGTTCATGAGGAGAATGAAATCCTCGGGGTTTTCAGTCCTGAACAGTATACTCACGTTACGGCCCGTAGGGGCTTCTTCCATCTAGGAGTGTTCGTTGCAACATTCCTGGGGTTCTGTGGTGTCGTGAGCTATTACTATCCTGACAAGCCCAGCGTTCCAAAAGCATACCCGGAAGGCCTGGAGAAGGAACTTGGAGGACCTAATGCTGTTCGGGTGCGTCTCTAGCTCATATCCCCAGCTTACACTTTACCTGAACGTTAGGCTTACAAATTTGACCCTAGGCTCGCAACTCCAGCGAGGACTCTTGGTAGTTGGTTGATATTGCTATCTTATGTTGTGTAAATAAATATAGTATGATTTTCTCTTTCGGCGTCAATCGAAGGTTTGATTGTCGATGGGTTTGGTGTGAGGGCGGCTTTTCACCGGCTGACCTGCTCCCCTACACCTAATGGCCTCAACTTTCACTCCCTACTTCGAGTTGATCTAGGGCGTGCGTAGTCTCCCTATGGTAAGATTAGTCCAGCTAGATGAGGGCAGTCAGGGATCAATGAAGATGAGCGTCGATAAAGGCATTACGTGATCATTGTACTGCACTATGTTCTCTATTTATTCTCAACTATATATAGGCAATAGGATTGAGTAGATTTGAAGGGAGACCCGCCAAATAGAATTAATAATATTAACAACTAACCAGGGGGCACCCATAAATTCGGTGTAGACCCGTCTTATAAAGAATTACATAGTGAATTAATAGCGCAGCTGGACGGAGCGGCAGCTTGCATAGTGCGAGTCGAGATTTTATTTAGACGGCCCTCACTACGTCAGTTGTTTGGGGGAGCTTTTTTCTGTTTCAGGTTGCAGAAGCCTCCCGCCAGCAACAACAGACACACCCCCTTTCTTCCCTTCTACCCGCCGGGATCTTTCTATCAATTCCCCCCTCTTCGTACCTGTCCCACCTCCTCAATTTTGTGGATTTGGTGGACCTACCAAATATCCTGCGACTTATTTCAGTCGGCTTGTGCTGGCTGGTGGTACGATCTTTGTCTTTCATCCATGGTCTCGCTTTCCGTTCCCTCCCCTCCTGAACACTGCAACATTTGGATAGAGAATATACCTCATGTCGACAGCATCTAATCAACCCCGAGGCATCAACCGACGGGTTAATAGCATTCAAAATGAAGCTCGCCACACGCGCACCCTTTCTGGATCCCGTCGACGCCCCGTGAGCTCCACAGCAGCCTACACATATGCTCTCAGAGTCGCTTACCTTTCATACCTCCTTCAACCGCGTTCACGCCGCGTGCAGAATGTTCCCACTCCCCTGCAGCGACCAAAGCGCTCGTCGACCTCTTTTCATGATCTCATGAGCGACTTTTCACTTGTTAGGGATTCAAAAAGCACAAGGTTTCCCCATGGTTTCATAACTGAACTTGAGAAGAGGTTGACGGGGGTCTTAACCAAGAAAGAGAAAAGAAAGGAATACCAGGACCCGCTCGTTGTCAGAACATTCGCCGCCTTTCTTAACACCCTAAAAGAGCAGTCATTCAAGAAGCGCATGGAGAAGGATCGTCGGGCCGAAGATCTTGTCCTTATCTTCTACTCGAATGCAACCAAAGAACTAGGCAAAGGAAAGGATCCGGATGATGATCATTGGAAACTCATGGTGGACAGACATGTCGCACTCTTTGTCCGGTTGATATCACTCATTTTGAAAGATCACGACTGGGCGAAAGAACGACCAGAGCTGGCAAATCGATTATCGGTCTTGGAGAATAAACTCCTCTCTCAAGATCAAGACCTCGTGCAATCTAATAGTCCATCCACGGTGGAAGTTATGGTGCCACTAAGTTATGATGTGAGAGATATGCCTCTAGTACAACTTATCGCAAGGGTTTTCAATACGAGTAATGCCCAAGCGCAGTCCGACATCGACAAACACCGGGACGTCTGGACTGCTCAGGCGGCTCTTAAGGACCTTAAAGCTTATCAAACCCATCTCAGCCTTAATACTCGGAAAACGTTGTCCAAGGAAGACTTCGAGAACGAGGAGGCATACGAAAGCTGGAGGAAAAGTGAAGGCCCTGAGCTGTCCCAAATGATGCTCGCTATCGTACAATCGAACCCAGAGCTAGCAAAGAGCACCCCAGGTGCGTTTCCCCAGTTCAATGCAAATATCGGAGACCACAACGATGCAACTACTGGGGATATGTCAAGAGTCAGTACCGACAGGCCGATATCATATGTAATCGACCAACCAGTGGATCTCAGTTCGCTATCTCTAGGCGATGATAACAATGAATCTGATGAGTCTGATACATACACGTACATACCAGTGGATCCGCGAGCTATGTATAGGTATATCTTGGCCCAAATTTTGAGCCATGACCTGAAAGAGCGCGAAATTGAAGCTACACAGTCGACGCCTGAAATGTCTTCTATGAAACTTCTCTCGAAGCAGTCAGCCGAGTTCTTGAACGAAGTTTGTCTTCGTTGGCGAATCCCGCATTTTTCTAGACTAGTCTTGTTCCTGGAAGTCATCCGATCGAAATTTGTAGACAACGAGATTGATCTCGACACGCTTGATTCCGCATTTACATATATCAAAGAGACACCATCATCGGATAAAAAGCGCAGCAGCTTCGTGGCTTCGGTCCTTTTCGACCGGCACAAATGGACTATACACGACCTGCTTTCAATGCAACAAATACTCTCCTCCCTCCATGAAGCACTCCTGCGAGAATTATACGATGTCATGATGGATTGTTACGAAGGAAAGCCTCGCCCCATCGGTCCTGTAATGTACATCCTAGAGAATCATATTCAGCTTGACCCCAACTACACAGAGGACCTAGAGGATATTGACCGTTTTCGCTCGTATGTTCGAGATGGTCTCGCTCAGAAAGCAACAGAAAAGTACCAAGACCTCCTTGGGCATTATGTTCCAGTGGATCAAGAAACCTGGGAGTTCGACCATATCATTCAGCTTTGTGACGCCATAACAAAACTTGCTCAAAAGATTAGGAAGCGCTACCGAAATAACCCGGAGATTATGGGGTAAGATACAGCTATCTCAGCTAATTCTTTTAGTTTATCGATACATTTCACTCACAAAACGCAGGGTCAACCCGTACAAGATCTTGCTTTCCAATGTGCTTCCGATATTTGCAGAAGATGCTCATGAGATGGTGGTTCGGATAGTTGAACAGGGCAAATTACGAGGAGAAGAAATTCCAATGGAGGATGGGTTTGATTTATATAAGCAATTCACAGCTATACGCCAACTCTTCATTGAGGCACTCTCTGGGTACGATAATCGCTGTCAATATAAGATGTCGGTACTAATGCGAAATCAGTGTTCCTTTCCCGTTTCGTGTTGAGGATCTGCTGGAAGATTTTGTCTGGCGTTGGATCCGTATGACAGACGAGAAGATTACAGAGTGGGTTGAGCAAGCTGTCAGACAAGATGCCTTCACGGTCCGAGCCGATGACTCGACTGAGATGGTCTCGCAGGAGTATCGGCACAGCGTTTCCGTTATAGACGTATTCCGCTCGTTCAACCAGGTAGTAGAGCAAATGATTCAACTCGGGTGGGATGATGACTTCCAATACGCGAAATTCATGACTGCATTGTCTAAGTCGATTTCAACTGGCCTTGCGAGATACTGTGAATCGTTGGAACAGATGTTCGCACGAGAAATGGATCGGCTCTCTCCAGACCAAGAGGCCGCTATGAATCAAACAACCCAGGAAAAGTTGATGCAAATCGCCAAAGAAGCGTGGGCAAGCAAGGAGAAGATCGAACCATTCCAGTTCTTTCCAGAGGTACGTCTGTTCCTTGTCAATTTTTCTTTTGTTTTTATTTGGCTTTACCCCTCTTTTATGTGACTCGTATGGTTGACGATGCTATAGTCGCTTGTGAAACTGAACAACGTTGAATATGCCCTTATCCAGCTTGACAAGCTAGAGCGGGAAATAAACGTTGACGGCTGTGCAGATGTTATAATTAAGCATGCTCCTCCACAGATGCAGAAGATGCGCAGATCAACTACCTATGTCTTTACGATAAAAGTCGTGGAAGCTGAAGATCTGAAAGCTTGCGATATGAATGGGGGTAGTGACCCCTATGTAGTGTTGACGGACGAGTATCAGAAGCGCATAGCAAAAACCCGTATTATCTACAACAATCTCAACCCGCGGTGGGACGATTCTGTCGACATCACAACGCAGGGGCCACTGAACATCATTGCGACGATATGGGACTGGGACGCTGTAGGAGATCACGATTATGTTGGCCGCACATCGATTAAACTAGACCCTTTACATTTCAGTGATTTCTTGCCGAAAGAATATTGGCTCGATTTGGATACACAAGGGCGATTGCTGCTTCGTGTCAGTATGGAAGGAGAACGGGACGACATTCAGTTTTACTTCGGTAAAGCTTTCCGCACATTAAAGCGCACCGAGAGGGACATGACGCGCAAAATCACGGAGAAAGTAAGTCCAGGTCACACCCCTAATGAATATAAACATAGTCATTAACACAAAAAAAATAGCTGTCTGCGTATATCAGTCACTGCTTGTCTCGTCGAACCTTGAAATCCTTATTATCGCGAGGCCTCAGTATCTCTAGTGTTTCCAACTTTCTTAGCCGAAATCGGGCGCAAGCTACTGTCACAGGACCATCGAACGCAGATGTAGAAAATGCACTGACTCCGCTTTTTGACTATTTTAACGATAACTTTGCAATCATGAACAAGACGCTAACATCTGAGGCCATGAAAATGGTTATGGCTCGCTTATGGAAGGAGGTGCTCAGTACTATCGAGTGCTTGCTTGTACCTCCTTTGTCTGACAAGCCATCTCATCAGAAACCTCTTACGATGCAGGAGGTCGATATAGTCTCACGCTGGCTCGTGCTACTCTTGAATTTCTTCCATGCTGTCGATGATGAAACTGGTGAAGCTAACGGGGTTTCGATTGATATCTTGAAGTCGCCTAAGTATCATGAGATCCAATCTTTGAACTTTTTCTACTTTGAACCGACCGAGAATCTCATTCGTACTTCTGAGAGAATGGCTTCAGCAACCATATCTCGGCAACAGGCAAATAAGAACCGCGTGTCCGCGCCAGCCCATCTTGGATCTGCTGGATCAGGCGGATTCCTCGGCGTTCCTGGTGCTCGACGAGCTAAGAGTATCATGCTCTCACGGAACCTCGGAACGATGAAGAAGATTAAGGAAGAGAAATGGCGAGAGGCCCAAGCCGAACCAAACGATGACATGATCTTGCGGATCCTCCGCATGAGGCCAGAAGCCGCTGGCTACCTGCGCGATCGAAGCCGTCAGAAAGAGCGACTTGCGGCTGCAGCAGCTGCAGATGCCATTGTGAAACAAAGCCTTATGGCTAGCGGTGGGAGGATGACGGGAACTCTTGGACGACGATGACTACTATGATGACCTCTTGCTTGCAGGTTGCACCTGTTCTTTGTTACGCTGAAATGTTGTTTCAGCATCGTTTGACTATTTTACATGCACAGCACATGATGATTCCCACACCGTCTGCTTGAAGTTACGATGCACTTGTTGTCTACCGGTAGTTTTCGGCCTGTATTTAGAGAGCTCCTACTTATAATGAGACACTAATAATCGTTAAGCGATCATTCATGGATGTAGTAGACTGGAACGAGCCAACCATAAACATATTTGATTGCCCTGTGGTTATATGTCACGTATCTGAAATTGAGTGTATTACTCTAGAGCAATACACTCAATTTCCACAGGCACACCTTTGGGAAGCTGAGCAACAGCAACACAGCTACGAGCGGGTTTATGAGTGAAGAACCTCTCATAAGTAGTGTTCATCTCAGCGAAGTTGGCCATATCAGTTAGGAACACCTGAGACAGGATCTAATATCAGCAACAACCTGCCGTAGCTCAAATCCGGAAAGGAGGAAAAGGGGAAGGGAGACAAAAGGTATACACACATTGACCTTGACGATCTTGTTGACGCTGGAACCGGCAGCCTCAACAATAGCCTTGATGTTGTTGCAGCACGCCTGTGTCAACTCGCCAATGTTTCCGGTAACAAGGTTTCCAGAGGCATCCGCGGGGATCTGACCGGAGACGAAGATCTGGCCATTGGCACGGATGGCTTGAGACTGTAGGGTAAATTGCAAGGTCAATGAGGTTCAATTCGCCCTTTTCGGGTGAGGAAGGAATAGATGCCAGGCACGGTCGGCTGGCCGGTTGGTGAACTTACGTAGGGGCCGGCAGCTGTGAGGAATCCACTTGTTAGCTGGATCTTCCACATGTTTTCTAGGTGTGATTTCCAGGGCTTTGGTTAAGGGTAATTCGAGAGCGGGGGAACTTACGAGGACAAGCACCCGCAGCGGAGATGGGAGTCATGCCAGACATCTTTATGATTTGAATATGGGATTGAGTTCGGGCGATACGAGGGAAGGAGATCGTAGATGACGAGGAAAGAACGAGACAAGGGGAAATTCGAGAAAAGGCGAGGCGAGAGCTGGTCCGCAACATTGGTGGGGAGGAGGGGTTATTTATTTGGGAGTATACCTTAGTACAGTAGTACTGAACCTAGTAGTATTCCGCGGGAAAGGAGTACGTGCTTAGATAAGCCAGCCCTCCCATGACATTGGTGGGAGTTTTCTCTCTTGGCGAGATCGGAGATAATCGCCATCATGATCTACATATATACTACGAGTAAGTATACTTATATATATATATATTAATGGGCACTATCAGTATAACAGAATTAGCATAAAGATAACGTATTGCCCGCCAAAGTGCAAAGGACGAATCCCACTGCCAAAATGGCAGATACCACTATAACAATACAGGTCAATCCCCAAAGCCAGAAGATGAGTCGCGAGTTTCACTCGTCCGTGCTTCTATCGAATGCATCTTTGTGGTCTCTACTATCTTGCTGTTGGTCTTGGTTACGAACCAGGCAGTCTATAGCGATCCTATGTACACCCTCCAACATACAATCCTCTTCAACAAGATCATCGGTAGAGGTCCCGCAGACCATAACTGCTCTCTGCCCACAGCACGCTATGATGTCAATACCGGTAGAGCCGCATGCTACCCTTGTCGGGTAGCATATGGATGGTCGAGCTGAGGTCCCTTGAGCTGCAGCACCTAGGCATTGACCGTTTCAAATCATCCGAGAGATCCTGGAACCGCGATGAAGAGGATGACTTCTGCGAGAAAATTCGAACGCTCGGGGAATCCTGGCGTTCACGCTCTTCCGATACGCTATGGATTGGGGGAAGGTGTCGCAAGCTGCACGAGATGGAGCCAGTATTTTCCATTTGCCGTCATGCTGGTTTCCTGGAGGGGGGTGGGGTGTATGTGGGTTCTCGATATCCGCGGAGAACACGGAAAGTCTTCAAGCAGGGCGATAGCAGTGCGGAATGCACTGATAATGGAGGAGCTATGCATTATCCTAGAAACTCTCGGAGCTGTCTTCTGCAAAGACATCAAACGTTGTCAAGTCCTGACCGACATAATCAAAGAGCCATACCGACTGGCAAAATGGATAAGATAGACAGACAAACAGCCAATAGAAAGCCTGTAATTTAGCCTCACCCCTACGGTTTGAAAAGGTTCGTAGAGCACCCCAGTTAAGTTACTGGACTCAGTGCAGAGTAGCAGGTTCGTAGAAGGTCGGAAATAAAGAAAAGAGATGAAGTATAAAACATGCGCGTCAACTGGTATATACAATGATATGCATGTACACGAGGTTGATGGGAGTGGTGGATATATGTTCCAGAGTCTAGACATCATGACTACCATCATAATTAGGACACGGCAGACAAAAATATGAGGACATCAGTGAGGTTTACAAAGGGACAACTCTTATGTATCACTGTTTGTTGACAAGAGGCCCTAACTGCTGCAAAAAGGAGGCAGTTTGCTCTGGGGAAAAACCGAAAAACACGGGGCCGTTGAAAACGATCCTGGCTGCCGCATTAGTCGGGTGATGAGCATCTGGTTGTTCTCCAAGATCTTGCTCAATAGTCTCGAAGGGCATGTTCTTCCTCTCATGGTTGCGAACGGCCTCGGTCTGGGACGCTGCATCGACGGCTGGAGGCCCACCATGGCCGAAAGGACAACGGCCAGCTTTGGGCGCTGGAACAGGAGGGGGTTGGGTAGAGTCACGGAGCGGGATGGAAGAGACCTCAACGACATCGTCTCCCAGCGGCATTTTCGATTTCGCAGCTACAGCTGGAGGCGTTGCAGAAGGCAAGGGTACCGGAACTGGGATTCCCCAAGGCCTGCTTGGGGACTCACCAACGCGAACCTCGCGTAGCGGACGGTCGAAGTGACCCTTCCTCTCATCCTCGTTCTCTGCCTCGTCCTCTTTACTAGAGGACTGCATCCCGGATTTTATACCAACCTCTTCTGCCCACTGTTCCACCCGATCAGCCGAGGAACTGTAAGTTGGCACGCCGCTATTACCACGGTTTGGGAGGAACGCCTGATGTTTGACGGATAACCCTCGAATCATATTAATAAGACTACCATATTTCGCATCTAGATGTCGCATGCTGTGAGAATCCTTCTGGTACCGCTGAACACAAATAGCATGACTTCGGGGTATCTCATGTTTGTGCCTCTCCACATAGTCGGCAATTTCTTCAGGACTATGTTGGTCTAGATATCTAATAGGACACCGGGCAACAGGACATTGAGTGGTCGATGTCCTCACAGAGGGAGCCTGGCTAGAACGTTTATCACCCTGCTCAGCCTTTATGGGGTCTAAATGTGCACACGTGTCACCGTTCTGGAACTTGGAAGTATTCTCAATCCCATTGGCTATCCCATTCTCGGATGTCTTGTTTTTAGATTTTGTGAAAGGACAATGTAGACTGCCTTGAGTGCCCTTGGTCGTGAAGTCTTTCTCTAAAGAGCTAGGAGCTCCAGCCCTAGTGGCAACAAGACATGGGTTGAGTTCGGGATCACACTTCGAGTTCAGGATGGATTTGTAGCACACAACCCCCTCCGCTATAGGTTTCAGAGTCTGATCGTCTACATTCACAAACTCTGACAGTGCTCTTACAACTTCTGGAGGGTTGAGGGGTAAGGGTTCATGGTTCCCGAACTCAGAATAGCGACCGCGGATTTTCTCCGAGATGACTTTTGTATGAGTGTCAAGACCGTTAGAAAGTCGATCTGCGAGTTTCACATACTGGAGTGGCTATTAGCGTGAGCCCAACCTCATGAAGGGATGGTACGATAAAGAGGCGGGGAGGGAGAGAACAAGGATGGATGTTGAAATGCCTCATCAGATAATACATGATGTATCCGTCACCGCCGCAGGTGCGACTCCTGATCTAGAGCTAATCGATATTTCTCATCATTCGAGGCATGGGAAGGGGTAAGGGATATCTTTGGGAGAAAGGTGAGAGGAAAGGGAAATGGGTTTATACCTCATCATGGGCGTATTCCAGCCTCTGCTGCAGGCATTTCTCTTTGCAGATGAGTTGTTGAGTTGTTAGCAAAAGAGCTTCGAAGGCTCTCGCGAGAGTCTGAAGCTGTGGGTCCTGCTGCATAGAAGCAGCAATAGGTGCAGGGGACATAGTGCTCTCAAGCTAAAGAGATTACAATATGACACATATCACATCTGATGGTTTAAGCTTAAGCAATACTTCTGTGCACTTCTGCACTGAGCAGAAGTGCAGCTTGAAAAACATGAGGTAGGATGACAGCAGAAGAGATAAAAGCGGAAAGATCGCTGCCTGAAAACATTTAAGAAATGCTAAGCGAAGTGGCCCGTGCAGTATTCCACGTGATGAGTTCTCTGCTTCTCCGAACAGACGACCATAGGATTCTACATAAAGTAGTAGCTACTTCAAGACTATGTATGTAACTACAGTACATGTGGACATACTCGGTACTTTATCAGGCATTATTAAGCTTGCTGCTACTGTTTCAATTTTGTTTTCTCAACAAATGGGTTTATTGACCGGTCCAATAGTACGCTTTCGCTGGCTCTGCTACCCTGCACTTCACTGCAATTGTCAGTAATAAACCAACCAACCCATCGCAGCTGTAGTATCAGTCGAAGAAATACAGAGACAGTATAATATATACTAGCTTAACTAATCTTAAAATTGACCACTAGCCGGGCTAGCTCAATCGGTAGAGCGTGAGACTCTTAGTCGTCACGGTTATCTCAAGGTTGCGGGTTCGACCCCCGCGTTCGGCTTCTCTTTTTGCTTTGCCATTTCCCTGGTCAATCAAGCCCACCAAGCACGGATAGGAAAGTATTGCCAACAAGCTTATCCTTTTTTTACTCCCTCCCTTGATTTTCAAACTTCGTCGCCGACAATGCCACATACAGATCTATACCGCACACACTGAAGCCAACCGCTAGCTGAAACATCAGATTAGTGTGCTAGAGACGCGTCCACCCGACTTAGGTAGTGGCAAGCTAATGGGGCCCTGTTGGGGTGCATTCAGGGTTGCATGCGTGAAACTGAGTTGTCTGAGCAAGGGGTTTCTCAGCCCAGACGAAGTCAAGCAGTAAGGCGGATATCCGTGCGGCGGAATCAACAGCATGCTTTGCCAGTGCTGGCTACCTCGGGGCTGCCAGTGGCTGCAGATGTTCGGCTGCATAGCGGGGAAGTGGAGTGATAATTCTTCCATTTTCTAGTTAGTATTAGTCGGGCTGGTTGGCTGTGTAACCGTCAGGAACATACACTGTGCCGGTTTGGTGATTAGTATCAATGATTTCCACTATAGAGCATGCAATACTTAGGCATCGACCTCAAATGAATAACATCCGAGACCGGCTCGGGACTTTCAGGAAGTGGTTGTTGGCTTTGTATAGGTCCCTCTCCCGTTTGACAAAATAATCCCAGGTGAAAGCCATGTATCGGATTCCTTCGGACATGATGGTAGTTGTGGAGGCACAAATACTTACTGCCATCAACGATTCTTTGGAGAGGGGAAAGCTAGGTACTACCTCACGCAGTAACCGGGTGCGAGAACAACACGGAAAATCCGAGGGTTGCATGATAATCCAAAACTAGTAACATCCAATATGGGTCAGTTACAAACGAGTACTTCCAATACTTTTGGCATGGAATAGTTTGGGTGATATGAGAGGTAGTGTGGCAAATGAATTTATTGACAACTGAGTCACATTATGGATGACCATACATACATACATCCATACAGACAAGACAAGACAGACAGACCCCCATGTTCTATTATTGGCACTGTCGTGGTAGGTACCCCCCCAACCTCCTATTCAAAGGAAGTGGAGTGCGATATTATAAGAGTTGTGTTAGGTATGTACATACCTATTATTACTATTATTGCTATTATCACTCCCTTGACTCATCACGGATCGAAGGACTTGGGAATATGGTGGGCAGACGAACACAGCTGGACGTTCGGTCTAATTTCCAGAAAAAAGTATATTAGTGGCCATCGACTGCAAGGAAACCAGATAGGGAATGATAGCCCACGGAGAACCATCATTCCTAACTGGCTAGAGAGTTGGCGATCCATAGTGGCTTTGTTGATCCAATCCACTAAAGATAACCCTGACCGCATTGTTGTATTTCATCTTGAATTTGCAAGTTTTAATTTCGTTCATTGATTACTTGATCGATTGATTGATACGTTAGCCTAGGCGACAAATCTACTCCTTTGCTGCCTGTAAGGGGAGGGTGGAACCAATTGAGGGGACTTGCATCATCGAGGGGTTAATAGTTAGTTTAGCCCTATGAGAATTCGTATATCTTGAATTGGGAAGAGAGACCTAGGAAGAGTCGAGTTTAACACCGTAAGGCCTCGAATGGCGTACGGCAATATACCGATTGATTCCTCGCAAAATGCGATGGATGTGACTGATGGAGTAGGAAGGGAGGGGATTCTAGACCTTTCACATACCAAGTCATCGGGAGGGGTACTGTATGTACCTCTTCTTTCTATTCTCCCCTAGTAAGTATTGGGTGTATTATCGTATGGCCTAGTATGTATCCGTCTCAAAAAAGCATACTTGGTAAATCTACGACTCGATAGTCCAATAGCAATGAGATAGACTTTTATATATCGATGATCTATCAATTGAAATTGAAATTGAAACAGATAGCAATGACCCTAAAAATAATATAAATCCTATCCGCCAAATTGCGTGAAGCGGGGTTCTTCTTGGTTAAAATGCTGTATTGAAAATACATCGGCATTTACAGTTCATACAGACAACAGACACCAACGCAAGATCTTAGGGCCTTTTTTTTTTTTTCTCCTTCTCTTTTCCTCCCGCTCCGCTCGTGCTTATCACGTCGATTTTACTATTTTACCTTTCAACTACCTCACCCCCTCATCCTTGATTCTTTTTTCTTCCTTTTCCCTTTCTCTTTTCCTTCTTTTCACCATGTCTCCAACAACTCCCCATCCTTCCCAACAGCCTGATGCCGCCACCTCCCAAGTCGGACAGTCCCCCTCCTCTTCCTCCCGCACCGCCGAACTCGCCAGTCTTAAAGTAAGCCTGCGCGCCGCTCTGCGCCAGTACCCCGACTTCCCGTCTCCTGGAATTTTGTTCGAAGATATCTTGCCCATCTTCGCCAATCCTACTTTGCACGAATCCCTTCTTCGCAGTCTGGAGCTGCACATCCTTGAAAACCACGGCAACCAGAAGCCTGATGTTATTGTCGGTCTTGAGGCACGAGGCTTCCTTATGGGTCCCAGCCTCGCTTTGAGACTTGGCGCGAGCTTCGTCCCTGTGCGCAAGCAGGGAAAACTGCCCGGTCCATGTGAAACCCAGGCCTACGAAAAGGAGTACGGTCAGGACTTCTTCCAGATGCAGGCTGACTCAATCAAGCCTGGCCAGAAGGTGATTGTGGTGGACGATATCATTGCAACTGGTGTGTATTTCGTGTCCTCATCAAAAGTGGACATTCCCTTTTAGAATCAAAGTAATATTGACTTTAATCATACAGGCGGTTCGGCCTGGGCGGCGGGCGAACTTATCAAGAAGATGGGCGGCGAGCTTATGAGCTTCCTTTTCATCCTCGAACTTGAGTTCCTTAAGGGGCGGGAAAAGCTTCCTGCTCCGGTCTACACCCTTCTCTCTGGCCAGGAAGAAAAGCATCATTGACGACTCAAAACATTTTCCTTTCCTTTGCTGATTATCATGGCTGTGCTGCCCGCGGATAGATCTCATTATGACAAGAAAACAGAAAAGGGCACCTGTTTCCGCTTTCCGCAACCCTGTCGCTCTGATTTAACCCACGACTTATCGATGTGTTACAGCGGTGATTACGAATGGGGCTGCATCTCCAACGGACGGGTCCCATGAAAGTAGGGAAGAAATGCTTGCCCCGCCGCTTCTTCCATGCCTATAGGGCAGGGCCTCTCTCACTTTCGCTCATCCGGATGGAATACCAGGATAGATGAAGGTCAGAACAACAACCCATTTGTACCACGAACTTAAGAAAAGTTAGGGGAGCGGAATCGCATGTCCACCATCATGACACATTTCCTTACTGGGACCTACTATAGACAATACAAGTGAATAACAATACTAGTAGTATGGCATCTTGATTCAATGAGATTTATGGTTGTGAGAATTGTATCATTCGCAATCATTCGGTCATTATAATATGCCTATTTGCAAATATCATCCGTAATGTATCTATAAAGTAAATCAAAACAAGAGCAGAAGAAAAGATCTCCCGCCTCCCCCCTCTAGTTCAAAGGGATTGACTTCCTCATCACCTCATCTGCCCACTTCTTGGGAAACCCCAAAGTCTCCGCCTCACGGATCGCGCGATTCATTCTCGGAATATACTCATCCCTCGGCGGACCCAACTTTACCCTCTCCTCATCCACATAGACTAACGTCTCAATAACACCGCCCTCCCTCTGTTTCTTCTGTTTCTCATCCAGCCACACCGTAACTGTAGCTGGAACATACCACTTGTTATAATCTCCATAGCCCTGTTCCGTCGGCCGAATATGCGCAGGAACCTTATGCGTAGCCCGTGACGGCAGCGCCGAATGATCAACACCCTCATACCCATCTAGCAACCTTTCATCCTGAATATCCATCTCGTACAAGACCCCGTAAACTGTATCCTCTTCTCCAGAAACCGGTACATTTTCGCCCTCGTCTGCTTCCTTACCGACACGGAACTCTGTGGGTGGCATAACGTTCGCATAACCAGCCTGACAGATCAGCCAGCGCCAGCGATCCAGACGGGCGACAGCAACAGGCTTGGACGAGAGATCAGGATTGCATGTGCAGCGGAGACGCATCTGTGTGAAGGAGAGGTTGGAGCCATAGGCGAAGTAAAGAGGGCGGGGTGTGGCTTGTTGTGGGGCTATTGTTTCACTGTCCGAGAGAGAGGCGCCAGTGGTGATCGAAATTGTTGTATGGGTTGCTGAATCTGTTTTCAGGTCTTGTTGATCTATTGTTGGGGTCGAGAGGGGGTTGACGGTGCTTGTGTCTCTAAGATGCATTTTGAGTTCTCAAGCTGTATGCTGGTTCAAAGATAGATCGCCGAGGCTGCTTGAACGATTGAAACTTTTTTTTTCTCTTCTTTTTTGGATAATATCAAAATGAGAGAACCCGACTGATATAGATAGCCTAAAAGAGCGAAACAAAGACGAAAAAGAATGTTGAGTTGGGATAGAATGGGGAAAAAGCATGCATCCGTTTAAATATGTGGAGGGCGATCGATGGCAAGTGGAGAGTTCGGTTCCTCCATACGAAGTGGAGTGGCTGAGTAGGTTCCATGGAAAGATTACAGGACTTCGCCATCTGAACCATCCACACACCTGGGTTCCCTGATTGAGAGCACTAGTAAGGCAGCCAGGCTATCGAACGGGTTCAGCATGCAGGTGTGAACAACGTAATTACTGAGTGTATTGCCATTCTATGTATTTTCTACAAACATTAAGCCTCTCTTTCTAGCAGTAGTTAACTGATAAGAAGCAGGTGGTCCGTATGTCGAACTCGAGTTGGCAATGAAGATGTCGCTCATTCCACCACCAACGAACAAAGTTCCGAGTCAGGTACTTCACCAATCGGGGGGAAGTATATATAGTCCACGTGATCTATGTATTCTTCGTGTATAGAAAGAATAATTAATATTCTGCCCATGCAGTCTAAATTATAAAACTATATTTTCGGAAGTACTCTGTATAGAAGCTGATATACCTAAAGCTATTCTATTACTGTACTAATGTACAGAGATTGCGAAAATTCTGGAAGCTGGTATCATTCTTAACATAGAATAATAGCTAGGTTAAGTTAGTTAACGTATCCCGTAAGCGAGTCGGCCACTCCATGCGTTTTGACTCCAGTCGGAAACCTCACTCAATCCAACCATCTACCACGCCTTGAAAAGCGCGTCAAAATTCAAGAAATTCAACTGAGCAAGGGCGAAGGCTTCTACTTGCTATTTCCGCTCTTAATAATGAAAAAATATCCGATATTCGTGAAGCGGCACGTGTTTATAATGTTCCTTTCACTACCTTGCAAGATCGGCTACATGGGAAAACATATCGCTCAGAAACACATGCTAATAGTCATCATATGACCCAAAATGAAGAGTAGTCGCTTGTATAATGGATTCTATTACTAGATCAACGTGGGGCGTCTTCTAGACAATCTTATATATAAGAAATGGCTAATCTCTTACTTGCTGTGCGCGGTACTATATCTTTTCAATCTGTTAGAGAGAAATGGATATACAACTTTATTAAATGATATGAAGAAATAAAACCTTGATATTCTCAACGGTATAACTACTAGCACGCTAAATGTAATAATCCAAAAATTATTGAGAAGTGATTTGACCGTGTACAAATCACTATAATGAAGTATGGTATTGTAACCAAAGATATCTACAATTTTAATGAAACTGGTTTTGCTATAGGTCTAGTAGCTACTGCTCAGGTAGTTACTAGAGCTGATTACTGTAGAAAAGCACTTTTTGTACAGCCAGGTAATCAAGAATGGGTTACCTCTATTGAATATATCAATTCTACTGGATGGGCACTTCCACCATGCATTATTTTTAAAGGCAAGATTTATATAAAGAATTAGTATCAAGAAAAGGACCTACTATATAACTAGAGAATCGAAATTAGTCCTTATGGATAGAATACTGATGAGATAGGCCTTCACTGGCTTAAAAATGCGACAGATCGAATAGCGATTCGGCCTGATGACTGTACAGGATACCCTGACTCAGGTGCATGGACAATAGCGATTCGGCCTGATGACCGTACAGGATACCCTGACCCAGGTGCGTAGACAATCGGCCACCGATGAGGAACATCAGGCCACACGACAGATTGGGTTCAAGGGGGATTCTAAATCCTTTAGGCATGGAGCCTTCAGCTATAAATTAGCGAATCGTTAGTAGTAGTGGGAGATCAAGAATCAGTCTCCTGTCTGAATAGTATCTACTGCCTGCCTTTGACCTCTCTCTTTCCTTTAGCCTACGTACCCTTACCTAGTTGACAGGTCCTCTGCCCTGAATAGTAGATACCCTTGACAAAAAATCTCTTTATTCCTGCTACTACAGGTCATGTAACTGGAAACTATCGCCTGCTTATTCTTGATAGCTATGGCAGCCATCTCACACCTCAATTTAATCAATTATGCCGTGAGAATAATATTATTCCTATCTGCATGCCTGCGCATTCTTCCCATAATCTACAGCCTTTAGATGTGGGCTGTTTCAAATCTCTAGAGGATGTGTACGGGAGCTATATAGCACAGAGAATGCGCTGTAGAATCAACTATATTGAAAAGCTTATCTTTCTAAAAATCTTTATTAAAGCTTATAAAGATACTTTTAAAGCAGAAACTAATCAGAATAGTTTTACAGGGGCTGGTCTAGTTCCATTTAATTCAGAGAGGATACTTGGTAAGTTAAATATTTAACTAAAATCTTCTACACTACCTGGAAGTTAATTAATCAATTCAGCACCTAAAACACCCTATACAACTAGGCAACTGGAAAAATAGGCTTCTACAGTGAAAAGACTACTTAAAGCGCGCGCAGAGAGCCCTCAATCCTTAATAGAGACATGATTAGACAAGATTATTAAAGGTCATGAACTAGCCTTAAATAAAGTAATCCTTGCATGTGATAAAATACACGAATTACATGCTGCTAATAAAACATAAGTTTAAAAACAGAAGCGCTCTGCTAGACAGCTAGCTACTATAGAGGGCTTTACTATTCAGGAGGGCTTAGAGCAATTCCAGTGTGATATTAAGGTCCAAGAAGCTCAGGATACTACACCTATAGATCCAGTGCTTTCTGCAGTCAGACCACGCGTACGAGCGCCGCCGCGTTGCAGTGATTGTCATATTCTAGGACATACTCACAGACAATGTCCTAATTGAGCTCTTAATTAGTTTTTATATAGAAATACAATTGTTTTGTTGATTAAAAGCCCTAGAATTTGACTTGGTGGTGGATATCAGAGCGGCGTGGCCGATTCGCTTACTGGATACGTTATAGATTATGTGGATCAATAAGGTACTAGTGATCTAGTTCTATCTATCAGAAAATGTTCAACTAGTTTTACGCTCCTTTAGCCATACCCCACCAATCAACATGCTGTGGCGCAAGAGTGGCGGCGAACCAAGTGAAGAACCAAATTCATAGTATCTGGGGAAGAGAAAGGGGTGCACATACATGTTTTCTACACGGTATTGCATGAAGGCTCTGATATTCCAGTAGCTATACAAAATTGTACTTCCATCTAGATGATATGCAAGTTGTTGACTGGTATTCCCTGCGACCATATAGTATACCGCCGTTTGATGCCCACACCTATGGCCTGGCGAAGTAGTTCATATGTTTCCTCACCGCCACTGACCATGACCATGCTGATTAGATGGCGGCGAGGGACCCCACCTGCGGTCATCTGAGTTTCATCGAGGTATGGCCGGACGAGATACGGCTCTGTACGGACAGCAGCTAGGCTTGACAAAGGATTAGATTTGGGTCCTGGGTTCTCGACCGTTGGCTCCTCGTAGGAGACAACAATGACGAGTTTTAGTGCATGCCGTGATGGTGGGTATGCAGCGATATTCTTTAATTTTTGCGAGAAACTGCACCCGCCCCGCCTAATGACAAGCACTTGATGACTCTGCACAATGTCACGTAGTATCCGATGGTCACAGAGCTCATCGGCAAAGTATATTGTGGACCAAGGGAGACGATCTTTCGGAAAATCTTCAGTGATAGAAAATGTAGAGGAATCTTCTACATCAGGCATGGGCGTAGAGCCTAAACCGGAAGCCATAGCAGCGGGTAAGGTAAGTCTTAGAAACGACTTCTTTTTCTTCAAGGGCTGCCAGGACGAATGGGATTGTGATTCATCCCAGAGCAACCAGGAGACATGATTCACCAACGATGATAAAGCAGTCTTTACACTCGACGCAGACGGATTTACTATACCAAGCTTGTCGTCAGTGGATGACTCACCGATGATATGCTTTGGGCTATGTTCAGTAGTTGATCTTGGAGGATCACCTGAATTATTATTCCGATGGATGTTGTTTGGGATAACGTCAATGACGATGTCAATCATTGCGGAGTCGCGTACGCGGGTAAAATTCGGATCGGTGGGATCCAGGATATCATTTGTGATCTCCCGCGAGAGATACACCTTCTCATACTTTCCAAGCGGTACATTGTTGATAACTTGTACCCGAAACTCTCCTTTTGTCGTGCCTCTCCCATCTTGTGGGGGCAGGTCTTGGACCATACTCAACCGTAGGCCCCCTATAGCCTTGATGAGAATGCCATCCTGCACTCGTTCCAAGGAGCCAGATCCTAGGAACATGCCGGGGAGAGATGGAAACGAGATGTCAAGCGTGGGGCGAACGGTCATCGGAGAGCTAGTTGCATTGAACGGCACCAGTTCGGGTGGTAAAGTCCAAGGGAAGAACGTATAGTTTGTTGGTGAAGACAGATCGGATATCGTCATACTAGCTTGGTTTTTTGTATAGTCCAAAATAGGCCCCTCCGGCGCTGCCCGGTTAGGCATCAAGTGTAAACGAGCCAATTTTGCAGCATGGAAAACGTCAGGGCGTGCGGCGGTCGATGAAAACCCAAATACAGGAGGCAAGGGCGCTATAGGACAAATAGCAGCATTGACCTGCTTGTTGGCTGACGGTTGTTTCTTGCGGGGCTTCTGAGCTGCTGTTGTGCTCTTGGGTATGATAAGTGGATGCCCCTCCGTAGAAAACACAAACGGTAGGTCGATTTTGTTCAGAGGGTGCGAAGGATCAAAGAGCAAGTAAAGATACTTCGCCGTTTCGCCTAAGAAGAAGCTCTCCATTCGGTCACTAAGTTTGCCACTGCGGACGTCTTGAAGCCCAGCCCATCCGCATTTCGTCCAGCACCGTCGTTTGAGATCACGCAGCACCATCTCACCGACGTGTAAGTACCAAGGGTCTTCGGTGGCGTGGTAGAGGTAATATGTAGATTCAGCGAATTCTGGTCGGCCGCTGTACCATGCTAAGCCCCCCTCTACATCTCCCGTCGCGACATTCCATCTTTCGGGGAGCCCGGAAAACCGAGTCCAAACAGCTGTTGCCAGAAGATGGATCCCTATGGCCTCATCTAACTCTCCAGCCAAGCTCAGGAGACCTGGGTAAAAGGCGCTCAGACTATCTATCCACAACGCCCGCGTGGCACCAGTGAAAATGTCACCTTGGATTAAATGCGGGTGCTGGTAGCCATCTCCCCGATACAAATGGCGTTTGATTGAAGCGTGTGATTCTTGCCAGGCTTGCAAAAAAGCCTCTGCCGAATGTTCGTACTCGCTTAGTGGTGCAAGGTAATCATCTAAGGCATGCCATGAGCTCTTGAGATCTCGCGGGAAGCGTTCCCCCGAGGACAACAAGATATGTGACTTAAAAGCATATTCGAAAAAACTGTCAATCCCGGCTCCGATCTGAAATTCGCCAAGGTTCAGCTTCGCATTAATATTGGATTTCCGAGGTAACTTACTCCCGTGTAAGGATGAATCCATTTACCCGACTCCGCATCGATACCTGAACCAATTAATCCAATCTCACTCCTTCTCGCCCACACTGCCCAAAAGGCTCTTTTCCCCAGGTCCTCGTACCGGCCATCTCCGGTAAGCCTGCTTAAGACAGTAAACTCCAAGACTAAGCTGCCAGCGCCTGCACTGCATGTCTCCGTCGTTTCTGCTAATGGAACTTGACGAGACTTACAACTCTCATCATTAGAGGTTTCATCACACGAGAGGGCGGCATTAAGTGGCGATTTTGCATAGAACGGGTGCCGTCGGACCCCATAACGCAGGTTGACCCGCGGGTAAGGGAGACCAGTTTTGGTATAAAAGGCGGGCAATAGACGATTTGCCAGATCAACGGCAAGTCGGAGAAGCTGACCGTCGTAAACAAATCCATTTTCCCACTTGATTCCGCGCCTATCTGCGGAGAACGGACTCTTGTCCCAAGCCCGTGCAAATGCGGTTTCGGCTTCAGGAGGATTGTAGTTCGTAATTGGGAGATCGCCCACAGCAAACAAATGGGCGCTGAGCAGCCCGCCTTTAACGTTTGCAAGTCAGATACGAGCCATTTCAAGCTGGATTGAATTCCGTACCTAGCCCTCTAATAGCCGTCTCAAACACTTGGACCTTACTGTCCATGTTGAACCCGCGACCTCTGTCTCCCTGACCAGCAGGGCCATCTGAGCCGTCACCATATAGTTTTACAAAGTCCTTCACACCATCCTGGAAATGTGTCCAGGCTCTTGGGCCATCATCGGGGCTCGATGACAATACTGCTAGTGAAGAGAAACTATCAATCAATGTCAACGAGTAGTTGCCTAGAACATCGTTTAGTCCTGCATTGGCAAGGGTATCTCGGTCGCGAACCAGCGGACGGCAGGAAAGAGGGCGTAGTTCATCTTCTGGAAAGGCATGCTCAAGGTAATTTTCAAACCCATGGTAGAACATATGCTCGGTATCCTTTCTGAAACGTGAAGCATGTCAGACATAGACTGCAAAATACCAAAAATATTAATGCTAGCAATGAGCACTTACCTGAGTCCTTCAAGCTGACTTTTACTCATGCCCCAAGCCACGCCAAGCCACAGCGAGAGGATTAACGCCCAATTCATCACCCATTCTGTACGGAGGAAGGGCATCTGTAAGTACCAACATCCCGACCGCATTACAGCATAAATAAACCTGCCTCAGACGGCATGGAAGCACAATTGGAAGCCTTTAGAGGCGAAATTATACTTGCGGAGATCAACAGTCCTTTCAAAAGTTCCTTGAGGTGTTGCGGTTGCTTAAGTGATGGTGGTGTGACTATGCACGTGAGTATTCAAATCGCGCCAATCCCGAATGGACAGATAAGCTAGTAATCATTTCCAACCTACTTTGGAGTATCATGGATGTGCGTTGCAAGCTTACAAGTTCTGTTAGTTATTCACAGGCCCTTCAATACAAACGGTGTATATACATTCATTCACAATCTACACAGAGGAAGAAAGATGCGGGGGAGAAAGCTCAACGCTTTAAAAAAACGTAAATAATAACGTGACGACAATAAACTAACCAGCATTGTTAGGTATAGTTGGCTGCTTTCACACCCAAGTAACTCCCGCTCAAGACAGTGATCGATAATTAAACTAACCGACAAATCCAATGGTATATTCCAAGCAAAGGAGGAAAAAAGGAAGTGGGGTTGTATTGGTAATGAGACGTAAGTTTCTTTTCTACTATAAAGAAAAGGAAAGGGAAGGACGAATGTCATTACATGGGACAGCGACTATAGAGGGCCGTTATCAATGTCCTGGTCGTTCGGCAGCAGGGCCTTGTGACAACGGTCGCGGTTGTGCTTCAATCACATAGTCGATACCATTATCAGATGTGTAGCTAGGAGGTCGTGGTAAAGGGGCTTTGCTACCCAAACGTTGGATATGGTTGGCGTGCTGCGGTAGAGGAGGTGCATCGTCTTTCACATGATGCCAGTAGAGTAAGTCTGGATTTATTTTCTGTGGAACAGAATTTAACCAGGTAAGCTCGTGAAGTAGAAAGATGTGTCTATTGATAACTTACCACACTACTTCTCCACAGGCCATATGCTGGAGGCGGAGGTGTGACCTTTTCCCGCCTGGTACCGTCGCTTTCGGCCAAAATCTCTTCGTCGCCAGCAAGGATAACATGAATAGGTCGGTCTGGTTGGGCGAATCCAGTTGATCCTGCCCTGCTTGGTATCCGGTTCATCGCCATAGCAGATCCGGAACCGCACAAGACCACCATAGAAAAGCGGATTAGAGAATGACAGAACACAATGGCAAGAATCAGGATCATAAATATCAGAAGTATATGAAGTTCCCAGCCCAGGTTCGATTTGGAAATGGTGAATGCAAAATCTAAATCATCCAGTTAGTATCGCCTGAATCCAAAAGGTTAATCTCTAACCTACAGAGAGCAAGGACGAGAATTAGAAAGATAGCAGATGTGATAAGGGCAATGAGCCGTCTTCTCGTCCTTTTCTCTCTTAACATCGAGTTAAATGGTCGTTGTAAGGAATGATTGGAGTTCCCAAGGTCTCTTTGCGTCTGCACATTATCACAAGTTCCTTGCTCCGACCTAATGTTCGACTGTAACCTATCGGTAAGGTTTGTCTGCTCTGATATAGACTCCAGGTTGGTTCGGTGACGAGTTCCTCTTGGAGCATACACTGATTCCGGTGAGTTTATAGCAGACTGGTCTGACGAGGTGGGCCCTAGAGATACGCGGTGTTCCTGATATCCCGCGCGATCACCAAAAAGTTGTTGTGCATGGATGAACTGATGACCACTTCTGATTGAAGGCAACTCATGATAGCGTTGGGCGTATTGGCAGCTCTCGACAAAGTCGATTCTATTGCGGCTCGAGTTTGAAGACGAACTGAGTAATATCTTAGAGGTCGACTGATCCGAACGCGACGGTCCTGGTTGAGGCAGCAGAACCGATCCCATGTTGAATACCTTATCAACGGTACTATGACATTTGTGCTGGTGATATAAAGCAGCCAACCGTGAGCTTCAGCTTTCTGGCAGCTTTATGATCAACAACTGGCCAAATCGTCTTATTTCAACACCCGGCTTTCCTTCCTGAGGGTATGTCGAATGATTGCTATAAGCTATTTCCGCATTCGGTAAACAGGACACAAACGGGCGTGAAGGCGATCAGTTATGCGGCAACAAAATGCCTAAAATGACCAAATCGACGATGTAACAGCGGCTTGATTGCCGTAGGAAGCGATTTTTTGCGTTAGCAACTAGAACGGCTTTTGTCACTAAATGCTCATGATGGGGGCAAAGTAGCGGCGGAGGCAGACTGAAATCGCACGGAATATATTGAGCAAAACCCAGGGCTTATAGAACGATAGAATTCGGGATAATGTATTGAAGCTGTTGAAGTGACTTGGTTAAAGGAAAAAGCTAACGAGAGAACAGGGGTGGCACCAGGCTACCATTTGATCTGGACTGAAAAACGAAGGTGAATTGCAACAAAGGCAAATAATAACGATAAAGGCAATGGCAATGATATGTATTAGAAATTCAAGCAGTCAAAGACAGGGACCAGGGATTGGGGATAAGAAGGAAGGAAGCACAGAGCCCCAAAGGCCTGTGACATTAGCTCACAGGCTGTGAGGGAGCAAACTATCGTGATAAACCCAGCGGACTAGTGGCCGAGCCCCTGGGCGGCCCACGTTTCTAAGTCCCGGTAGCACGGAGCGATTTCGCCCATTGAAAGTCCACTGTGCTACAGAAATATTGACATTGTTAGTACAGACTTTTAATATTGCGAATGACCGATTTTCTCATTGTTTCCCTTTGTAAACCCTGAAGAGAATATGCATGATTTTGGGACGACGACGTTACTATCAATAGAAGAAAGGCCAATGTTTCGCTAAACTTAGAACAAGCCTCTGGGACCATCTCGAGAACCAATCATCATTGAGAATGCTTCCGCCAATCTAAGTACTTGTCCTGGCTGACTCCCTAACATAATAGAGCATTGAGGGCTTATTAAGCCACGCAGAGTTCAAACACAACCAAGACTGCCTTGGAAATGCTAAATTTTAGTACTCTAAAACTAACTAACTACCAGTATAGCTGTGACTAAGTTTGTGTTGGAATAATGCGCGCAGAGTCGGACTTCAGCGAGGAAAGGTAACATAAAGGGGGAAGGGAAGAAGAAAAAGAAAAGGACAACAATACCTTACAGTTTATCTGGTTGTTTAGTTTATTAATTTGTTTAATTTTATACTGTATGGTGTGATACAATGGAACATCTTAAAGCAAACAGCCGTAACTCCAATGCCAGCAGCACATGCTCACTAATAGATACCTGAGTAGTTGTTGGAATCATTTGCTTGACAATACCTTCTCCCTTGTGCAGTCCATATAATGTCACTCGTATCATCAGTTGAGCTGATTGCTGCGAGGCATATCCGCGCTGTAACATTTTGAGCAGGCCATCCCTAGTCGAGTTGAGCTGACCTTGATGACACTATAAAAGTCATTGATCTCTATTCAAGAATGGAAACGTGCCCTAAAGTACGTGCTAGATATTATATTGAGGCTAAATAATCTGGGGTATATGTAACATGTTCTCACTTGCCAAGTTCTCCCAGCATAAGAGTCCGATCAGACGAGCCAGATACGACTATAGAAAACGGTTAGAATATGCAAATATGAAAATCCACGGAAGACATAGACTTACTGATAGGCTCGCCGTTCGGCGAAAACCGTACATCATTGACTGCGCCTTTATGTCCAGGAAGCTTGTACAGAAGTTTTCCGGTTTTGAAATCCCAGACAACCACGCTCCTGTCACCGCTTCCCGCTGCAATCCTTTCGCCCTTCGGGTCCCAGCTCGCTCGAATGAGGTTCTTTTCTAGCCCGACAGGAGCACCGTCATACGTTTTGATGAGCCTATTCGTCGGTGCAAAAGGTCGGATATCCCATGTTCGTACAGTTGAATCATGAGAGTTCGAGAGAAGCGTCTGAGAGTCTGGAGAAATCTCCAACGAGGTGATAGTATCCATATGTCCCGTCATGGAGTAAGCAATCGCCTTTTTCCGCAGATCCCACACGTGGATGGTGTTATCGATGCCGCCACTATATATTTCGTTGCCCGCTTCTGACAAGGCCACCGCAGTAATAGGCAATTCTGTTTCCAGATATTCAATAGCATCCTTTTGTCGGGGATCCCATATACCTACACAGCCGTCGTCACCCGCACTAACCAACAACTCCTGGCCCCTCTTACTGATGTCCAGACAGTTGACTATCTCTTCGTGGCCCAAATGGCGACGTATCCTTTGCCCAGTTTCCAAGTCCCAACTTGCAAGTGACATATCTGCCGACGCGGAAAATATCGTCCTTGAGTCGCGAGACCACTGTAGATCAAGTACCGCCCCTCGGTGGCCCGACAGGATGCCATAGTTTTCGCATTGCCCATAGGTGTTCCAAAGCACTGCAGATCGCGTGAAAATTAGTGACTATGCATTTGCTTGACAGCGAGTTATAGTTTGCGACGCACAAATAGACCTGTCCATCGAACCGGAGGCAATATGCTGCGCAGTAGGGTCAAACCGTAAGGTAAAGATTTCGCCGGAGTGACCTATCTCCTCATTTCAGCACACATGACAACTTGAAGTCTGTTATTTTTGTTACCTGTTAGCTCCATAATCGGCGCCTCAAGCCCACTGGTGCGGGGAACCTGCAGGTACAGTCAATGAAAGAACATCTCGAAACAGGTTCGATATGGTCGCTGGAAAGGAAGACATACTACTTGTGCAAGAGTTCCATTCCGCGATGTGTTTTTTACCACTGCAGTACCATCATTCAGACCAACATCTGACTTCTTTCGCTTCACAACGAGCTGACTAGATGATCCAAAAGCTTCCTGCGCGGGTCGCTTCTCTCCAGACATGTTCCTAGAAGGGTCTGCGGATCGTAGTACAAAAAACAAGATTAGCAAAGAAGCAAAAAGATAAAAAATATGAAGAAATGGATCAAGTTATATTGGAAGAGTGGTGGAGTATACGAACACCGGTGATATGGAAGCCTCGTTGCGGTCGAAGTCTTATCTTTTCCGCTCAGACAGTAGTTCTTCGCAAGCGCTCGTGTAAAGATAGCCGCGATAGACGCTGGTCCACTCGCTATGCGCTCCGCCCACCGTACCCCGTTGATCCACTGATTTGGGCGGGGAGGAATGTTCATGGACAACATTTAAACAGCTGCTAAGCCTCTAACTCATCCCTGTTACCCTATCATACTATAACCTCTCTGTACAAGCCGTAAATTGCCCCTTGGTACTTACACGGGCTCGGTTTTGTTAGACAAAAATGTCAGCGACAAAGGCCTCGAGGATCGGTGAAGAGTAAGTTGTTTGTTACTATCCTTCTATCGCTTAGTGATAGCCTTGTTAACAAATTTTGCTACAGGCTATGGAAGTCAGTAAGCTGTGTACCATATTTAATCCGTTGAATTTCATAGTCTATTGTTTTCAATAACTCAGCGCGTGCTCTTTGTGACTGACATGCCGTGACACTTCCAGAACGAGGGTTGACAAAGTCAATGCGGAGTTGGTCACATTGACTTACGGTACAATTGTTGCACAACTATGCCAGGACTTTGACTCCAACTACCACGAAGTAAATAAGCAGCTAGACAAGATGGGCTACAATATTGGTATGCGACTCATCGAGGACTTTCTGGCAAAGTCAGGAGTCGGCCGGTGTTCCAACTTCCGAGAAACAGCCGACATGATCTCAAAGGTACGGCTCAATCTTGCCACACTCCCAACATATATTTGATTGGTATGCAGCTGACTGACTTAAACAGGTCGGATTCAAGATCTTCCTGAACATTTCGCCCACCGTAACCAATTGGACCAGCGACTTTAACCAGTTCTCTCTTGTCTTTGAAGAGAACCCGTTAGCTGATTTCGTTGAGCTGCCGGATGATGGGAGAGCGCAGGACGAACTGTGGTTCTCTAATATCTTATGTGGTGTTCTGCGGGGAGCTTTAGAGATGGTATGTAGATTGAGGATTATAATCAATTACCCTTACTTGTCTCCACGCCACTTGGGCTCGCGTGTTTTGACTTTTCCTTCTAGGTTCAAATGCAAGTCGAAGCGCATTTCGTTAGCGATGTGTTGCGAGGTGATGATACTACAGAGATGCGGGTATCTCTGGTGAGATATATCGAAGATGAAATGCCACCGGAGGAGGAGTAATTTATTGGCGCATATTGTAGAGTGTCATGGCGTATGGCGTTTCGGGATTCGATGGTCTCTATTCTCTACTGTAAGATTTTAGTCATTAATAAATATCCGCAATCCATTTGTACTAGAATTAACTTTGATAATTACTCCTGTAATATGCCAGGGTGGAAAATTGCCCTCCCTTAGAATCTGGCTGCCGTGCCTAGCGGTTGTCATAACATGGTTCACATGAAGAAAGATTTTAGTAGGTATATCAGTTCGAAATCCAGGCCGGTATTACCTGCTCTGCCGTACACATACAAAAAGAGGGAGGGGGAGAAAGATAAAGTGAAAACGGTGGGTTGGAACAATACAGGCCATGTTTAGCTCATCCAAATTCTAATAATCTATGATGTTTTAGAAGTAGGGAATTAGTGGGTACCTCAAACAAACCTCATCCGCTATATGTGATAAGTGGAAAACTTATACTGCTGTAGAGACATATTTCGATGGATGAACCAGCTGTGAGAACCACATCTCTTTCCAAGTGTTTCCAGATTGTTAGGATTTGTCTAATAATTGAACCAATCACAAATTTAACTCAGACACAACAAATGCAAAGATGGCATGTTTAAGTGTTTTAGTCGGTATTATCGATGTACATGAGGCGGTGTAATTCTGCCACATTATATTGAATGAGGTTTCAAGGGATGCAACAAATTTAAGACATGCAGATCAGGAAAGGGGAGAGAGTGGGGTTTGACTTGTCTATTGGGATGACAAGCGTGTCGTAAGATAGTTCGTAAGATAGTAAGTGTCAGGTATCTGAGTGAAGGTCATAACCATTATGAAACATAAGGGTTTAAGTAAGATCTCCATATGGAGTATGGAGTTAATTGATTGATACTCAGATGATCGCCCTTATCGAACTTTATGATTGCTGAGTCATCAAGATACATTTAACTTAACGTAATCAACCACCGAAACGCCTTCCACCGATCCATCATCTGCTATTTTCTATATAGAATGGCACTTGTTATAATCTTAATAACTCAACAACCAGAGAGGTAGTGATTTAAACTTTAACATACACATTAACACTCTACTATAGATATGCATACTAAGTGGTGAAGTCCCTGGATTAGATAGTATACCATATATGAGAAATTGTACCTATATTTTTTAGTATTTAAAGCTTTCAAAAATTAGTAAAAATAATTAAAGAAAACAGTGTCTTGGTGTAGTCTACATTAATATCTCAATTAAGTATTAGCTTATAAATGTCCGTAGTTGTTAAGATATTAGGGTTATAAAAAGTGCCATTTTATATGGAAAGCAGCAGATGGCGGTTCGGTGGTTGATTACGTTAGTGAGGTTTGTCGATCTCACCATTGCGGGAGGACAACGTGAGTTCTTCTCAGAGACATATAGGCCAATATAATTCAAGTGATTATAGGGTTTAGTTGACCGATAGTACATCCCAACATGTGCTGATTCACTTGTAGTTTGAAGGATAGGTAGATCTGCACTGGAAATTCTAATCTATCAGAGGGGAGCCACGTGACACACCATACCGTATTAGCAAGTGATGATGAGCGGCCGACCCTGAGTATCCTAAATCGATCTATGTATCAAATACTATCTTCAATTCTTCGATCTCTACACGTCCAACGTGATAAAAGCCTTCCCTGATATTTCTACACGTATCTGAACCCATGGCTTTCAATGTTGCTTTTACTTAAATATTGAGCCAATTCACGTCCGTTTACCAATTGTGTCTCCCTTTTCGTTGTGGGATATTGTAACCCACCACTTTGTCTCTTATACTCTCCGAATTACACCACATCAGATCGGGTCAACAATTCTGCGCGTGTTCTTCGAACTCCTATGGAGTACTAAGATACTCTACCCTGCCTCTTTTTCTCTCTCTTTCTCTTTTGTTTTTCCCTTTCGTCTTTCCCTTTTTTGTTTTAAGCCATATACTTTAAACCCCTGTAAACTTCGCAGATATTTCAGAGGATTTTGACCAGATTTACTTCCTCATTTTTTTTCCCGTCATTGATTTCCTCGGGTTTTCTTTACATGTAATTTTCTTTCCCTTTCTCTTTTTCTCTACTTTTTCTTTTGCCGCCTCTATAAGTAGACTCTTCCATGCTCAGAAATACGCGAGACAGCAGCATCTCCCAGCCCTCCCGCTGTGTTCCGGGACAGATAATCCGTGCCGAACAAGCGATTCACGCCCAGCCGGCAGTGATTGACCAGCCCAGCACTCCAGGCACCGCGCCTGATATCCACGTCCTCCCACCCACCAGAACACTTCAGATCCACCGCTACACCTTGTCCTGACCTTTGCCTCTCATCCCTCTCACTACCCCCCTCCACCATTACTTCTTTAATCTGACCGGATCTGTCCGTGTCTTGCTCTTTTCTTTTTCTGCAGGGGGATTTGAGATCCTTAATTTTTGATCATCTGGTATACTTTTGTTTCTTTTCTCTTAGTCTGGCCGGTCGGACTTGGTCTGGCTTGCCCTCTCCTAAACGCCGTTCCCGTCTTTCTGCTTGTCGCCGCCCACACTCCCCCCGGTTGATCCTACCGCGCATTTTTCTTCCGGCTGGATACTTTGACCGATCATATACAGCCTCGCTAATATCTTGACGACTATTTAATCCGCTCTCAACATTTCACAGTGTGCTCTATTGCTCTCTACCGCCCGTGGAAGTAACTGCAGATTCTTCCTATCTGCGTTTGCTCCTGAGCGGGCCACGCTTATTTCCCTTGTGGGTAATCTTCACAACGCTTTCTTACTCTGTGTTGTCATCCAGCCAGTGGAACCATACTCAACACCTATTGATTCAGAACGTTACTCGGGCGCGCTCCCGCCTAAATTTGGCTACAAACTTGTGTGTTTAGCTCGATCGCGCATCGGTATTTAAATACAAAGCCGTTACGCATCTGGTTAAAAGTATCAGTCATTTCGCCTGATCGTCTTCTTTCTTTTCTCTAGCCGTGATCGCCACGCGCCCCACGTCTTACCCTGTGGTGAGCTTCCTCGCCGCGAGACGGTGGATGCGCGCTGAAACCGTTTATTCCCCGACGCCTTCCATCGAGGACAAAAACTAGGTGAGGGTGGCTGAGCCCCTTGGAGTGCCACCATGAATCAGATGAATGTAGCTGGAATGAACCCCGGGGCCGGGGGCCCCGTGGGAGGGGTCCCTATGATTAATAATGGTTCGACGGCTCCTCGTAACGATGGAAATGTGAACTATATCCCCGAAACGATGATTAACAGCCTCAATACGTATATCTATGATTACCTCTTGAAGCGCGGCCATCACGAATGTGCCCGAGCCTTTGTGAAGGACGAGTCGATTAAACTGAGCACCGAGCCGCCCATAAAGTCAAGCCCGGGTCACCGTCGCGATGGCGAGGTGAATGGTGTTGATGGTGATGCAATGATGACAGATGGCAAAGATGGTGACAAGATGAAGATACCTGATGACTTGCCTCGGCCAAATCTTCCTAGTGAAGGCCAACAATCCTCTTTTCTCTTGGATTGGTTCAGTCTTTTTTGGGATTTTTTCTGGGCTCAGCGCAAGAAAGGGAACAGCAATGATGTGAGGCAGTACCTCCAACATACTCAGGTACAGACTCTTCCACTGCTCTATAAAGATTTGAATTTCCTCTAATCCTGTATAGAACATGTTGCGCTTCCGAGAACAGCAACATAACCAATTATTACGACAACAGCCAATGATGCCCGCCCAGATGCAACAGCTCAATCTTCGCCGAAACGGATCTGTTGCACCCAACCTTCAGAAAACTGTTCTGCAAAACAATACTTCAGGCCTGTACGCTTTCCTTAAAATTCCATACTCACTCCTAATATTAGCAAGTAACGTGGTACTGATGTAACCAACAGCTCCCAACAGCAGCTTGCTCAGCTCCATAAGACTCAGCAAGTGCAAATAATGCAACAGATGCAGAGAGAGCACTCAGATATAGATATGAACGGCCATCGTCCCCAGTCTCCGTCGTCCACAGAGAACGCTCCGTCACCGTCGAAACGGCCCCGCCTCGAAGGCGGTCACATGAACGGACAGCAATTGGCTCCCAACGGACGGGGTCAAGGACAGGGCATGCCCGGTCAGCCGAATCCGCAAGCGCTTTTGATGCAGAATGGTCTCAATCCACGGCCCATGAATCCGGCCCAATTCCAGGCTTTCCAGCAGTCGGGCCCTGCTGCGCAGCAGAAGTCAATCCAGGTATATGCTCAAAATTTAGCTCTTCACCACTCTCGCTCAGCAATGAATAACCAGGGCATGCCGAATGGTGGTTTGATAAATCCCGGTGTCATGCCAAACCAGACGGATCTGGTGCCATTGCCAGATAGCCAGGGTATGTACCCGATGAACGGCGATTACTATGGCACAAATGGTCAGATGGCCCAGGTTCGGGGTGGAATGCAGACAGCTGGCGGTCAGCATGGGAATCATGCTCTCCAGGATTATCAAATGCAGCTTATGTTGCTCGAACAACAGAACAAGCGGCGCTTGATGATGGCTCGTCAAGAGCAGGATAGCATGGCCCGTCCTGACGGTCAGCCCCCAATGCCAGGGCAGCAGCAGGGTTTGCCACCAGGCACCTCTCCCCAGGGCAGCAGGGCGGGTACGTCACCCAACCCGAACGATCAAATGAAACGAGGCACTCCGAAGATGCCCCCGACTGGCCTTCCTGGTTCCCCCAGCGGCGGTGATGCAATGGCTCAGGGTCGTGGATCACCTGCGTCCATGAACTTCAACGGAGGTCAAATGCCACCTGACATGGGCGGCGCATTCTTCATGAAGGGCATGCCAGACGGCATGGCTGGCCCCAACGGAATGCGGCCGCCGAGTTCAAATCCCACTTTCAGCGGCCCTCAAATGGGTCAGCCGATCCCTGCAGGCACTGGAAACCGGGTGCCGAGCGGAGGTTGGCCACCACAGCAAGGTGGTCAGGGCCAGCCGATGGCGCCGCAACAGTCCCCCGCGACCCAAACTACCGGAACGCCCCAAGAGCGAAATGCGATGCCGCCTCCTCAGGCTCCGCCAGCTGCGGGTGCTAACGCCGGCCGGACGCAGCCTCCGTCCCCTCAAACGGCTCCTGCTCCACCTACTCCACAGCAGGCGAACAAGCCCGCCCCGAAGAAGAAAGAGACTAAAGATAACCGGAAGGTAAGTTAATTAAACATCTTTTTATTCTCTTCGTTTTGGTTTAACACAGCTCTAGCGACCGAAGAAGGCGACTAATGCCACCGCTACCGCAAACACTGCTGCCACTCCCTCCTCCGAAGCAGAGCATCCTCCGACTCCTACACCTTCGACACCAATCACGCCCCAACATCCAAATTCCTTCAATAAGGCTGGCGCAAATGCCACGACGAGTGCTCCACAGCAGCCAACCTCTGCACCTGCACCTCAGCCCCTCGTACAACCGCCGCCACCACCGGATCAGAGTCAACAACCATTCAATGACCTCAGCATCCCAGATGTATGTTGTTTTGTACGTTATCAGTTACTCACTTTTACTAACTGGGCATCTAGGCGTCCGCGTTCAATCTCGATTTCAGCGCTTTGGAGAATCCGGACATCTTGGAGAATTTCGACTTCGATACGTTTCTCAATACTGATGCGGATACCGCGGGGTTTGGATTCGATCCGAACATATCATACCCGACAGATGGAGTTGAGACCGGTGCCGGAGATGGCTTGTAAAGGAGTCCAACGGATATTTCGTTCTTATCTCTCATATACCCTTCCTTGCTTTGTACATTCCTAAACTTTGGCTTGTGCTATTCGGTTTTTGTTCAATTCCCCTCTTTCTCTCATGCCTGATTACATTTTTCCTCTTCTTATTATGTCTCTGTGTGTGTATTGACATGACTTGGATATGTGCCGTGAGACTGGCGTTTGTGTATCCTTTACTTGCATGTCTTCCATTTTTCTTTTTTTGACTGAGACGCGTCAACTGGCCTGAGATGGGTTTGCTTGTATTCAAGCTGCGTTACTGTGACATCTGCGACATTCGATTCTTTTTCTTTTATTATTACTATTATCTATTATTTGGTTAATCTTTGTCTTAAAGCCCCAAGGGCAAACATCGAGTGAGCTTGCTCTAGTGTTAGTTGTGCCCCTCCAATTCTCGAGGCTCAGACAAATCAGCTTTACACGGGATTACTCCTTCATTTCGCCTATTTTCTTTTGTCTTGCCTTGCGATCGTGGCGTTACCGATGGGGCCGTACCGTGCTTATCTTAAGTCATCAGTGGCTGCTCTCCTGAAATGGGTTTATGAATCGAGAAAATCCTTTACGTGTTTAATCTTATCGCTCATCTCTATCTCGTCAAGATCCCCCATTTTTAGTCCTTCGGGGAGTGAAATAGTCAGCAGCGTATGACCACCTTTATTTTCAGAATGTACTGCTGCTGGTACTTGATTCATAATCAGATTGAATAATAGAGAGCTGAAGAGGTTCCCTTCTGAGTTGCGTATTCTTGCTTCCTGTGCTCTAGTAAGCAAACCTACCTTCCCTCTTTAACGAGCCAGAAAGCTTGGATTGTACTTGGTTAATAGGGCATGTCTATTGTATCTGCGCCACACCTCACAATGCAAGATGAGCTAATCATTGGTACCTCTGCTTCTGCAGACTGAGGAGTAAGTATGAAAACAGTAGACTAAACATCAAAGTGAAAAAAGCATCGCCTATGTATTCAATAGGAAAACACATAGAACAAGAATGACTCGATCATATATCCACGAGGCTCAAAGCGAACAAATGAATTCATATCACACCATCTACTCAATATCTAACCGCGTTCGGAGCCCCATATCTTCCACCATCTGTACCAAATATTCAGCTACCTTCTCAGCGTACGCTCCCTGCGCGGCAGTTCTTGGCCCAGTCATCTTGACTCGTCCAATAGCACCGGCTCGAACGAGGGAAGGATGATCCTGGAAATATGCGGCAGCCGTGTATTCTCCTTTAGAGTCGATTAGCCGGCCATCAAGCCCCTCGATCTTCATTATAGGTTGCCCTAATGAGAGGAGATTGCACACTTCTATAGGATGAGCACCGTTGGAAACAGAATACGAGACAGGGAAGGGGGACGATGCATATTTACTTTCGAGTTTCTCCGAATGAGATCTCATACCCTGTAGCTTGCTTTTAATCTCCGCAGGAGCCAGATTCCACATCGGTTCTTCTTTTTCGACAGGGACTTCAACGAGGCAAGCCTGTAATTAGCTACTGGCAGTTTTTTGGAATTAAGAGACCCTGTTTGGTCTCTACGTCGTTGTGAGATCTTCCCGTCTCATGGCTTAGGGTTGCATTGAACGACCGCTTCGAAAGGCTTTGCTAGTCCCCTATCTCGGTAGATGCTCTAGAGACCTGTTCCAAGAGTCTTCCGTTTGATTTACTTGATGCAAAATGCCTTGGAAGGTTATTGTAATCATCACTCTCAGTTACCAACCAAGTGTATAAAGCCACATGAGCAGCTACATTCTATAAATCGTACTCATTCCTGTAATCACATTCCTGGGCGCCAAAATAGCTGGCACATCGGAACTTAACTTTATGAAAATAACCTTGTCCTTGCGCGTACCTCGTGTACTCTGGTTCAGGCAATCTGTTGAGTAGACAGGCGTCTGCACATGGCCTATTAGCCACTGCAATCCCCGTATTTACGGCAGAGGGATCGTTTGGCTGAACTGATATGATCTTCAGGATGGTCAGCTCACAGTGACCGCAAGACGTCCCGACAAACATCAGCCCTGGCCTCCTCCGGAGTCTTATGGATATCGGATTTAACAAGCGTTTGACCATACAGCGTAAGCTTGACCCCCCAATAGCTCTTCTGGCGGCTACTGCGGCTGAAATAGAATCTGGGGAGGCGGGCATTTTCTATCGCGAGCACGCCGAAGTAAAAAATCGCCTAATCAGCGCTCAACGAGTCAAAATTTAGGGATGCAAGTAGTCGAGAGATTGCCTGTCCACGAGCAAATGTAAATCAGCATAGTACCATAGTCAAGCCCACGCAAATGACCAGCTACAAAAGGCAGAAAAGAAGACAAAAAGGTTCAAGATGCTACCTGGAATTCAGGGCTCAATTGTGGAAGTGGATGTCTGAGTATGCCCATTTTTCCATCAGCAACCGATTTTATCTCACCTTCTTCCGACGTATCCCTTTCGATTACCACGTGGCTTGCGAAAGGGTAACGGACAGCAGTGTCCTCCATTATCCTCGGATACTGTATCAGGCCGCTAGTAAACGAAGCAGCAGCTATGATGTCTTGATCGCCTCCTAGCAGAGCACGACTTCTTCCGAAAGAGCATTGCTTGTACAGCAACTACGTGCAAAAGTTCTGTTCTCTTGGGGATCTATACCATATCGAGTAAAGACAAATCTACTGTTCTCAGGCTCGAGTGAGGAAGGAACTTTGGGTATTGGCCCCCAGTCGGTACGCATCCGGTGCCTAGACGGAATGCTCCAGTAAGGGGACAAATTGTAAGCCCAATGTGAAAATCCGCGAGGGGCACTGGATGCTCGGACACATGGATCCTCAGTAGGCTGGGAGAAGTAAGTTAGTGTTGAAGCAATAGAAGACAAACTTTGACTGAGTTCACCAAGCTGCGGCTATCTCCCCGGACGTTCGTCGCAGGCGTTGTTGGTGCTCGAAACACCGAGCAGAAGAAGGTATTAAACCCATGTAGGTTTTGGCCATCAATGTTGAACACAATGAGGGCGATGTTAAAGGAGGTGGGTGTTCAGAGTAAGGTGAGGGAGAAGAGGGAAGGGGTGTGACGGGGAAAGTACATACATACACAGGCTACAGGTTTCACTTTCGAACACATTAGAATCGGAGACCACGAATAATCGAATTTTTTTAGTGAATACTGAAACCAAGTTAACACAGTACCCAGTGAAAACACAATTTAAAATGAATGGAGGTTATGATCTGATAAGTATACCGCGTTTAATTGCTAGAATCATTGCAACTCAAGCCCATAAACGAGTGGGTGAACTAATGAACTACTAAAGGAGCAAAGGTGGAAGTGGGGGGAGGCGGGGGGAGAAAGAAGAAGGAAAGAAAGAACAAGAGGCCGCCCTGAAGTTGTCAGATGGGTTCAAGTGTAAGGATAGTTCAGTCAGTTTCAGTCATCTCCACTACAGAACCTGCACGGTGGCTTCTTGGTCCAAGAAGTTCTTCAAGACCAGCCTGTCGGATAAGGTTCTCCGTCTCGGACAAGTCTTGCGCCGGTGAAAGCGTAATTGGCTCTCCTTTGGTGAGACTGAAGCTTTCCCTGCGAGCAGAACTCATGGACCGTCTTCTTCTAGACCCAGTGGGGGTTTCCAGGTTTCCATTGGTACGCACAGTTGTCCTAGTCGGTGTATGGTGTACCTTGTCACACTCTCTGCGCGGTGTTGTTTCCGCCGTAGTCTCATTTTCCTTCTGATCTGAGATCATTCCCTCTTTTCTACCTTTGATTTGCACATTTGGGGTAACGGGCAGCTTGCTTGCTACCGCAGTCTCAGCAACAGGCTCGGCGGACAGATTAGATTTAGCGCTGGATTCTGAGACATTTCTTGTGACAGGATGTGAGCTCCCCTTCAGAGCAGATTCTTGATCCCCGGCTTTAGTGTATGAAGCTGAGCGCACTTCTGCTGCCACAGAGAGCTTTCGCGCCATAGGCAATGTAACAGAAGGTGTGTTCGTAGGGGCTTGAGTACCGCAAGACAGTGGCTTGGGAGGGCTTAGAGCTTCGATAAACTGATTATAGGACTCTTCATCAATCGGAGAGATGACGCTTGGGTGTTTGCTGTGCTCGTAGCTAATGCCAGTCATATTCGATATAGCTCGACTGCTAGTGGAAGTCGAAACATAGTCTGGCATAGATACATCCTCCCAAGATGGCCTCGCACCCCGGTGGCGAGCGGATGGATCGAGCACGTAGGGATCAATGAAAGGATCTGGCAAAATCTGCTCCTGTTGAGGCCATCGTGGTTCTCGGAGGTTGCCATGCATCTGGGGTATAGGCCGTTGATAGTTTCGATACATCCAAGAGCCGTGTGCTGCGGGGTTGCTGATCTGGCTGCTCGTAGCAACTGGTTGTCGAAGGCCATGCCTGGTAGGCGAGTGTGCATGCGAGTCTTCTGGCTCCTTTAAGTCGTTCAGCTCGCCTCTAGAGTTATATTTGAACAGGCGGGGTTCTCGGCTCCACATTGACGCATTGGGCCAGGCAATACTAGAATACTCCAAGACCTCTACTGCTAGTTAGGTGCGTGTGCCTTGTAGTGGCCAAATCGGAGATTGCACAAAGCTACAGGTAACTCACGCAAAGGTGCATGCTGAAAAGCAAAAGCAATGACTTCCTTGACACGCTCAAACGGCGGGTTACGGTGTGGTCGAGCAAATCCTTCAGAGATCACCACTCTGATCCTGCCATAAAGCTCACCGGCGTCCCAGTGCTGCTGTTCCAGAATCTCCTGGTGAAATGGGGGAAAACGAAGGCTGTCCTGGTTACCACTCTTGTCGATGTCTAGTGAACTACCGTTTCAGTAATGATGCTTTCACAGAGACAACTATAAGGGAAAACAACATACGGGAACTTAGATCTAGTTATAGTTCATCAATTAGAAACTACAGATCGAACAAAAAGCGACCTTACTCTTATTTTGGGAGTGGGTTCACTCACCAATGACATGGGGCCAACTGGTCCTCTGACCAAAGACGCTACCTCTATATAGTTGATGCATTGAATTAGCGGGGAGTCAGCGACTGCTAGGAACCTGACGGGGAGTATCTATCTCACGAGACAAAAAGGCCATCAATAAAGACTCGCACTTCAAAAAGCAAGGCATCATCCGGTTGGAGCAGACTCTCCATGAACCGACTTGGGCGAGGCCTTTCCCAGCTATGGACAGACACCCGAAACGGGGTATTCGACGATATGCTCGGGATAAAAGTTGTAAGCACAGGCAGTAGACCCATGTTCCCCTGGGGGAGGCAATAGGATGCTGGATTGATGAGGGCCGGGGTATGTAGGTAATGGGACACTATCGGCTGGGGGTGAGTATACTGTTCTACCTAGTTAACATTGCACGTACCTCTGTCTTTTATCACAAAGCATTGCGTCTTGAACTCCTGGATGGGCACCTTGGAGTTCTCGGGGAAGAGAAGCACATCCCAACTTTCGTAACGCATCTTGTGTGATAAAATTAGGAACGGAGATCTTGAAACAAGGTAGAGAATACTAGAAGTAAGGAAACCGCATTGAATAATCTGCGCGTGAAGGAGAGGGAGGGTAAGTGTTCCGCCAGAAGGGGTGCTTGAGAGGCGAAGAGGAGAGGAGGTCGTTATCGGCATCTCAGAGCAGCTCCTTCCACATATGGTGCTGGGTATAGTGGTTGTGCCTAACGACACAAATGGCCCGGCAAGAACGAGTGAAGGGTTAACAAGTCCCCGAGAGGTATACTAGGTACCAATTGACTACTCCTCACACTCTCACACAGCTACCTGGGAGGGTGGAATATGCAGGGATTAGGAACAAACGCCCCTTTCAATTGGATGGCCGTCTAGTAACATATACACGATGGGGGCCCCAGGCTTTGCGATCTCTCGACTTGAGGCGCAGTTATCATCGCAAGGGCATGAATTAACATATAGATGCAGCTCACTGAGTAGCGAAAGGGGGAATCATCTGTGAAAGAGAAAGTGTGAAATACAAATTGGCCAGATGCATCCGGGAAGCGCCATGGCTCCCTCGATCGAACAAAGGAAACACAAATTTACTGAGGATAGAATAATAGGAATACGAAAACGCCCAGATCGTAGTAGTCACGATGTCAGACTGCCGCCAGCATCCGAGAAACATGCAAAGTAGCCTTCAATCCACCGGGCAAGAGGAGCAGCCAAGCAACCTTCCCCATCTCCAGTACCTACAATAACGAAGATTCAGAAAGTAAAAGCCGCTGCAATCCCATATCACGACCTATCGGATGTAGCAGCGAAGAGCAGGCCAAAATCAACCACCCCTGAGGATAGGCCGCCTTGAACTGACCGAACTCGAGCGTAACCACAAAAGACAGGCACTGAACGAGCGACAACGCATTGAACTGCATAAAGTGAATTGGATTTAGGGGGAATAAAAGGGTTGGAAAGAAAACAGTGTTGTACAGGCCGCCAGTCTAGCAGAAAGCTTGGCGTAACATCCTCAGAGCGAAAACATAATTCAATTTGACTGCTTCATGAGAAAAGACTTGACAAGAGGAACTTTTCGCAGAATGCCTGCCCAAGGATATAAGGGGAAAGACGCGCATCAACAGATCTGATTGGGTGTCGTACGCATAACAAGGACCTAGGGCCACAAAACGTAATATGAAAGGCAAAGAGGGCATTTGGAAAAGGAGAACGTAAGCATATTCAAAGGGGTTTGTTTAACAAGGCATCAATGGAAAGAAACGAAATAGCAAAATATTGTGAAATAGGAGCCCAGATCTTGCTAACAAAAAGTTGGGAAGCCGGGGAAAGATGAAAAAGCGCTCAGATGTAATGAAATACGTAGCACAGGAGAAAATGCCCTTCAAGAGCTATAGAAGGGAGCTTTCGCAGAGACAAATAGCAGACTTGTTATAACACAAAAGACCCATCCTTGAAATGACGCAAAACTCCTGCTGTGGCTTTCAAAAAAAGGAACGCTTTTTTTACTAGATATTTTCGTTAACAATCTAGCTTGCACTAGGAACCGCAGAGTCTCAGGCAGTAGCTTCAGGGTCACCAACCTTCATAGGCGCAAAGCCGCCGTACTGGTGGGCAGGGGGCATGCCCATAGAAGGGTACATGGGAGGCGGAGGAGGAGCAGGGCGGTAAGGACTTCCGGCAGGACCAGAGTTGTTCTGCGAGCGACCCCAGCTCAGACGCACACGGGAGTTGCCGATGGGGTAACCCTGCATCTGGTTGATGGCCATCTCAGCGGCATGGCGCTGGACGAACTGAACGAAACCGCAACCCTTTCCAGGAGGGATCTTGACATAGGTGATCTCGCCGAATCCCTGGAAGAAAGACCGAAGCTCATCCTCGGTGACATAGCCGGAAAGTCCACCAACGAAGACAGTTGTGTTGTTGGGGTCGGTGAACTGGTTCATGGGCTGAGGAGCACCGTAGAAGCCCATAGGAGGAGCACCCATGGGAGGGTACATACCCGCGGGACCAGGCATACCCATACCGCCGGGAACAACACCGGGGCCCTTGTTCTTAGGCGTAGCAGTGGAAATGCGCATTGGGCGGTTGCCGCAATAGACACCTTGCATCTCACTCAGAGCACGCTGCTGGTCGTTCTCGTCGGAGAAGCGAACGAAGCCGTAGCCACGAGACATGCCGCTGATGGGGTCGGTCATGATCTTGGCAGACTTGCAAGAAGGGAAGCGGCTCTGGAAGAGGGAAACGAGTACATACTCGTTAACCTCAGGGCCGAGATCGCCAACAAAGATGGAGTACTCAGGACCACGGTCATCGCGGCTAGGAATAACGTCTGTCAGCAATGCTCTCTAGTGTAGCGTTCGTCTGTTCCTCCTTACCTGCGGTCAGCCAGACCACCGCCAGTAGCCCAGTTCAGCTTGAAGAGGCGGTTGGTGTTAGGCATGGGGGTTCCGTTCAACGACAGAGCCTTGGCGGCGGCGGCGGGGGAGGAGAAGTCAACGAAGCAGTAGCCGGCGTTGCTCCTACTACCAACATTAGGATCACCTTCAGTCATGGTTAGGATAATTGTGTACTCACCCAGAGAACTTGTCGCGGATCATTTTAACATTGACCTGCTCGCCCATCTGGAACCAAAGGTTGCGGACGAAGTTCTCGTCGATCCAAGGCTCAAGTTCACCCATCCTAGAAATTTCATGTCAGCAACTCCATTCCAAGTTAGACAGACGAACGCAGAGTATGCGCTTCACAGATACGCGTACCAGAGAGTAGTCTTCCCCTCCTGGGCCGGCTGAACGGGAGCAGCCGTTGGCTCACCAGGAGCAGGGCCCTGGAACGGGGCAGTGGTAGGGTCGGCCTGGCCGGCCATGGCATCCGCAGTAGCAGGTGCGCCGGGGGCAGCAGCGGCAGCGTCGGCCGCTGGGTGCTGGTTTTGAAACGAATCGAAGTTCTGGAAAGACATATTGACGTGAATCCGAGTTCGTAAATAGAACGGTATCTGTAAAACACAACTAGATTAATAGAGATTCATCAATCGCCCTTTACTCCAGTATCTCGATCTCAGACTAGGCTCCACAGCGGTGGGGAAAGTCCTTGCGCATACCTCAAATTTCAGGCAAATGAGTAGAAACCCAAACAACAAAAAACTTTTCTATCCCGAAAATGGTCCGTGCGAGTGGGATTTCGTTGGAATCGTCAAGGAGAGAAGCGTACGATCGTTCACTCGGAAATGATTGGAGGGTATTTCCACTTCCTGAATCAAAATGAAGGATCGGTTAGTTGTGCTGAGTAGTATTTTATGCCAGGAATTGAGATTGTCAACAGATAAAATTCAAAAGAGAAAAAAATTGTGAATGCAGCTAAAAATTGACGTTTCAGGTGGAATGCAGTCATGTGCGACAGTGAAGAGAACAAAATTAACAGTGAACAAGACTAGGAATGTGCATTTGTTGAGTTGACTCGGTAGAACATGGTCGATAGAGATTGAAAGAGACGATGCGATTGTCTCAGCCTTGCGGTAGCGCTCCTTTGGTTGCCAAGACCAGTGCTCAACCTGGGATTGTTCCAAATTTGACGGAAGACCCGGAAGACATGCACAGAATAGATGAAACTTGGACTACCCGAGATCTCAAGTCGTGGTAGGAGAGAGTAGCCATGGTCCACGTATTCACCGGGTTGCAGCCGCATTTGTTGATGTTACCTCCCACCCGTCGGCACCGATTGCGACCGTTCCAGCCGGTTCCACCTTTTGAGGTCGTAGGCTCAAAAACAAGCCATGCAACGAGGCCGTATGCTCGATATTCAAGTTCGGAGATACGAAAGTAAGATCATTGATTGTTGCGCTTTAGCGACCGTCCAGATCCCGTCGGATGATAGCCAAGGCGGAAGAGAGCAATCAACTGGTGCTTGGTCGGTAATAGCACCCCCACCCCTCAAAAAAAGTTACAGAGAAAAGAAAGATCAACTGGGGAGGTCACAGAGTGGTGGTATTATATGCTGATGGCTCAGGTGATTATTCGTCTCCATAAGTGGGTAGCCATCACCTCTAGGGCAGAAGTTCCCATGATCCCTGAAGCGCACCAACGGGCAAGATAAAATGACGCAAGGCCCTGGCACATTACACCAGGGTGGGGATAAAATAGAACTGAAGGAATAAAAGATATATAACTCACCAGGTGATATAAAAAAAGCGATCTTGGAAAGAGCTTTCACAAGAGGGAATATAACAAGATGCGCTGCTTTGAAAGGGCGCGCAAGAAGAATATGCGTTAAGACGTAAGACGAACCCAGGAATTGGAGGAATCGAGATAACTCCCGCGAGGTGGAGAAGGCAAAAAAATGTAAGAAACTAAGAAATAGAAAAGGCACAAGAGTTAACAGAACTATCCGCAAACCGACTCCGTCTTTTCCGACAAGAACAATGAACGGTGGAAGGAGGGAGAGGAGGGAATATGAAAAAGGCAAAAAGAAAAAGAAAAAAGGAAGAGGGGTAGAGGAAGCAGCAAGTATTCTTCAGAAATGGAGGGGGAGAAGAAGGGAAGGAAGGGAAAAGAGAGAAAGGGAAGAAATGGAAGAATAATGGAAAATGGAGATGCTAGTACTAGGGCAGGACCAAAGGACGGCAGAATTACCTTAGACGAACGAACAGAAAACAGAGGTAGTAATGAAAATTTAAAAAAAGGGAGGGAAAAAAAAGATCGAATAATGCAAACCGCCGCACAAGAGCCCTGAGCGAAAGTCACTAAACTGTGAGGAGAGAAGAAAATGAGAGGCGCAGTGCTGCTAGGGTGGGTCAAAAGTTTGCCGACTGTGTTCAAAGGGAAAGAAAAAATAAATAAAATAAAAAAGAAAAATAGAAAGAGAAAGAGAAAGAGAGAGAGAGAGAGAGAGAGAGAGAAAAATCTATTTTTTCATTTTTCTTTTTTGTTTTGGAGAAGAGGGAGGGGTTATTAAACTTGGAAATAAGAAGAATTGAACCAGGACTGGTCCTTTGTAGATCTGGATTCTTTTTGAGGGTCGTAGTACATATAGAGCCGTATACTTTATACAGTCCTAGTCAACTCTTCATTATGATGACCGTACAGCATTCATTCATAGGTGTCTAGAGAGTTATATGCCCAACTTACTTTGCTTACCATCATCATGGTCTATCAATGTAAGTATGGAGAAAAGCCAGATCCATGATGAAATGGTCCACCCGATACAGGTACCATACCTTAAAATTTATTACATTAGAAGCCAAACCCAAGATGACTGCTGCATCCTACGATTTAGTACGCCTGACACGATCTCTTATCTTCCTCCGCATGCATACAATCAATACGGGAAATCCTCAAGAACCCTTTCTTATTTGATTTCGGACAAGGATCAAATACCAGATCTTGCAGAACCAAGCTGAAGCTAGTACTGGATTTTCCAACTGGTTGGTACCTACTAGTCACAGCCTGTGTGCATGGATGTATGAATCAATATACCACTACATTCATACAAAAGACTACAATTAAACTGCTTGCTATGTATCTTCGTACATATATGTACTCACATACTAGTTAGTAGTAATTGGTGTAGACCCTAGTAATAGGTAGTTGGTCCTTGATAGCTTCTGGCTTCTGCTTACCCATGGGTAATATCCATAAAATTGAATCGTAGTATTAAAGAACTTCAATGATAACGACGGCTCGTGCATGCAGATTTTTCTTTTCCTAATTCTTTTTAAAAGAAAAAACAATATTTCTCCCCAGAAGGATCTATGTAGGGAGCAAGAAACAAAACCAACAGTGTGGTATGCAACAATCCCCCACACGAAAGCAAGGAAGCAACAATAGATAGAGACTTCTTACCAGTCCCCACCCCATATTTATACACGCTAAGCGGCCGGATTCCATTCAAAATTCCCATATAATATTATGAATCTGGCCAGATGCAGGAAATCTGCAAGGACCTGAGCGATGCACATGCAGAGAGCCCAACCCAGCTGCTGCCAGAGGTCGTGAGCTCTTTTTCCATTCCGTCCTTGGCCTGTGACTCGTCGAGTTCCATTCGCGTCCATGGGCCTTATCGTCATAGCCGTGTCTCCGCTGGGGTTGTCGACGTGCTCGGCAGGAATCCATTCGCAGATCGGTTTCCGTTTGCAGCCACGCCGGTCATGACGGTTGTTTGGCTCGTCCTCTGAGAGGCTTGAGAGAAAGCTCAGAAGACAGCTACTCGGGCCTCCTTTACACCATCTTACCAATCACCAGAACAAGATCGAGAAGCGAAAAAGCAAGAAGCCTATTTACTCAAAGGAATGAAAATTACATCGACCCCACCAATGCTTTCCGGAACCGTGGGATCGTGGAGCTCCAGACAATAACGGCTGAGAAGCAGTAAGATTCAACCCAAAAGCATCCTATAATGCAACATGTTATAGGACTTTTTTGCACTAGAGACTAGGGCAACTTTGCCTAGGAGACTGCTGCTATTGTTAATTATAGCAGGGATGGTCCAAGCGACATATACTTTAAGAGACCAAGGCACCAAATAAGTAGAAGAAATTGATAAAGAAAATCTTGATCACTCTCTCTACCACATTTTCGTTTCAGCATTTACTATACAATACAACCATTCCGGTATCCTGGACTTCTCTCTTTTGGAATTTTTTTGATTAGTGGAAAACCAGCCTAGGACGAAGATTAGTAACTAGCTCCACCGTCAATCAGAACCATGGAATCTATGACATTGCCAATGCCATTGGCTGGAGTATTCAGACCGGCGTGGTTCGTAATTTTTGTCATTAGCCAACTATCAGTCCAGTTGGGTAGGGTACCTAAGTATTGGGTTGGACCTACAATTAGGATGATTCATTTTTCATTCAGTTTGGATGGGGATCCTCGACGAGACGGCAGAGATTTTCCCTCAGCCCTCGTGAGGTAAAAATTTTTGCCTGAACCAAAAAAATATAAAATAATAATAATAATAATTTGATCAATAAAATAAAATACAGATTACTCAAATATTCTAATTTATCTTTCTAAATTTGTATTCGCTCCGTAGCTTGTTTGAACGGTTTGGGTTATAAGTGCAGTACGGCATCGATGCCTGACTGATCTTCAATGCATGTACGCGTACGCGACGCGATCAACCAACCCATTACCTTGCTTCATCATAATTTAAAGGAAAAGGAAGAACAGAGAAAACGTTTTATTTACTCCTTACAAAGCCTCAGATAGTGATTAAATACTCTACATCATAGCTCTCTTTAGGCACATACATACAATGCGACACTACTACTAAGTACTTACTTAGACCCCTACTAAGTACTACACAGTATCGAAATAGATGGAAGTTTCGGCACGGGAGAGTATCAGAAGTGTCTCGAGTTAATGCACAAGACCCAAAACAAGAGAGAAACACTTCTGGCATGAGCAAGGGATGCCCTCAAGATGAACACATACGAGATTGAATATACCCTTGCATCCATAATATCCGACTGAAAGCTAGTCGAATTATGTGGAGCGACAATATGTAGGTACAGATATGCCCATGACTGCAAACACCAATCGGTTGCGAATGGCAAGTAGTAGGTAGAGATCATTGGTTGGTTAATTACTCAGTCCCTTGCAGAAAACCATCAATTCCATGCATTAGGTAACCCTCCATCTCCTGTATAGTAGATTGGTTATTGTACGTCCTAGATTACCTAGGTATTTCTGTACTACTACTAACCATGCCACATATTGTGTGTGGTAAGCCACATACTAACAAACCAGCCAACTTGTATATGTCCAGAACAAATTCTATCCGAATCTCATTGAATAGTTTCCGTGTATATACAGAGCTGTTGAGCAAAATACACCCCATAAGAAGTATTGAACTTCGGATACCGTTAATAATTAAACTCGCTTATGCAAACACTACCATCACACCTCTATATACATCTGCAGAATATCAAAATTGCCCATGTGGTGAAGACAACCAAATCTATCTAGTCCATGATCCCCCAATTAGCAACCAGTAAGTACTAGTGCCGCCTACCACTAGACTACCACTCGCATGGATCTTCCACCGGTCGTTGAAGGTGCGCTAAACAACTTGGTCTGGCTTGTGGGTAGTCTAGAATGAATGCAGAATATGGTACGGGCCACTTTGCATCCAGGAATCAATTCTTACTGAAACAAAGACAAATGTCCCTGATAACAAAAGAGCGTACTTGAAAGCAATCAACTACTCCCTACATCTAAATACCCTTGCCAGTTAGTCTTGATCTTCGCGTCGATTAGCCCTAGTCCATATATGAATATAACTAAGACGATAAGAGAAAGCCATTTTATCCACTGTCTGGTGAAGCACCACCAGTCGTCCCGTTATAGTAATGTCGAGATGCTGTCGGAACTCGTCTGACCGTTGGGTAAAGATGATTTCCCGTGTTGTATAGATACAGAGCATCGCTTTCCTCTACATCTGAAAGATGAACCCATCCCAGCTGTCAAATGTGACTTGCAGACCCTGATGACTAGAGCCAAGCTTATCGAAGTTCTCATTCAAATCAAGCTTCGCAAGCATGGAATTACCGTCTGTCCAAGGGAACCCCAATCCCGTTTGGAAGGATTTTATTCATAGTCTCTCTCTGTCCGGGAAACTGGTGCATAACACAGAATAACCGTGCTGCCTCCAGCAACACACATGCGAGAATTCGATGCAGAATATGGTCATTAGTCCCGCCCAGGTTGTTCGGCTTTAAGCCGCTTGCTGGTGATTAGAAAAGGTACGCCGAACATTGGCCGTTCATATAGAGGGTGGGCTCTACACTAAGTCTTGGGATTGACACAGACGATAAGTTCTGACAGATGAGCACCTATCTCACTTGGTAGGCTTGTAAAACAGGGCGACTGCAAGAACACTTGCACTTACTAGGCTTTAGCTCTCAGCCATGGCTTTTAGAAGAAACTACATCGAAATTCCTGATATGAGGTCTTGGGTGGATGATAAGGCATGAATAGATAGATGGATATATGAATGCAATCGTCACTATATAATGCATGGATGTTTGTACGCAGTAAACAGGAAGAAAGATCTGCAGGTCACCTAGTAGAGAAAGCTCTCACTTGTCAGATGACATCCATCGAGAAAGTCACGGCCGCAAATAAACTGAAAACGGCGATCACAGAGCCAGAGTTGAATGCAGTTTCAAATGACATTGCAGATTTAGATTGCTGGGGATCAGATAGCAACGTATCTTGTTCGTTGACAGGCGATGGGCAAATTTACACAAGTCCTTAGGGAATGTCTAGTTTACTCAGTTTCAGCCTGACAAGTATCTCCAGGAGCCAAAACAGTGTCACAGAATTCCCCCGCTTTCCCTAGCTCATCGCCCAGTAATTGAATCGTCTTCTCAAAGACCCTTGCGGTCTCCATCTCCCACCTGGCTAGAGCTAGATAATCCTCGGTGCCGAAGACGTCATCCATGTCATCGTCCTCATCACTGAAGTCATCTGCGTCTTCATCGTCGGGTCCATCAACTTGCTCTCTAGCCTCCACAACAGCTACACGGCAAGTCTCGGCAATGCTTTTGATTCTAACCTTCTCCGTCATAGACACGATATTGCGTCTTGTCTCGAAGCCTGCCAAGGGGGCCCCGGAGTCGGCATCTTCTCCTGTTAGTAGAGATGCGAATATGGAATCCAGCTTCTTGAGAAGTCGGAAAGTCGCCTTTGGAGAAAAAGGATATTCCGGGAGATATGTGTTAATGTACACCGCCAGAGAAATCAAATACGGTATTTGAAGAGAGGCTGTCCTTCAATTAGAGGTGTTCCCAGCTAGGCTTATTTCTCTCCGCGCAGTGAGAGGGAACGGGTCAGGTACACATACGGGTCCCAGTAACCCAAAGGACATCGACCAAGCCCTCAATATCTTTAGCCACTTCTTTGAAACTCTCATACCCCTTTTCCGATTCTTGCTGGGCTTGATCATCAAATACGCTGCTAAATTTCTTGGCATGTCGACGATTGATGGTTAAAATAGTCTTATCGACATGATTGATAACAAAAGCTTCTTTTGCTGAACCTGGTTTGAGGGGATGCGATCTTGGCTTTGGGAGAATGGATGGAGTGTCGGTAGATGTTAAGGGAGCCGGTGAGGAAAGAGGCGACTGCATGAAGCCCCCTGGCTCATAATTCGAGGTAGTAGAAGAAGACATTAGCGAGAGAGATATATAAGCGGTAATCGAGGAGAAAAGAAACGAAAAGCACTTCACACTGAAACGATACAAGAGAGGTAACCAGACAGTTTGAGAAGACTGATCTGACTTTGGCTTGCACACAACTCAGTTGAAACTACTGTCCAACCTTTTGTAAATATACAGGAAGAAAGCTTAGGGTATACGGTGTTTGTTTTTTAAGGTTGACTGAGAGTGAAGATGTCATGCCAAGATTAATGGTTGGGTTGGTGGTCTGTGCGTCATAAATAGAACAAAAACAAGGCCGGCTTGATTATAGATACAGACACAGCTCTGGCTGTTCGTATACCGGTGTATATACATCATCAACCAACATCTAACCTCACACCTCAGTGACCATAAGATCCGGAAGAAAGAACGAAAGTACCCTAGCCGGAGCGTTAGCTGTCAGCAGATATCCTTGTTCTATAACGAGTAATTTTTCTAGACAAAAATGTTTGCTTGTGGCTTCAGACAGGTGAGAAGATATTGACATTACGCTGGTTTTTGAAGGCATGGCAAGACATCGATTAAGGCCGAGTCTCGCTCTACTCTGGCCCCAGCGGGCTCATCATATGGAAATAGAATGCAGAATACGGAGAAATAGGCGCACTGGACTCACAATCACCTGGCATGTACACCCTCAAATTAATGAGAAGTCAAAACTTTTAATCCATCCCAAACGCCATGCTAAGAATAGACGCCAATACATGGTGAACAAATCACTCAGGCTAAGAACGAGTTAGCTTTGGCCCTCATTGAACGAAAAACCAAAGGTAGGAAAGGGAAAGAAACTCACCCTAAACTTTCCCTTCCGTTTCTTCATCTCCTCCAGCTTCTTCCTATCCTCATCAAACTTCTTGAGCAACTCGTTCTGTCTCTCTTTCCTCTTCTCCCTGGATTGGAACCTGTAGAAGTCCTCCAAGCCCTGCGACTTCTTCTTCTGCTTCTCTACCAACTCCCTAGCCTCATCCTCATGCGCAACAGACGTGAGCTTCGGCCCACTCGTAACCGTAATAAATCCATCCTCGTCCGGTTCCTGTGCCCTGCGTGCCTGTTCTTTCTTCCTAGCATCCGCAACAGCCTCAAACACAGTCATGAAATCATTCACCGTGCGCAACAACTCCGCACGGGGAGGGTACCGAGCCTGTTCATGGTTGAGATACCGCTGCAAGCCCAGGTCAGGTAGACGATCCTCAATGCCCTCGCCCCAAACAATCTCCCCATCCTTCTTCTTGCCTGCTTTCTTGGCCGCTTTCACGCTGGCCTCCATGCTGGACTTGTCGACAAAGATAACAACGGCATGTGCACCACTTTTGTGAAGTTCCCGGTCCCACGCGGATGGTAGCTCGACCTCATCTAGGTGACTCTGTAGCTCATCGGCTGTCACCCTCTTTCTCTTTTTGTTTTTTGAGACGCTCGCCGTCATGCTATGCGCTGTGGCCATCCCCCCTTTTTTCTTTGTCGGTACTGCCTCGAAGTGCACCCGTTCGACACGCCCGGCGGCCAGTTGAGTCCCAAAGAGGTGGCGCAGGTGCAGCTCTGTTGAGTCGATGGGGGCATTAACTACGAATAGAGATCGAGGGGTATCAGCATCGGGAATGCGTGGTTCGTGAGGCCGAAGGTAGAGATAGTGTGTTGCGGGTTTTGCGCCCTTGCATTCAGCCGGAGGCAAACGAAGCGGTAGGACCGTGTAGCCAGCTATTTCTAGATCCGTTTTCATTTTGATAGCAATAATCAGAAAAGTAGAGGTAATAAAGAGAGAGATTAAAAATAAAGGGAAAAAAGAAAACAAGAACACGTTTGGCTTAACAGGTTTTAGCCCGCGGAAGAAATTCTAGCGGGAATTTTTAAGGCCTGAAGGCGGAGAAGGCTTAAAATAAAATTTATCTAAACTCTGGGCATCATTTTCATTTACTCTTTGTAGACTATCTGCAAATCACCACACCACTCACATAGAGCTACTACTAGAGACACATAACAAATTCATATTGGTTAATAACACACCTATCAAGAGAAGCTCTTTTTCACGATAGACTCCGAATATCAGGGCCCTGTATATGTCTCGTCTCGTCCCATGCATCTTAAATAGATAATACACTCTACGCCTTATCGGGATCATTGATACCACCGTTGGTGATCACGTATGTCGCTTCTTGTTCGGGACAGTCTGCAACTGTCAGCGAATATTTTCTCCTAGACTTAAAAGTCATGTACCTGGAGAATCTTGAATCTTTGCTACTCGTTCGTCGCCGCGGCCTTTGCGAAGAAGAACTCGAGTTGCGGACGCATGCGCCAGAACATGTCCGCCTACAGGCTTGCGGCCATCTGCACCAGCAAAGAGGGCACTAGCTCCAGGATCGCTCTGAACTTGATTTGTCTACCTTTGCGTGAGATTGGCACCCTTATTTAATGACGGAAGAGACTCACCATTAGGACGCACACGTTGAATTCTAGATCAAGCTAAGATTAGTCCGTAATTCAATAGCCAAGGATAAGATTACAAACCTTCAGCCATATGGGCGAGCTTCATCAAAAACTGGTTAAGCTTCTGCTGGCGGTCTGCGAGTTCTCCACGCCCGCAGTAATCCACCCGGAAGCAATTCATGATGCTGTCGATGATCAAAAGTCGATATTCCCCGCCAGCAAACTCCTTGCTCAACGTATTCAACAACTCCAACTGATGTTCGCTATTTAGGGCCCGCGCATAGGCAATGTTCTCTCGAGCCGAGTCAGGGTCAACACCGAATCGTTCTGCGATTTGGGCGATACGCTCTGGCCTGAAGGTGCCCTCGGTGTCAATGTAAGCAACCTTGCCATCCGCGCCTCCCATTTCTCTTGGGAGCTGTGCGATGACGGACATGGTATGCGATAACTGTGTTTTGCCACAGCGAAATTCTCCAAATACTTCACTAATACTCATGCTTTGGAAACCCCTAAGTCCGTCAGTCGAGCTTTCCCTGAGACAGGACTAACGGCTCACCCTCCCAAGATGGAATCAAATTGCTTGCTTCCAGTTGAGATGCGAACGACTCTCTTCCGTTGATGGCTCAACTCCATTGCCGTGATAAACCCAGAAGCAGAGGGCTAATTCGATCAGCCACCCATGATTTAAACTAGAAACCCCAACCTTATTTGCATACCAAACATTTGTTAACGGCATCCTTAATCTTCTCTACTTTGACCTCGCTGAATCCCCTTATCTTCAGCAGGGTTTTCCGGGTGGCCCCATGAACGGACTAAAAAAAACACCGAATGTGAGCGTATGTCAAGAGGGAAATGGGGTGAAGATCATAGTACAGCAACAGTATAAAAACCATTGGTCTTCAGTTTTGTGATATCGGTAGCGCCAATCCCTGTTCGTCGTGAGTTGACGTTACACAAGCATGGCCAGCGAAATACCATGGGCCTGTATGCTATCGATGTCCACGATGAAAACCTATAAATGCCAATGGTCATGCAACGTTAGGAATCACGAGGTAGAACTAGAAAAATGTTGTAGGACCTGAAAAAGACAAGAAGGGAAACTCAAACATCATCATTGAACTCATCACTTGAATCCGAACCGGGCATGGTTGTTTGTCCGCGTAAAAGAGAAGGCTTAGTGTGGACTACGGTGGAAAAGACTTTGCTGGTTGGAGTGCTGAGGAGAGAACGGATTATGGCTCCAAATGGAAGAAAGTGACCCTATGTCACGAGTCTGTTTGTCCATAACAGGAAACGTATGGATTGGACACGGCCGTGGTGGTAACAATCCAACAATAGGTAAGCTATACAGCGATGGTTTAGAGAATATAGCTAGGGATAGAACCAACGGAATCAAATGCCCCTCCATGCGATTTGATGGGTCAAGTCCGTGGTCTATAAAGACTACAATTTGAGGCCTGAACCCAAGAGAGATGAGATGCAACAATGCAGGGCCTTCTCAAAGATCGGAACAAAAACAATTTTAGAACGTAGAGCTGTTGAACGTGAAATATGATATTTGCTTTTCTGCGTTTTTTTTTTTCTTCTGCTTTTGCTTCCCATCCACCGGATATAGAGTATAGTACGAAAAGATGAGGTAACCACAGCGCCAGGTACCGATCTTTGTCCACTAACAATCTTCAGCACAACAATCCCATCCGTATCATCTTGAAGCCTTTTCCTATGTATATCAACACGTCTGCTTCGGTCCACCTATGTCTTCCCTGCGCTCAATCAACCCTTCGCCTCGCCTCGTCTCCTTCTTTTCTTGCCGCACCTATAATTCAAAATGTGAAAGACACCCGAGGGAACAATAGACGCCAATCATAAGAACCTGAGCCATGTGTAGGATCCAAGTCGTAAGGGAACCTAAGACATCGTGAAACTTTTGTTCGTCGTATACATGAGAGGAATAGAAAAGGGCCGGTGCCGAGAACTGAAACACGGGGGGTAATATATGCAAGGGAACATGGGAGGAGTAAAACAAAATCAAGACTGAGGTCGGCGAGCCCTAGTACAAAAAGGAAAAGAGGAAACAGGCTCCCGTCGATGGGATCAGTGAACTCCTGGCCATGTGGCTGTTTATGCGACAGCAGTGGTAGGAGCAGCAGCCGCAACAGGAGCGACCTCAGCTGGGGTCTCAGTTGCGGCGGCGCCAGCAGCAGGAGTGGCCGGAGCAAGAGCAGCAGGGGTACTTTCAGTAGGCTGCTGGTTAGCAGCCTCGTTGTTGGGGCAGTCCCGGGAGATGTGGCCGGCTTGGGCACACTTGTAGCAGACCTTGCCAGCAGAGCTCAAGGGGCCACCATTAGGGGCGGTACAGTCACGGGAGATGTGACCCTATAGGATTTAACATCAATGGCTTAAACGCACAATTGGCTGCAGAATACACTTACAAGCTTGCCGCAAGCGTAGCACTTCATAGCCTGCGCTTGGCAGTCACGGGCGAAGTGGTTAGGGCCACCACACTTGTAGCAAGTGGCAGCGCGAGGGTAACCACCGTACCCACCGCGGTAGCCACCACTGAACCCGCCACGAGGAGCACCGACACCGCGACCAGCACTAGTTGCAGGAGCCGGGCAGTTGCGCTGGGACAAGCTCATGTTAGTCTTCATTTTCCCCTAAAGATACCTCGGGCAAGAAAGACATACGGCAAGGTGGCCGGGCTGGCTGCAGTTGTAGCAACGACCGTTAGCGCCATTAAGACGCAGAGTGGGACAGTCGGCCTGAACGTGGCCTAGTCCCTGGCAGTTGTAGCATTGCTTGGCTGAAAGAAAATACAAATTAACCCCTGTTATTTGTCGCCTTCATGCCATCTAGGATTCCTTACTCTCAGTAGTACGAGGACGAGGGCAGCTGCTAGACTCATGGCCTATTAATGAATTAGATTTCGGTCTCAGGAACATAGTACGCATGGTGTCTTACCAGGCTGCTTGCCTATTCAAGAATAACAAATCAGTAAGCTATCCCAATTAGGTGGCTGTAAATAAAGTGATCACTCACAGTTGTAACAGAGACGCTCGGAGGAAGAGCAGACCTCTATCAACCCGTTAGCAAAATCCGGTTCAGCTACAATCACCCTCTACTAGAGGCGACTGACCGGCATAATGGCCAATATTGCCACACTTGTAGCATGCACGTCGAGAAAGCAACATCTTGTCGGTATACTATTTGACCAAAGAGAACCTTGTCAGCCGCCATATCAACCTGTCACCCACCCCGTGGCTCGGTTCGTTGAGGATAACTTCTCGCATGACATGGGGAACGAGCGCCGCCGAATTTAATGACCGGGTGTGTTTGTGCTAACGACAGTATGAACCCGGCAAACACACGATTTCGTGGTCTCTCAGCCATGCCGTAGTACTCGAAAAATCGGCAAAGGAGAGAGAGGGGGTATGTTTCGGCGAAAGTTCCATCGAGAAAGTCCAGAGGAAATCGAGCGGCGCTTGTGCACCCTCCAGAATAACAGGAAAGCCAACAGTCACGAGGAAACTCCGAAACCTTTGGAGAAAACACTCACTCTTCCTAAAACCAACAACGAACTTCAAATCACCTTGTCAAATGTGCTGTTTTCGACCGTCAACTTGAGAACCTTGGAGGAGTAACATTTCCAACAGCCCACTCTGAACATTGACAAAAGTGGGCTGACAAAGAAAAAGCGACTAAAAAAAACCACACAGAACGAGAGGACTTACAACACAGCAGCTCTCCAGGCAAAACCCTCACAGCACTCCAACAATCCCTCCGAACCACAGGGAAGAACAGGAAATATCTTGAAAAATTCTCGTAGTCCACAGAAGAGTAAAACTCAGTCAAGCGATGAAGCCAAGTCAAGGAAAGGCAGACAACGTTTTAGTTTCATACACTAAGGGTTACCTTCGATTACAGAACGCTAGAAAAATACAAGCGCGAGAGAAGGAAAACTTAACTCCCAGGCTTTCCTCTATCGCGTACGGTCGTTACCGCAATACGTTGAGTCCCCAGATTCCGTATCATTTGGCACGGGTCCAAAGGCACACGTTCCCGAGGGATTGACATTCCTCAGCCCCTGCGTTTAAACTCACTCAGTCAAGTCGTACGTACTTTATTTAACTGATTACATGGTCCAATTTTGATAAGTGTTTCCTAATTAGGGTAGACAAGCGCCTGACTTCCTCTAAATAGTATTTTTATTCCACTTTATCTATATTGTGTCACTACTTCTGTCAGCGCTTTGAAAGCGAGTAAATATATAACCGCACTTGCTTTGAGTGAACCAAAGACACCACCGCTTGTAGACAACTTACAAATATCAATTGGGCCATTCAGTAACACCGAATCCATTTACGCCCAATGCTCTCGCTCTGGAAAGTATATTCGAGTGTCCGGTCCCGTATTGAAGGCTATATTATCTATATCTACTATGTGAATAATATGAGTGCATCACACGATATAGTATTTGTCATATTAAATAATTACCTAGTTCAGAAGATATACATTCAATCGCTAGACTGAGCATAATATTTGTATCCTATAACCACTTATTGTGGCAAGATGTATCCTGGTTGTTGAAAGTACACCCGAACTAGTGATTTACTACAAGTAGCAACTACTAATATTCTTGACGATGATAAATACATGTTCATAAATCAGCAGCATCCTTTTCCAACCTCTCCCCTAACACGTCCAATATCAACTCAAGCCCAAACTAATACGGGCATACATACATACAGGAACTGACCCATCAGTTCACCCGTTACAATGTACTCCTTAAAGACCCTCTTTATCATCTTCGCCATATTCTTCGATAATGCGCTAGCTGCGTCTCTCAAAGGATGTGGTCTCCGCCCCTCCTCCTGTGGATAATAATACTCCCGCTTCCACATTTTCAGAGAACACCGGCCCCTCCGACCAGATCGATAATCCTAATCATGAGGCGTTACAGGTATACCTATCTGTATCTATCAAATGTACCTCCATTTCAAGTGCTTACCATGCCTAATCAAGCGGACCTACACTGGGCAATGTTACTATGTACATTGCTTCTGCGTTCCTTATGTGAATTGGTGTCAATGTAGCGGCCATGGGGGACGGTGCACTTGTAACCGGAGTTATTGAACAGAAGAAGACTTTGGTTGAGGCGGTGACTAGGCGATGGTCAGAGGAGCAGGTATTTTCTGACACCTTTGTAGGGAGGCGGAGTTGGGTTATCTTCAGCTCAATGGGATGGATCCGGTTCAGCACGGGTAAGAGACTGAGGGTCAAGTGCCTCTACACGTTTACTTTCTCTTGTTATTTTGACCTCTCAGCCTCTCCTGCATGGGACTCATCTCTTCAATATTTGCTTGGTCGCCAAATCGATAAAAACCGACAGTTTTCATATATTAACATGCTATTCAATGTATATGACAATAGAATCAAATAGTAGACACCGTAATGTTCACTCCTCCTTCTCAATCACTGCGGGGGCCTTGATCTCACGACCCTTGAGGAACTCGAGTCCTTCACCACCCTGTAACAGCAAATGTTAGTAAAGATCTTAGAAAGGAGACCCTGGTGTCTGTTGTATAAACGCAACTTACGTAGCTGATTAGTGGAGACACCTCAACGCCGACGGCCTCGCCTTCGGTGACAACAACACCGCCGGCCTTCTCAATCCAGCGCTGTCCCTGATTCATGATGTCCTGCTTGCTGGTGTCAGGGTCGTCTTCGCCAGTGCCCTTAGCGTTCTTCAATGGCGAGAATTCATCCTCGCGGCGCACCTCGATGGATGCAAACTTCTCCAGAGGAGTCATTGGGAAGACGTCAAAGACGAACTGCTCTAACTTAATACCGTTGGGTTTCTCAGGCTTGAAACTCTCACCAGTCTCGATATTGACGCAAGGAATCTTCTTGCGAGCAACATGGTGAGGCAACTTGTGGGACCAGGTTTCAATGGACTCGAAGAAGCGGAATGAGTAGTAGTGATTGACAATGTTGGCGGCGCGGAACTTCAGCACATCAGGCTGCTTGGGGTCCTTAGCTTCAGCCGTCTCCTTGTCGATTTCAGAATATTCGACTACATCGGGCTTGCCATTTTTCTGCAGGATCAAGCCGACCGACTCGGTAGCATTACGTTTACGGACCACCTTGGTAGCGATATCAACCTTCTTCGAAGCGGCGAAACCAATGAAGACAGGATCGGCAACCTTGACCAAGCAGTTGTCGACGCAGTAAGTGTGGATGTGTTCGATACCACGCTTGTGCATGTCCTCTCGCACACCAGAGGTGATCAGGGCTTGGTAAATACCACCGTTGCCATCGGGGGCAACAGCAGCCTAATATTAATTGTCAGAATACCGCGTTGATCTCCATTAAAGGAGAGGAAGGGGGTATCGTACCTTAAATTTGGATTCTAACAGGATCTTACCATCATTAGAAATGCAGGGCAGAACACCTTGTTCAAAGATGACGACATTCTTCTTGTCTAACCCAAAATACTTGTGCTGTTCAAAAAACTCCTCTGTGGGCTTGCGGGTCGGTCCACTGGTCATGACGTACCAGGGGATAGCGGCTTCCTTGCCGGATACCTTCTGTGCTAGGAGCTGGAGCTTCGCAATGCGCTCTGCCTGAATCTGGAAGAGGGACTTGTGACTGGGCAGACCGATATCGAAGCAACCCTTAGGTGCAGAGCTTCCCAAGCGAGTACCCTGTCCGCCAGCCATCAGGACCACAGCGACCTTGTTCTCCGACACTGCCCGGAGGCCTTCATCGTACCACCGCTGAATATCCTTCGGGTCGGAGTCGAGGATTGAGGCAGTAGCCACCTCTGGAAGAGGTTCAAGGGTGACCGGGCCTTCCTGAGTTTTGGTGGGGTTCAGGACCTTGTCGGCCAGTTCATTGATCCGGTTGGGGTCGAAGTTGCTCAACTGATGGAAAAGCTGGGCCTTCTCAACCTGGCTCAATTGATCGGTGAATGTGAACACATGCCCTTGTCCGGCGTCGTTATACTTCTGTTGTAATTGCTGGAATTCTTCAGAGGAAGGCTGACGAGGGGTATTTTCGGAATGACCATGTATCAGATTGGATACGGTCTCCTTAATAGCTGCCGCCATGGTGTATAACTTAAGTGTATCGGAGGGTAAAAAGTGGGCGGTGGTTGTGTAATAGGTAAGGGAGACGTGGGAGAGTCAGGGAGGGGTTTGGGGAGGTAAAATGGCGGGGTGAAACAGAAGCTCTGGGATGAGGGGTCTTTTAAAGAACAGCAGTTAAAGGGGAGTGTTCGTCAAGCCACAAGCTGACCGCCAGGAGTATTACTACTAGTCTAGCTGACTATTTTTATTTATTTCACTATTATTTTTAGTCAGGAGTAACAGGGTAGTGCTCCATAGTAGAACTCTACTAGGACTCCATTTCCCATATTATTGAGGGCAATGCTCCTATAATTAGCGATGAACCGGGAGATCTGACTGGCCAACCATGACTCCAGAAGTAGTTGTAAGGCGGAGCATTCGTGGAACGCCATCCGATGGATTGAAGCCGTGGGGCCACAAGTTTCACTAAGTAGGTTTTGGTTGGTCAGTGGGACAGGAGAATCCAGATACTACTACTACTTTTTATTTACATTCTGCATACGTAGGGCAGTAAGGAACAGAGCGCGGTCTCGCCCTTTGACTCTTCATTCATTTTTAATACTCGTTTAACGACGCCACCTTTCCCGATAACGATCATCATCGCGACCGTCACGACGTCGCTCACGGTCGTTATAGCGACCACGGTTCTTATCGTGATATGATTTCTCTCGTGCTGGACTTCGACTGTGATACCTTTCGCCGTATCGTCCCCGGCGGGAATCTCGAAAGGAATCTTGTCGAGGACTTCGGCTACCCCTTCGGTCACGGTTTGAACTTCGCCTGGGACTCCGGCTGTAGGAGCGCCTACGGGGAGCCTTATGGCCCTTGTCAAACACCATAGCATAGTCGTCCTCTTCTTCGCGAGCATTATCAGATGCTCTGTATTGGCGCTTCTTCTCAAGGCTTGCTACTCCACCGAATCCACCCCGCTGACCGCTGCGCTTGGAGATGGTAGCATTTCTCCAACTCTCTGATAGTTTCGACACCTGTATAACTCATTAGCAATGTTGGATTGTAAGCAGAGAACCATTGTCTGACACTTTGAGAAAAATCCACATGGATACGATGGTCATCAATTAGCACGCCCTGCATTTTAAAGTAGGCTTGTTCACAATCCTTTTGGTTCTCAAACTCGATGAAAGCGTACTGTAAACTGTCACCGGTGCGTTTGTCTCTGATGACCTCGCACGACAGAATCTGGCCAAATCGGCTGAAGATCAAGTGAAGATCCTCGTCTGCTCTCCGTTAACGCATGATTCTAAACGGCGACGGGGGATGACAAGCCCATACCTTGGGTGACAGGGTTCAATTTACAGACAAACAAGACATTCTCTGGCGGTTTAACCTCCGCAAATGGAAGATCGCCCACCATTTCGAGGGTCAGCGCCTGTGCCCTTGCCTCTCGTTCCCGCCGTAATTTCTCCATAGACTCTTCGTCCATGTTATCCTCGAGATCCTCGTCATCAGCAATTCTCACAGTAGCTAGTTGCGCCTTCGACGGCAAAGGGCTCTCAGCCGGAGCCACCAGGCCGGGAGGATCTTTGAACGGGTCATCAAGAATGACTGTGTGGCGGATACGGATGTCCTTGAGTGGTCGACCCCGGTCGTCGATGAAGGCTTCGTTCACTTTCTCGAGGACGTCAAAGCCTTCCACAACCTTTCCGAAGATCACCACTTTACCATCCAAGTAATCAAGGCTCCCTCCCAGTGTGACGATGAATTGGCTCGCAGCGATGCGCTGATCGGGATCATGTGGCGAAGGAACTGTTGCCATGCTCACTGTGCCTCTTTCATCATGCTTCAGCTTCGGTGAAGGCTCGAGTGAAAAGGTCCTTTTCGACGGACCCTCGAGAACGCCCCAAATGGATGAACCCCCGTCGCTTTCTGGGGAATCAGGACCGAGGGGATCGCCGGTCTGAAAGGTGAAGTTTTTTTGGACACTGTGGACGGGGGAGAAATTATAGTACTTGACTTTGCATAGCTTCAGGAAGCTAAAGCGGGAGAAGATGGACAGCTTAGTTTCGGGTTCAGCCACTCGACATTGTATACGCGCATAAGACACACAGAAGCCAAAAAGAAATGTGAGCATCAGGTCTACTTACTTTTCGCACGCTTTAGGTGATTCATCGACCAGCAAATCAATGACAATGTCACCCAGGGAGGTCTCCAGAAGGACACTCATGGCGTCCCACTGGGGTCACACGTGAAGTGGGGATTATCAGCCGTGCGTTAGAGAGGGGAAGTAAAAGAGATATACGTAAAAAGAAATAAAATAAAAAGTAGGCAGAATTAGGTCAAGTAAGGAAAAGGGCTAACACAGCAGTCGGGAATCAAGCTAACGTCGACCCTACGGAGGAAGAGAAAATGAATTAGTCTTTCGGTCGAAAGGCGGGAAAAACTTAAAAGGTGCGGAGCCGCTGCCAAACCCAAAGCCAATTGCACGTATATATACCTTTACTACTATTGTCGACCCTCAACTTTCTGCTGTGGACACTGCATCGTTCTTTCATTCGCTCGTTCTATTTTCGAGGTGCTCACACTCTCCGGATTCTTTCGTGTAACTAAGGCCATCTTCTCAATCCAACGGCAGGTGTTCCAGAAGACCCGTTCGAATGAGAAAAAGAATCTGGCTGTGCAAGATGGACATAAAAGATTGACAAGATCGACAAATCGCAGCTTACCATGACAAATGACCCATCTGTACGGCATTCTACTGTCAGATTCGCAACGACGCTGGAGGACAAAGCTCAACTGTAACCCCATATCCTTTTCTGCGAAGTGAAATTCGATCTTCGCGCTATTATTATTAGCGTAGAAGGTTAGCACTCTTCTTAGTGTACTACTGACTGCTCAGGTTTTACAGCAGAGATGTTGAAAGTAACAGTCTGCTGCGGCTTCTACTATCTCATACTGATCAGCAATGACAGCAGAGCAAAAAATATACACGTGGTCGATCTTAGTAGACCTAATCTTTGCTACTCTCCTCTCCGGTCTTTCTCTTTCCATTATCTCTCCCTCTTCGTCTTCTTTTCTTTTGCATCTAATAATCATAAACCTCAGCGCTATCATACGCCATGCACGTTCCACTGGTTCCTGATACCTGGTGGCTGGCCCGCTTGTTAACTGGGGTCCAAATTTGACCAAACATCATGAAGAGAAAAACCGTTTGCACTTTATTTTTTTTTTCTTTTCTTTTCTTTCTCTTTCTCTTTCTTGCCTTTTTTTTTTTTTTTTTTTTTTTTTTTTTTTTTAAAATTTTAAAATTTTTTTTTTTTTTTTTTTATGGCTGTGAATATTGACTTAGGGTGTTCATGATTCTCAATTATAGGCAAGGAACTCATTGCTTCCTTTCGTCTGTCTTGAATGGGCCTATTACAAACGAAACCTAACCCCTACGGAAAACGTGCTAGCTTGACCGTGAATAGCAGTTTGCTATTCCAAGTACATACTTTCATTTCATAACCCCTGAACTTCGTGTGTAGCAGAACCCCCCTCCCCTTTCTTAAGGTTCTGCCATATCATTGAATCCGTTGATTATACGGTGATTATAGCTTATTCTAATGAGATTTACCTACGTTTTCTACAAATGCTACTTAGTTTTCTTGGCTCTTTCCATACTAACTTCCATGGATGGCATGATATGATTGGTGTGTGATCGCTACGCAGCATAATGCACAGATGCAGATTCAGCCCGGTAACCTGGACGCAGGTTTCAAGTCGGTCCATTTATGTCAGGGCTTGATTCGGGCTCAGTCTTGGCTACTAAGCCACATTTGCTCTCGTTGGGACTGGAATGTTCGAATTACCCCGAAGTACCACTGTCAGTGCTATACGGCTGAGATGCGCGAGCCCAAAGCTTTCCGAGACACCAGCGTAATCGTTTGCAAGGGCCGCCTGATGCTTTCAGGAATTCCTCCGCTCAATTCCTTACGGTAACGAATGTTGGTCGACTCTTTTTTTTAAACTATAGGTGGCGTGTCAAAAGTACCAAGAAGTTTGTTTGATGATGAAAAGCGCAAAAGCCCAGCCAATAAACCCTCCCATCACCGCAATTTAACGGGGAAGCAAACAACTTCTTTATGCTCGTCTCGGACGACCTACAAAGTGCAGCAGTTCCGGGAGACTCTTGCGAATGTAATCGACCGCGGTCCACTCGTCGCCAAGTGTATGCGTTGAGGTCGGCTTCATTTTTCCTTCAGGGTCTGTATATATGGGAAGAAGCGTACCATCGGAAGATGACCGTGGCTCAAGGAGAGAAAGTCGCCATTGGTTCAGCAGAGCTCACACACTGATCGCCAACTCACTCAGCCTGACTCGCTATGGCGACTATCAGGTCATGTAAATCCGTGCAACGTTACTCTGTGAAACAGAACCTCTTAAAGCGCCGGGAAATTCTGTCTGGCTAATGTTCTATCAGCAAGCTTCTGGGGGTCCCAGCCGACTTTCTTGGGGACGGAAATTCGCATCCTGTCTCCCCCGTACAACGACAAGAATCAGGTATCAATTTAGCCACTTGCTCCGAGCCAACGAGTGAGTTAGGGACCTTTTCTGGCTAGTGATCCGTCGAAAATATGCATTTAGAGGACCAACAGAAGGAAAGAGGGATTTTCGCAAAATGAAAAATAAAAAGAAAAAGAATAAATCTAAATAAAATGGCAGTCAGAAAAATAAATCCTGACACATTGACTTAAAACTGGCATCACTTCCGACTGAACCCCCCTCACCCTTCCCGGTCCCTTTTCAAATGAGAGAAAGATAGTCGGAACATGTTGCCCGCTACCATTCCAGGCTCAGCGATCTTCAATGCTTCCATCAAGTTTTGATTCCATTTGGATCTTTTTCTTTTTCTTTTTTTGGGATTCGTCTTGATTTATGTACGTCGCGGAGCTGGAACCAATGCGTTTTCTTTGCCGTTAATAATGGCACATCAATTCTATACCCCGGAGGACGAGGTCGGCTTCGAACCTCAGTCTAAGCGAGATGCTCTTTTACTTCCACACTCGACACAGATTAGCAGTCAACAGGAGGCTGTGGACAGAACGTCTGGGACCATTACTCCAATCCTGGAAGGGGAGAAGAGCCGAAGCTCCACCAGGAGACGTATTCCAGTGGCAGTGAGTTTCCTCTTTCCGTGACAAGGAACAAGGAAGCTTACATTCACAGTGCAATCGATGTCGAAAAAGAAAAATTAAGTGTAGCGGTGATATTGGCGATGGCCACGGGTGTTCAAACTGCCGGAATTCAGGAAATCAGCACTGTCAGTTCCTAAGGGTGAGTTCTATTCTGTCACTAGCCCCTTCTACTATGAGCTAAGATACAAACAAGGTCAATTCGTCCATGTTGCAAACAAAAGCTTCTGGATGGCCGTATCCCGCTACAAACACTCCGCTGTCTTCAGCTCACCAGAGGCAAGGTGCGTACACACCCTCAGTGGCTCCAAAGCAAGAGTTCGTATCGGTGAATACCTCGAACTTCCGCATTGCTTCGCTGTCACGCCCATCAGCCTTTGATATAAGCTCGGCCGAGCCTCAGCAGTCACATGGTCGCCCACTTTTTGGTCAGGGCCACATCGTCAATTACGAAGACGAGTCATCGACTGTATACGGTTCTCAGCCTCCAACATACGTAGTACCCACAACGCTCCAAGGAGTCACACCGGACTACTACGGGATCCCTTGGTCAAAGACGTGTCATTCTGGGCTTAGCATTAGCAGGGGACCTGATGGAGGGGTATTACCTGAGCATGAAGCGGAGGGCACTTTCCACCAATCCAATTACGCTTATATAGTCCCGGAACCAGGAACTCAATCCCCCGATCCCACTTTTGCGCCCTCAATGATTGCTCTATCGTCCGAGGCACAGGGAGCAGACCGAACTCTTCCCAACCCCAATGGGCGAGGCCAGCTTCAACTGGGCCATTCAGTGTTTCCAACATCGTCGGAAGCTATATCTGGGCTTCCTCAACTAGACTGCAGAATTGGACATCCTTGGACACCCAAAGGCATTACTGATGACAACACTCGGTCGATGAGGCAGTACACCCTTGGAGCTCTCAACGGCAATTCCATGAGCCGGGGAAAGCCGCCTCCGCCGAGTGCACAGGAGATGGTGATTGGATACCCACAGATGTCGACGGGTAGTACTTCTTCACCTTTGTTGCCCTCTAGAAGCATCTTTACTCGATTGAACCCAGGGAATTCGGGAGAAGAGCTACAGGGAAGCGAGGAAGCCCCAGGCCGAAGGTCGATGTTAAGTACAGGTGCACGTTTTGCTCTTATGGAGGGTGTCTCCGACATTTACAGGTACTCCAGCTCTGAGAAGAGAAAAGGTCTCAAACCAGATACTTCTGGGACGTTGATGAACGGACTTCCTTACACGCGGCCACCAGAGCAGCACGAAAACACTTTCTATGCTTTCAGCTTGCCGGTAGCGGATGGCCTTTCGGGTCCCGGAACAACCGCAGAAGCACAGCGGACGCAGACTCTGAGTAACCCGGGGAGCTTCTATCCTGGGGCATGTTGAACGGCTGTGCATCTATCTGCCTATGGTGCAAGCGCTATAGCCCCAGCCGAGAGGGTCAAACACTAATGTTGTTACTTTTTATTTTAATACTATTTTTATTTTTTTTGTTTATTTATTTTTTGCACGGTGTTAGGTAGAGTTTCAGCCCGTTTGTCTTTACTATCTGTCATGCTGCTGTCTGGTGGCCATGAAATGTTGCAGATATTCATCTGTTTGTACTCCCATAAGACTTCCTGTCATTCCCGTTTATTCTTCATTTTTATTCTCTGGATGATTTCAATAATTCCCCTGTTTGTACTCCCATCGATATGTTCTGTTGTTCCCGGTTCCTACTCCTGGGAACCTAAAAGTTACACTAATATCGGGGTAGGCAAGGTGTGCCGGGTCGGGTATCTTGATTTGTACTTATTTTCTTTTCAGTTTCTCTCTTTTGATGAGTTTCTATGTGAAGCACAATCCGACGTCTGGGCTGGGCCGCAGTGAGAGGCATTTTCAGCCTGTTTGAAAAGTGTTTGCAGCAATGTCCCGTTTGGTGGCTCTTACTTTGCCTTTCTCTACCTGCATTTGTATTGCTCTGGAACCAGTCAGCAGCTATCTGTTACCCATAGTTCATTTAAGATTGATACACAGTTGAAAACTCTTCTCTTTGTACGTGCAATAGTGACTAGTCTAAATCCGAGTTAACATCTGAGGGCAAAATAAGGCCCTGAGTATATTAATAGATTGAATTGTATATCACTCATGTGAACCAAAGTAAAATTGAAAAAAGAAAACGGGAAAAAGGGGGGGGGTCAATTAAAGAGAAAAGAAAATAGAATAGAATTAAATAAATCAAAATAATAGAAAGAAAGAAGGAGGAGAAGAAGAAAAGGCAATAAAACCCATCCAAAAAGAAAAAGAAAAATAAAGATATGCTTGCAAACGACCATTTGTTTCAGAGAGTTGTATTCCTCAAGAAAACAACAACGCTGAACCTAGTGATTGACTCAAAAAGGCTCCCTGGCACCAATCATTCCCGGCCCTCAGCTGTGTGCCCCCCCCCCCTCTGTCTTTAACCACGCTAGGTACGACGTGCATGCAGAGTCGAACGAGAACCTGAACCAGATGAAGTCGTTTGTCGTAAAGTCATCGGGCCAGAAACAAATGGAAAGAAAGGGACTTCCTGTATTCGGATCCGGCTGCCTTGGGAAATTCATCTAGAGTACATGGGTTGGATGGGACGAGAACTCTATTCCCGGGAACTAGGTAGATCCCGAATGAATTGATCCTTCCTGAGAGATCGGAGCCGAAGAATTCGTTGTCTACGAGTGATATAGTTTCCTACTGATGCTTAGGAATAGGGGTCTTGTGTTACGATACGGCATCTATGGGCTTTGACATTGCCGAGATTTTGTTGGGAAGGGAATGGAATGGGCTGAGCGCTTGATGGGTAGTAGCGCTGCGTTGCTAGCTTGGTTGAGCTTACTGTTTGTCATGATTTGATTCTCCTCTCTCCCTGGTGTTCGAGATGAGATAATCATGGGCAAGCAACGCAAGCATCGGAGCCAAGGGAGCGCTTGCAGCCCTACCATCATCAAAATGAACTGGCCAGGGGGAGACAACCTTAGCCCAAAGATGCCTGACATCTCACGAACCTTGAAGTAGGGGGCCAGCTAAATCCCATGCATGGAGCGGAGAGAAAGAAACAGGGACAAACCATTGAATAGTAAAGAAGCACCAATGTAGATAATGTGAAGAACCCCAGAGTTATAAAAAAAAGAAACATTTTTCATCCGACACTCCGGAAACAAAAATGAAGAAAAAAGATGAGATATAAGAATCCAGAACCCCCAAATCTCAAATTTTGATAATTTTTTTGTTTCTTTTGATTGTGATTGCTGAGATTGCCCCCTGTCATCGTCATGGCATGATAACTATATTTGCATAGCATAGCATACATAGCCTTAGTATGGTATGGTGTATTGCATATGCATACGCATACGCAAATGTGAATGCGAATCCATCAATCACCACCACAGGGTTCTCATCAATAGCTTTAGCACTAGCCCCTGGCCGCAACCAACAATCCTTCCCATCCGATCCATATCCATAAGAGTTCGACAGGTAGAGAGCGCGCTTAGTTCTTGCTCTTCTTGGGGCCCTTGGTCTTGGCGGTACCGCGGAACTTCTTGGAGCGGTTCTTGCGCTGCTTGCCTATATTCCCGAAAGAAAATCACACATCAGCCCATGCCTTGTTTCGATACCCAGATATACCACATCCGGAAAGGGAAGAAATGCATACGCTGCTGTCTGCTGGGCTTCTCGATCTTCTCGGCGGCACCGATACGGACGAGACGGTAGTGAGGCTCGAACTTCTTCAGGGCCTCCTGGGAGTCGTAGACCAGAGCGAATCCAGTGCTCTTGCCACCACCGTATTGCGTACGGAAGCCGAAGACGGAGACCTGGTCCTTGTTGGCCTTGTAGAGGTCGGCAAGCTTGCTGCGGAGCTCATCCTTGGAGACGTTGGCGCGGTTGGGGTGGAGGACGTCACTGCATAGCATATTAGAGATCATCATTATGAAACGTTTTGCAAGTCCTGAATTTTCCGATGCGTCATTGCTATCCCTCCTCTTGAACTGAAGTTGTATGATGATATCTAGCCCCGATCATCAATTTCACTCCCCAGAATAAATCACGTTCCGTAAATAGATCACCCCCTTGTATCCAAAATTCTCACACCGAAAACCTTCATCTCCTCAAGACGAATAGTCCCCTCCCAAAGTCGCCCTCCGAAGCAAGACTGTGCAAAAGCGGACAGAGAAGAAAGGGAGCTTACACGACCATCTGCTTGCGAGCAAGCAGGGGGTTGCGGATGAACTTGCGAGTCCGCAGGGTAACGGGAGTGTCGGCCATTATTGCGGTAGCAGCGAATATCTGCGTCGACGAGGACAGGAAGTTGGGGGGGGATTGTCGAAGTCGCTGTCGTTGGCGGGCTCGAAGTGGTCGGGTCGTCAATTGCGAAGTAACAATTTTGCTTGTTGTGCATGTGGGCTCGCTAAGGGCGCACTAACCCCTTTGCGGTATGTCTATTCACGTGATTACCGTTATCCGTTATCAAATGATCGTCCGCTCATTTCTATACTACTTTTTATTTTATATAAAATAAAAAAAAAGATCAATGTTTCGATAAATAACATTTTTCAAGCAAGATGTCTCAGTCCTTGAAGATTCTCCCCGCGCAATACTTCCAACAGCTCGATCCCGCCCATCTCTCCCTCCCCAAAGCCACCACCATCGTCCACCCTGATGTTCAAACCGCCATCTACGAACACATGTTCAACGAAGCCGCAGTATGGCCCCTCCCACCGGTGGGCTATCGCACTCGCGTCTTAAAAACAATCATATCACGGATTGAGGAAGGAATCACCGATCCGGAGGAGGATGTACGTCCCGATCCTAACCTGTACGCAGTAACCCAATTTTACAATATACAGACAAATATAGACAAATATAGACAAATACAGTCTCCTATGCAAAATAAATTCATTAACATAGACTTCCTCCTAGGAACTAAATTCTGACCTCATCGAAACCTGGACGAATCTCATCTCCCTCCCTAAACCCTCCCAAATCCAACAAGCCCAGCAACTCACTTACATCAAATACACCTCCCCCACCACTCTGACAGCCTCCCAACACCCTCAGACAGTGATCACATCTGAATCGCGCGGTCTCATCTACTCCTCTGGCACCACCGGCTTCCGGACCTGGGAGGCCTCTCTCCACCTCGGAACATACCTCTCCACACCCACCGGCGTAGCCCATGTAACCGGGAAACGGGTGATTGAGATCGGCGCGGGGACAGGGTTCGTCTCGATGTATGCGGCAAAGTATCTACAGCCGCGGTTTGTGCTCGCGACAGATCGTGAGGGGGCGTTGATTGGGAATATGAAGGACTGTAAAGGGAAGAATGGGTTGGGCGGGGACTTCAGGGTCGGAGCCTGGGAATGGGGGACCCCGTTGCTGTATCCGGCTGAAGATGATACTGAAGGTGTAGAGAGGGACGGTTTGTGTTTTGATGTTGCGCTTGGCGCCGACCTGGTATGTTGCGTTCTACCTGCAAGAATAAGCTAGTATTGATTCGATGATTCTAATGCGGAAACAGACTTATGATACGGACCTACTTCCTCTCTTGTTTGCCACGCTCCACGACCTGTTTGAGAACTACCATGTCAAAGAATTCATTCTCGCAGCTACAATACGGAACCAGAAGACCTTCCAGGCGTTCCTGGACGCTTGTAGTATGTGTGCCCTCGTCGTCATTTTAGTATGGATATGGAGTTTTCAGGAGCTGACGGTTCATAGAGAATAATCACTTCAGAGCGGAATGTCTACCGTTTGAGTCGCCACGGACGGAGGACCAGACAGGATTCTTTCATGAAACTAGGATTCCTATAAGGACCTATCGGGTCACAAGATAGACATCTCATACTCCCCAGAAATGACTAGTCCAGGCTTGAGATTTGTCGAGCCTACCTACCGATCAGTCACGGAGTAGGAGCAGTCGGGCAAGATAATGTAAAGACGGTATTGAGATTTAATTATTAATCACTACACACAGAATACAATATATGAAATGACGACATCTTGTAAGAATAAGGAATGTCCGCTGGGGTATCATGTAATGAAAGAGAGACGCCTAGTATATAATCGCTAATCGATAGACAAGGAGTGTCAAGGCCAGTAAAGCTGCCTATATTCGATGATGTAGCTCACCCTCTCCGTAGTTCGAGTGAAATGACAGAAAGAAATTCAACTATGCAAACAGTGAGACAGGAAGTCTATCACTAGTGTCAAGGCCAAGACAGCCTTGGTGATGCATCACTCCGCTAGAGTCTCCCTCAATAGGCTCTCATCTATCGCATCCGCGTGAATAGCATATGGAGCTCGGGCGGGTGGCCGAAACCCCATGATTGGGCCTTTTTGATTCACGCCAGGGTACCGAAATCGGAGGCTCGGAACAGTTTCAGCTCGGACACCGGGCTGTTTATTTCCAGTGGATTGGGGTGTGCTGTCGGATGACGCTGGGGGCGCTGAAGTGATTTGTTGCGCTTCTAGGGGTTTTGTGTCATCCGTTTCGGCCGTGGGCGTGTTTCCCCAATGACCGCGAACCCATCCGCCTACGCGGCGGCTGAGAGAAACTTTCCGAGTTGGTGCAGCACTAGAGTCGAGTAGGTCACTGGTTGCAGACCCTCCCTCGGACTGTTTACTAGCAGCCATCGAAGCAAGTAGCGTTTGCGACGACTGGTCAATTTTTGAAGGCTCTCCGTCGGCGGTAACAGTAGTCGTTGAGAGGACAGGGGTAGAGAACTGATCAGCGCTAGAAAAGATACGGCGCGGGACACGAGCAGGTAATGGCCTTGAGATATCTTCCATTCGCGATGGACGACGACTGGGAGTATGGATATCCATGCCTGCAACGGAGAAGAGGCTCTCGTGGGATGTCTTACGCACCGAGCGATAAGGAGAAGTAAAGACATCGTTAGGCTTAGGAGAAAAAGGTCTCTCGGAAGTGACATACGGTACGAAGTCCTCCCGTTCTTCCGGTATGACAGGCTGGAACGAATCCCCAAGAGCCTTGTTGAAAATGCCATCGTCCAAAGGATCGACTGAAACATCCGTCTCAGGAGATCGAAAACTAGCGTCGTAGAAGCTGCTTCTCCGCCGAGCACCCTTTAATGGTGAAAAGGCGGGGCTCTCAGGGCTAGTAGCTCGGGAGGAATCAAATCCACGCTCTACTCTATCAAATATAGACGATGACCGATATCCTGACTGGGGTGAGCTCGCTATAGACTCAGTCCCGGGCGATTGCAGGGGCCAGCGTTGAGAAGCCGGGGGAATAGGCACAGAGGGTTGAGACATCGTCATGGAGGCAGAAGACTGAGATGATTGCGAGCGGTGCGTGGGTTTCCGAGCTAGTTTTGTACCCGAAGGCGAATGCACCACATTGGGATGTCCCCAGGTATGTCTGTTCTTAGACCGTCGGAAAAGTGTTGGCTTCTCTTTCTTGATAGACGGCGTATGATAATGATGATGAATGTGGAACTCTTGTGGCGCCCGGCGCGGCTCTTTGGACTGAAGTTCCTGGCTCAAAGTCGGTGCAAGCTGGGGTGTCTGCCCATCGCCTTCCGTCATGGGCACCAGCTGATGCGAAAGAATCTGATCCCGCAGACACTGCACCTCTTGGTTTGAACTCTCCAACAACTCCCGCAATTCAACAATCCCCAGTTGCAAATTGGCATTATCCTGCAGTATGTCCCTGACGAAGCGCGAGACCACGGTTCCACCGTGACTCCGGCCCAGCTCGTGAGCTGCTGCAGCTCCTTTAAGTCGTCCAGCAGCACCATCAAGCTCCCGTTCTACGGTCCGTCTCCGTTCTATACGCTGGACCGCTTCGGTATGGCGTTCGCGCTCCTCTCTAGCCTCCTTCTCAATGCGGTCAATCTGATCATGAAGATCCCTGAGAGTACTTTCCGCCTTCTTCCACCGTTGCACTGCCGATCTAGAGTCTTCTTGCGCAGATTCTAGACTATTATGCAGCTTGGACTGTTCGGCCTCCATCTCAACCAATTGCGCTTCGAGATGGGCTGCTCGTGCTGCCGACGCCGTCACTGTGCGAAGCTCAGCTTCGGAAGACTCTAGCCTAGCCTCCACGGACTTCGCATGCGAATCTGAATCAGCGACGGCCTTATTCAGAGCATCCAGCTGCTCTAACAGCCCGCGGTTCTCTTCGATGATGCGGGCGTTTTCAGCCTGAGCCTCCCGCTTCTCGCGTTCGAGGTTCTCGATGCTAGTGAGTAACCGATGACGGTCCTCCTCAGCCTCGGCCATATAGGACTCATGGCGATGGAGTAAAGCCTGTAAAGCAAAAGTTAGTGATGACGAGCTCGTTGAAGCCAACGCCGCAACAGCGTTATCTTGGAAGGTGGCCATGACGGACAACAACACAATGGGAGAGGATAGGGGACCTGGCGGTCATTAGAGTCGCCATGAGTGGATGCGAGGTGGACAAATCCTCTCTCTCCCTTGACTTCCTTTTTTCTAAAACTCCAGCTTGGTGTCTTCTTACAAAAGAAACGAAGGGAGGGGCCCAAATTCCAATGAAAAGCAAACAATGTGAAAGAAGAAAACAAAAAAGTGTAACGGGCATAGAGAGCACGTCGATCTACGGTACTCTCACGGAATGCCAAGCATGTACAGGTGCAGGATAAAGTATGCTGGCAGGCATCGAGCCAAGAAAGTAAGAGATGGAAGTAATGGCAGACTTGTCCATAAATATGGATGCAAAGAAGAAGATCACGGAATGATGACGCAGGCGCCTGATTTCAACCCAAAGCGCCGACAAAGGAACGTACCTGACCTAATCGAGCAGCGGTAGCGAGATCCTTTTCTAACCCCTCTAGAGCTACATTATTGTGCTGCAGGAATGCACAGTCATCACGGCCACAGCAACAGCGCAGCGCCGTCGGAGTGGATGAGGAGTGGGTAGGAATGCAGGGAACCTGACTAGCAGGAACCGGGCTATGCGGACAGGATTCCATGGCTGGGATTAGAATGCGACTTTGCCCAAGACTGAGAGTGAGTTGGCACCCCTTGGTGTGGCTAGGCTGGAGCGGAGGCGCCAAATCATCGAGCTGAGGTGTCGATTCTCAGTGGATCTGAGGGGTCAATGAGGGGTGGAAATGAGATCAATCTATCTCCACCATCAAACTCAGTTGAACAGCCATGTACAGATGAAAGAAAGAGAGAGCAAATAAAGAGAAAAAAAAAATTAGATAAACCCTCCGATGGTTGCTATTGTTTTAAAAGTATGGATTAGTTAGTAGTAGCAGTTCGGAAGTAAATAGTAGAAGAAAGGGAAAATAAAAGGCGGAGAAGACATATACCTAGTTCCATTTACATTACCATACGGAGGAGTACTAAGAGAGGTTATACATACTTCCTACACATACTACTTTCATAGGTAGTGACATACCGAGCTATCTTACTAATGTTTGTATGTATTTCCATACATACATACATACATGTTCCAGTGTGAGGAACTAAAATAGCAATAGTGAACACTCCGTATTCCATTCTAACTAATTTAGTAAGGATGGTACCAAAATAAAACCTGAGAAACCACTCAGATCGTCACAGTTGTCATGAAACCACGCAACATGGTTCCTACCTACATAATCATTCTCACAGGCCAAGTTTGTGGCAGGCAATGGACCCGACTAGACTCAGATCGTTACTTGATGTGCAGCCTTGAGTGGAGTGACTTTTAGGTAGAAATCGGAACACTCGACATCAGCCCTCGTATGCGCGCACATTACAATCGAATATTATGTTAACAGGCTATCAAACGAAAGGCAACCCCCATAGGGAAATTATTACCAGTCATGGTTACTGTACCTGTAACTACATACTTATTTATGCCCGTGTATATGAGCACAGCAACTCGGGCATCTCAGGAAGACCATTAAGCCAACCCGACCGGGAAAATCAAAGAGTTGTGTAGGGCCACCAATAGACGATAAAAATAAGAAAGTGGAGAAACAAAGAAAAAAGAAAGAGAAAAAAGGAAAAAGAGAGAAGGAGGGCTACCAGTCTTCATATGCCACGTTCGCACAATGATCAAGCAAACAATCCCAAACATGCTAGTGAAAAATTCAAGACAAAAAATCATTTCGCACATTAATAAACGCCCCAGCGCCGCCTTCTTCGCTGATCTCATTAACCAACACTTCCGTCTGTTGGTATAGCCGCTCCAGAGCAGCCGATGATGATTTGCCAAGTGAAACTACGCGTAGGTTAGCCGGATCCACTTCACACCCAGATAACAATCGGAAGGAAGTACCTAAAATGGCCGAATTCAACTCTTCTGCAACAGCAATGCGGCCTGCGGGATCCAGATAATGTCCGTGGACCGACTGCTTCGGATCTGGATAAGCCACCAACGAGAAAATGTCATCCAGCATCTTCTTGTTCCCTCCGCGCTCATTATTCGGATAGTCCAAACGCAACTGCTGCCCATACTGGACAGCTTCCGTGAGAAGCTCGTTGAACTTGGCAGCGTTTTCGGGCTCTTCCGTGTCCATTCCTTCGGCATCCCAGCCATCACCATGGTGAATCTGCTCATCAAGTTCCATCTCCTCGTCAAAGACGGCGCTGCCATCAGAAAGACCATTGGATGGCTTCGCTCTCCTCGATGCGGCCAAGGAGGGCTCGTTGCATCGTCGCATCATTTCCAGAAACTTTCGACATCGTAACTTGAAGTGAATGTGAGGGAAGTTCTGCAGAACATTGGCGTAATAAGCGTTAGTATACTTGAGTGCCTTGTCGATGTCGCCGTCTAGTATCGCGGCTCGAATTTCTGCGTAAAGTCAGTACACTTCGCCTGAAGAGTTGGGAGTGCCATACTTTGCCGGTTGATCGCTTCCACGTCTTCCTCTACCTCATACTTCTTGAGTGGCTCCGCACGGCCATTCTGCAGTGCCGCCGACTCGGTAGCGACCTCCTCTGCAAAGGCCCGGGCCGTCTCGACGTATCCGTCGTGAGCCAGGAACTGTGCAACTAGTTCCTGGAGCAAGGCAGACTCATCCAACGGTGGTTGCAGGTTAGCAGTACTAGTAGCACGGATCTCGGAGTGAATGGCAAATTTCTCTTTCTGTACATGGTCAATGACATCCAAACCGCAAACAAGAAGCATGCCACACACCTTGACCATGCCATCAATGTCGAACATGAACGGATGTTGACCAAAGTTCGCTGCCAAATGAACAGGAGGCTGTTTTTTCATCCCTACCGATGGGTAGACCTTCAAGTTTCGCAACTCCCGAAATGCATTACCTAGCAGTCGTTAGTCTCCCTTCTCGAGCATGTTCCCTCGTAGGTTTTTCTTACCCAGGAATACGCCATTCTTTGTGAAGAAAGCACATCCCGTCGAGAAATTAACACCACAACCCACAGTATCGTTTACACCAAAGGTAGGGCCATACTGTCGTCCTTGCCCTTGACTTTCACCAAAAAAGGACTTGCCATCATCACCATGGTACGCCCAGGATTCCTGCTCCCATCCCGGGAGGCGCTCGACAGATGCTTTATTACTGGAGAATCCAATCCCAATCATCCTATTTCAGTGAGTATACCTCCTAAAAGAGAGGGGAGTAAGATAGAAAAGGGAAGGGAAAGATAAGAGAGAACTTATCTCCCTCAACAAAGAATGTGAACGTACCCTTCTTTTGGTTTTGATAGGATTGTAATTTCAAAGTAGTAAATCCCGCATTGCGGCGGCATCGGGTTATCCGCACGAACGGCAGCAGCTTCATGATCGTGCTTGTTGACCGGACCAGTATACCGAACCTCCAATCCTCCGTTCGTGAGTTCCAGACCAGAATATTTGTCTCCGTCATTCCATCGTGAAGGAAGTGGCATGACGTGATCGTCATCTCCAGGGGGTTCCCTCTCGATGATATCATAGGTCATCCCGCGATGGGACGGTGCTATACGGGGTAGGCTAGCTTGGCTGGAGGAGGTAGAGATGGGGTTTGAAGTGGATGACGAATAGACAGCATCCCGTTGGGATGCCAGTTTGACTCGACGGGCAGTATCGAGGCGGGAGATGTATCTAGAGTTACGGAGATATGAAGGAGTAAAGGAAGAGGATGCAAGGTCGGAGAAGCTGCCGGGACTCTGGAGAAGGGCATCAGAACGAGTAAAGCTGGCATATTTCCGGGAATAAGGAGGAAGAGTATCGCCGGACGACATCCTCCATTGGGAGTTCATCTGCATGTCTGCATCCAGATCTGCGGATGGCCTTAGATGGCGGCCGTCGGGATGAAAGGGCGGGGGATAGGAAGTGGAGTTGGAAGTAAGCAGTTGAGAGAACGGGCCACTGCTACTTGGTGGCGAGAAAGCAGTCCCGGACAAGACCGAAGCGTAAGATGAACGACGTGGGATGGAGGAGATGCTTGGGCCGGAATATGTGGTGGTTAGAGAAGCTCCTCGAGCTCCACCTGGCGGAGGAAATGGTGTATCGGTCATGTTGGAGTCGTTCGTTGGATGGAGCCCTCGGCGGGTACTTAGTGATGGGCGGGGAGGGACGAAGAACATACAATACCCTCACGCGAGCTGCTGGGCGCAAATAACTATAATAATGGCCGAGATGCGTAGCGTTTATCGACATTAATCAATAGACAGTTTCTCTTTTCTTTTCTTATATTTTTTTTCTTCTCCTCCCTTTTCGTTTTCCCCTCTGTCTGTGTTTCGTCGAATCGCGGTTTTCTGCCACTGGGTCACTTTGTTTACCGTAAACGGCAGTGGAGCACAGCAATAGAAGCCTAATATTTGTTGTTGGCTCTATAGGAGTAATATCCCGCGACACTCTGTCTGGAGGAACGAAGAGAAGTTGGCAGATCAATTGAATTTCATTAAAAAAAAAGGGGACTGGGATTTTACAACAGGATCAAGTAACGGGAAAGGAGAGGACAATAATGCCTCAGGAAATTGTCTGATTCCGTACTACAGGAAAGAGTCACGGGGACATGCGTTTCAGACCATCCATTTACTAAGAGGAAAGAAGGACTGCCCTAAAAGAAGCATGATGGCATGACAGGAATGTGGCTGCGGGGGAACAAAAGAAAAAGAAAAATAAAAAGCACGGGCGCCTAGAGCTTCCTGGAGGAGAGGAAATTCATACCAAAGGTAGGACACTAGTATGTACATCGACCTCCATGATGTATGTATGTATTAATACTCGATTACTCGTCCGGGTGAAGAGGGGAAACCCTCAACCTTGCATGGTTCTGCCAAATTGGAATGGGGATTCCCAATATCATTCCCTCCTGAGCACACTAGCAGATACGACCTACTATATATCCATGTAACAAGGCGCTCTCTGATAATGTATCGCCGAGTCCCCCTCCTGACATGCATTCATCATATGGCTAACAGTGGCAGCTGATCTGTCTACTATGTGTAATCACTCCTGTTCGTTGAATTCCCAAGCCCTAAGACAACTAGGGTTTTGGTTCGGTTTCATATGGGATGTTACATACAAAAAACATTGAAAGAGCATCATCCTTGACGTGCACTATTAACTTCTCTGGCAAGCATTTGAAACGATTTAACAACCAGTCAATAACAAGAGATCAAAAGTCATTGATTCATAAAAATTGCTTTGAAGCAAAAATCAGTTGCAAAATCTACTGATACATTGACATCTGGCAAGAACCCCAATTGCATCTGTAGATCTATACCACACGCTTTTCTGCATATAACAAATATCTTTCATATGACCTTGGAGTGAGTGTTAAAACCAAATATTGCGGAAAGCCCCAAACCCAGCAATCATAAAAGTACAAACAATGAATTATTGAAGAACAAATAGAGGTATGTGAAAGTAAGTGGACAAGGCTAGTAATACCAGTGCCCAGGAATGACAATAATAAAATCACCCAGTATAAGAGCGAAATATAAGAGTCCCAACGCCAATCCAGACCATACAAATATGTAACATGAATAAACGCTCCAGAAACCACGGGAAAACAAAAAAAAAAGGATCAAAATAATGTACACGAAGAGTGATGAGCGAATCAAGACAATCACGATAACAGCCTATGCGGCCATAGCAATGGCAGGCGAAGATGCCTCCGTAATATTGGGAGGAGCTGGTGTTAAATCTCCATCACCCAAGTTGCTCTTCTCGCTAGGGACTCCACTTGCGCTTTGGTTCGCTTTGCTATCGCTGTCACCGGTCTCCAGGACAGACTCCTTGATTTCACCGTTGTTTTCGGTCTTCTGAGGCCGAGGAGCTCTCCAGGTCGGCAGATGCCACTGGATACCAGTAAAGCTCTTCAACTGTAAAGCTTTGCGCTCCCATTTGCGACACGGAGCACCCGAGCGATCTAGAGCGCGAAGGCCAGCATTAATGGCGCCAGTGTTGGCTTTGGGTCCCAACCTATGAGATGTGGCCATTTTGACAGGCTCAGAGAACCCATCATCACTATTGATCGTCATGTCAGCAAGGGTTGGTTGCAACGTCGGCTGGAGAGGGATTGAATACTTACAGTCTAGGCTTCTTCTTCGGACCAGGCTTTCCTCTTGGCTTAGGGGTTGTCTCGCTCGTCTGGTTCAGACCTCGTTTAGTTCCAGGCCTGGGACCAGGTATACCTTTACGGCGAGGGGTATCAACAGCTGATGTGCCCGCGGCAGGTGTCGACGCAGCATCGGATGCATTGTCGGACGGCGGGATAGGTGCTTCTATAGAAAATGAAGCCGGGGAGGGTTCTTTTTCCTTGACGGAGGAGTCGGCACTGAGCTCGTCGTCCTTGAAACCATTTTTTTTCTTTTCCTTGACCTCTGGAGGAGGACTGGCAAAGCGGTTTAGCAAGTCTGGCGAGAGCTTGAGGACGACGACCCCTTTCGAGGGCCCGGAGCGACTGGAGCGACCGTTGGTGGCAGTAGCGGCGGGCATTTCAGCTCAATGGGTGAAATGCCGATCTCGTTTTTGACAGGGTAGGATAGAAGAGAAGACAGTGAACCCCGATGAGTGCGAAGGGGAAAAACCGTCGAGATGCGGAGTGGAAGTGTTGGTGGAAGGCAGAAAGTTGGAGGGTATTTTAAATGGCGATTGTGACGTGGGTGACGGACAAGTTGGTTGGCTGGAGAAGTGGTTCCAGAGGTCAAACGCGGCGGCGCGATTTGGTCAGGGTGAGGCAAAAGTTTGACACGGCTGATGAAGGCAAGAGGAGCGAAGCACAAGTGACATGAGTCCGGTTGGATAGTGATGATGATGAGGCGGGATGATAGAGTATAGGAGAAGAGGTAGAGAGGGAGAGGGGCGGAAGGAGAGAAAAAGAAACGGGGATGGAAGAAAGGGATGGGGATGCGCCGTGTGGTGGTTTCATTGTTGGTGTGTGTTCATCTCGTCTACTAAGAAGGGAACAGCCAGACTTTCACACGCTCTCTCTGTTCTGTGCGGTCAGTCCAGTGACTGTCCAGGAGACGAGGAAGCTGAACCTTCTGCTGACGGACCAGACTAGTTAGTTTCCAAATACCGCGGTTCGCGTCTCGTACTGTTTCTTACGCGTATCTTCCGGGGAGAAACGTCATGGGTCGGTGGCTTCTGACTGTATGGGACAATGATTTTTATACTCCGGTACTTTCCTTTAATACTTACTGATCCTTGAACTATTATTTTCCTTACTAGGGAGTATACATATTATATATAGGATGGATTTCTGATTTTCTGTCTGTCTGTCTGATCAATTAATCGATTTAATTAATAAACTAACAACTGCCACCCTGTCACTATATATGAATATATCCTTGAATAATGGTCTTATTGAGACCCATTCTCTCCAATGCTCAGCCGTATTTTAATTTAAGTCGTTCCATATCTCGAAAAAATCAGAAAATACATACTCATTAGTTATGTCGTCTATCCATTAGTTACTTACAAAGTATTACTCGACGAGAAAATCCTCCGAATCCGAGGAATTTACCAAGAGAAAAATATTTCAAAAGCAAAATATGGAAAATAAAAATAAAAACCAACCACAAGTCTTCCTGACAACATTGTACTTTTCTCTATTCCTCTTCCTATTGATCGAGTTATAGATCGCCAGTCCCGCTCAATAATTCAGTAGACTTTTTTTTTGGCACAAACTACCACCGCTTCCGTCCGGGTTTCGCAGGTACGGAGTACGGGTATTCATTTCATTCAGGTAATTACCGACCCAAAGAAAGAAAGGAAATTTTGAGACTTAGGACTAGGTATGAACCTCGGTGATCTTCATGGACGGAACATTCATTCAGACTCTCTCACCAGGAGATTTTCATACGTATCTTCTCTCTAGACATACGCCCATATGTTATCTTTTAAAACTGATTCTAACATCTGTTCTACTACTACTACCTCGACAATATCACGTGGACCGAAAAGAAATAGATGGATTCCCATTTATCAGATGATATACGACTAGGGCACGTATGATGATGCCTATTCAGGAAGCTAAAACGACGACAGTAAGAAATTGAACCAAAAAATCAAGTCTCCCGACCGGTTCGCCACATCCGGAACACATTCAACTGAATTACGAAATCAGAAACGCGCGCAATGCTAGGGAAACTGGCTTTACTGTCCGGCTTATCCGTTCCTATTGAAAAAATCCCCCTGCCGCCGGGAATTACTCTCTTCAGTAATGGAGATAGGAAGTAAAAAGCCCAAGCTCAATATTAATCAGACTCCTATGAACGTATAATTTAGAAATTGACTCACCTCCCGCTACCTTTTGATACACGATAACTAATGTCACTACTATGAGGATATCAATCTCTATGATAGCTCATGGTCTATAATGAACCTATATATTAAAAAAGAAAACGACAAGCCGGATACAATACCTAACCGCCCATACCCATGTACATTACAATTAACCGCTCATTCCCAATCTCAGCGCTAATCGGCCTTCCTCTCTTGCCTTTTCCGTTCAATCACCTCCCCCACAGCTTGCTGTACTCCGGAGCTAGCCCGAACACTGCTTAAAACCAACCCCTCCTTCATGCCCTTGCGCAGCGTAGCGACGCTCTCTCGATCGCCCCTAAATGGTGCAAATCCCAACTGCAGCAGCCGCGTCGACTCACCGTCTGTGGCCCGAGAGAGCTGAGCTAACTGCGCGAGGCGCTGCATGGTCTGCGGGTGGATACGCTCACCCACTGCGCAAGACGACCCTTTGCTGACTTCTGGCGGCGTTACCTGAGAGATAAAAATATGCAGCATTACGGACGCGCGTTGCGCAAGGGTCAGGATCTGGAACGGCAGGAGATAGAAACTGGGTGTCTTTGTAGAAATCCCCAGCAACTTCTGTAGCTCAGCGGGGATATAGGATGCAGGGAAGAATAGCGCTCCGGGCTGTGTGATCAAGGCTAGTTCAAGCGTGATCAAGGCCGCAAAAGTTAAAAAGCGCCACTGTGCACTGTTAGCAGGCGACAAAACTCCAGCTGAATGTGGCCCACTCACATAGCGGCCCCAGCCAGACCACCACATAAAATTCAAGATGATAATGGTTATAAACCCTCCCACATACTGCGGTACTGAACGTTGCAAGCCCGTAAACAGGAAGTCTTGCACCGTCTTTGCATTCCCCCAGCCAAGAATGTCAGGCCCAAATCTATCATATGCATACCGCTTAGCAGGATCAAGTAAGGTATCTTGCACCAGCTTCAAATATACAAAGTAGTCGTCGGAAGGAACGCCATCCCCATGGGTGATCTTGTCTGGATGATGTTGCGCGGCAAGCCGCCGGAATCGCGATTTTATCGTCTTTTCATCGGCTAATGGAGAAACACCAAGTGCTTGGTAAAAATCACCGGTTACTTGGACCCGATGGAACGTTTCATAAAGCGTGTAGAGGAGATAGCTGGTCACGACGAGAATAAAGATGCGACGGCGATGCCGAGCATAGCGCGAAGAAGGAGGTTGGGGCCGGGGTTCCCCCGCACGAATAGTGATTCCATAGTAAACATTCTGAACTATGGAAGTAGCGTACTATATCCCATGTTGTCAGCAATAATCACAACGTGCTACGTAGAGCTCCACGGACAACATAGTGAAGATGACACTCACATTTGGGAGAAATGCCCAACCAACAAAGGATAAGAGTGAAGCCATGAGAATATTTCAGCGCCCGTGCTCGTAGACAGCACGGGAAATCAGTCACTTTTAAATACAAAAGTTAGCGCCATGAAGCTCTGTCGCATGTTATCTTCTTACATGAAGTTGCGACTTAGCGCCTGCCCTGACCTTTACCGCCCCAGTCACCGCCTTCCATTTCCCCACATTAACCAAGAAGTCAAAGAGAGAAAAAAAAGTTCTCGACAACTAAAAATCCAACGGATATCAAATCTCATTACAACTCCAAAGTGGCACCGATTGTGCCACTTCTATGTGCCATGGCCGTTGATGCAATGGACATTGACTCAAAACCGGTTCCGGCCGCCATACTGTCCCCCGAAAAAGAGCGCAAACGCAAGCACAAGAACAAGGACGCATCATCGTCATCGCCGTCAAAGAAGAAGCGCAAACATGAATCGAATCAATTCACCGACGAAACCGCCGCTCACGACAGCGAGAAGAAGAGAAAGAGCAAAAAGTCCAAGGACAATGGAAAGAGCAAACAGGCCAGCACAGGAGAAGCAACAATTCCGGGCTCACCTTACGTGCTGACCACTGCAACGCTCTATCTTCCTCTATCGCCCATATCTATTTCCCCAACTCATGCTAAAGCCTCCCTTCTAGCGGAGCATCTTTCTCCCCTTCTTCTCACGTATTATCCTCCTCTTCGAGGAATTGTTCTAGCCTACTCCGATGCCTCAATATCGAGCACTCCGCCTTCCTCGTCTAGCTCCTCGGATCCCGCAGATCCCAACCCCAAACCTTTGACTGTCGCAAAGACCGCAGGCGAATACGGAGTTCTGTACGTGTACCTGACTGCGACGTTCCTAGTGTTCCGACCTCAACGAGGCCAAATACTCGAAGGATGGGTGAATGTTCAGTCCGAAGGCTTCCTGGGCGCTGTTGCGCTGAACCTCTTCTCCGTCGGTATCGAACGCAAGAGACTCCCATCGAACTGGAAGTGGCTTCCACCAGGTGAAGAAGGCAGCGTCAACGGAGACAAGAAAACCGCAGCATCAACCACCGCCTCTGAAGATGACGACCTCGAGCCTTCTGCTTCCTTCAATCCGGAAAAAGAGCACTTCAATCCTGTCTCGTTGGCAAACCCCATCTCCGACACACTCAATGAAGAAGCCAATGCCGAGGATGACGAATCTCCTGCAGAAGGCTACTTCCAGTCTGTATCTGGTCACCGTGTGCGCGGCACTGTCCGTTTCCGCGTCGTGGATATCGACGTTATTCCCGGTTCAGAGCGCGATCGCAGTTTCTTAAGCATCGAGGGTACGATGCTTTCTCCGGAGGACGAAGTCAGGGTACTCGAAGATGAACGCAATGGCATTCTGACCTCGTCTGCCACCCCGCGGAGAGGCCACAGCCAAGAACCCCGAGCTTCTATGTCCGGCGCATTAGCAGCGCCAGTGCCAGCGGCTGTCGCAGAACCAGAAACACTCATCAAGGCCAAGGAGCCGAAGGGCGAGAAGGAGAAGTCCAAATCTTCCAAATTTTCCAAATCCAAGAAAAAGGAGAAGAAGAAATGATCCATGAAGCGACTTTTAACTCTGAGCTTATTACATCTCGATTAGTTTCAATCAATTTATGTTTGTATAGACGTTTAGCATTCCATGTTATATTCTATTATTATCTTCACGGTGGGCGTTAGAAGGAGAAATCAAAATTTGTTCTCGCATTCAATTGCAATTCGTGATCATAACGGCAACTATATATTTCAGCAGCTAGGTAAGCTTTTACAACCTCACAAAGCAGCATTATTCATGAATAAATTAATTAAACGTGTAAATTCTTCCGAATTATATACAGACTAGATCTTCACGCCCTCGGCAATCCAACCTTCAAGACATCCACACCACCCTCAATCTGCGACTTGGACGGCATATTCTTCCGTCGCATTAACTCGGCACACTTAACCATAACGGGATCCATGCCCATTGTCGCAACAGCGACCACTGTATCACCTTTACAGTAGTACGCGGCGAACTTGGCATTTTCGGGTTCCCCCTTCAAGACGAGACTGTCCCAGCCGTTGGGCGTATTACCACAGTACCGCAATTGGGCACCCACGGCAGACCAGAAGATGGGTATGAAGGCCTTGGGCTTCAGGGTCTGTAATGACGAGGTTGGGGAGGTGAGGCTATGAACAATAGCGCGAGCGACGCCGCGGCCAGCATTTTGCGCAACGTTCCAGTGCTCGATGCGTGTATGGGTGCCTTTTGGGTCGGAGCCGGGGCCATGATAAGGGTACGTGGCAATGTCGCCGATGGCGAAGACATTGTTTTCTAGACTAGGGACAACGAAGTGTTCATCTGTCTTGATTGAACCATCCTTCTCTAGTGTGACAGCCTGGTTGTTCTTGAGGAAATCGGTTGCTGGTCGTACGCCAACTCCTAGAATGACCAGATCGGCTTCGAGAACCGTGCCATCGTTGAGGTGGACGGCGCCGACGTTGCTGGAATCCGAGCTGGAAGGTGTGGCTTTCGCGACGCCGGCCTGCAGCTTGAACTTGACCCCCGTCTTCTCTAGATTGCCCTGGATGATCCGGCCGACCTCTTCGCCCAAGACACGTTCCATGGGGGCGTTTTCCTGGCCGACAATGGTTACGTCGTTCTCCTTGGCGAGGGCGTTACCCACCTCCATACCGATGAATGAGCTGCCGATAATGACGATTTTCTTGTTCTTCTCGCCTACGGCCTTGAGGATGGCCTGGACATCGGTGACAAAGCGCAGCAGGAAGATGTTGCCCAGCTCATTGAAGCCTTCCACTGGGAGAGTGCGTGGCACGCCTCCAGTAGCAAGAACCAGCTTGGTGTACGGATATATTTTGCCAGACTTAGTGACCACAGTCCTCTTGTTGAAGTCCACCGAGATCACTTCATCAGTGACGGTTTCGACAGAAACACCCTCGTACCACTCACGAGGGCGCCACTCAATCTTCGAGGGATCCGAGATAAGGGCCTTGGATAGCTTGGTTCGGTCAATAGGTAGATTGGGTTCCCGGGAGATGAGAGTGATGGCGCCTTTGTATTTCAACTCACGAATGGCCTCGATGACCCCAAAGGAGCCGCTTCCACTGCAAGGCATCAGCTCCGCTATTGGATTAATGATGGATACGATACGTTCACGGGATCTTACCCTCCTACAATGACCAGCTTCTCCGAAGTGGAAGCACTGCACCGGGATACCGGATCTCTCTGACCGGATTTAATAGCCGACTCCTCACCCTTGATGTAGACCGCCCCACTCTTCTCAAAAACTTCAAACTTATGCAAAGCTTTGGGGGCCGGTGCATCTTCGACATCCCCGGTTCCGATATTAAAGCAGGCTATGAAGCACAATTAATCACACACCATCGTCTTGACCAAAACAAAAGACGCAGACCTACCCCCATGCCACGGACAAGTGATCCGGCCCTCAGGCGCAACAACACCGAGCCTCAACGGAGCCCCGTAGTGGGTACATCTAGGACTCATGGCATGAAACTGGCCATCATAGTTCACCACAAGAACCTTGCCATCCTGTATGCCTTCCACTTCGGACTCCACCTTGTCCATCTCCTTGATGCCGGCGAGGGACGAGATATCCCTGAGTTTGTATTCTTGCGCCATTTTTGCTGCGTGAGAATATCTACAGGAAGATGTTGGGGCAAATGATCGGACGGAAGCTTCTTTGACAAGTTGCGAGTGGTGCCTAGATGGAAATAAGGTAGACTGATAGTAAAGGGACAAGGCAGGATATGAGGATAAGACTCGTGTAGGGGCAGTGAAATGTCGTGATTGGGTCAAAGGTAGTGAGGATGGATGAGCGCAACAGGAGCAAGAACAGAAAACAGACTTGCGACAACCACAGCGGCAGCGGGGGATGGTCGAAGAGGAAGAAGTACTAGTAGAACAGGAGGAGGCAAAGATGAGATGACGAGGGGAGAATAGTAGTGAGTAGAATGAGAAGCTGTTGCGTGCCCCGCGAGGGAGGGGTGCGTGCATCAGGATTGGTAGTTAATGTTCAGGTGTGTTAGTACTACTACTACTAGAGAAGTATCCTTCCTAGTAATGTTGTACAATATATAGTATAGAAGATGTTCAATGGCTCTCTTATACTAGACTGTAAGACTCGCGGTCATGATTATTTCATTCCATACCAGGTCCATACAACTTAGTAAAGCTGATATCATTTCCTGCTGCCAATTCAATTCCATTGGAACTCTCATTTTGATTGGTCGCAACTCGGTACCGAAGCAATGCCCATGACGTATGCGGTCAACCAATCAGCGCACAGGATTTGTCAGACGGATTAAAGTCCCAAACCCACACATTTCCGGCAGTCCATTTACATTGTGTGACTTTGAATGGGGGAGTACTAGTAGATAGACAGACAGGGCAATGGAATTTATTGGAAAAGCAATAAGAGTGTGTCATAGTAGTCAGTCACGCAAAAGCTATACACAGGATATCTCTCAATATGTACCATACCATACAACATATACACATAGCTCTTTCTTCTGCTGGTTGCACCCACAAGAATTGAAAGTTCATGCTTCTGATCTCCATCTTCTTTCCCGTTGAGGCAAAGGGCTGATGGTGACCTCTTTCAAGGCCTGCGCCTTTGGCCCCGCAGATGACAGCCTGGTTTGTCGTTATGTGCTGGGGATATTCTTTTGAACCCATCCCGGACCACGCGGAAGCGGATGTGACCGAGCAAAGCCCTCGTCACTGCCCTCTGGAGTAACTACAGGGCTGGATTGAGTCAAATCGACTATCTCGCGGGGCGCCGAGGAACCTGAAAGACACGCAGAGCCCGAGGTTTTCTGCTTAGTCTGAGTGCTTTCCGCAGCATCACTAGTGAACGAACCATCCTCTGACGGATAAGTCTTTCTCTTATTCGCTCTCAATGATCTGCGCGGAGAGGACGAAGATGGGAACTCCTCGGCAGACACATAATCCATAGTAGTGTCCTCTTCCTTAATACTCTGTTTCCGCTTCCCAGAGAGACGCTGGCGCCGTGCTTCGCGGGCTTTGTCGATTTTGTAGAACGGGTTGGGAATGACCGAGCCAGTCGAAGACTGAGAGGCCCGCCTTTCCGGGTTGTGCCTCACCTCCTTCTTGGCGGGGGGAGAGTTATTTGTCTCTTCGTTGCCGTCGAACAGCTGATCTATCAGGCAGGTGATCGAAACCCCACTCTCGGTGGTGTTGAGCGTTTGCAACTCGTCCTCCGATTGCGGTAATGACGAAATGTTATCGGGAAGAATGGGAGGGGGAGTGGAGTGCAATGTAGACTGCATATATTTGCCCGTAAGAGATTGAGATTTGGAGCGCTGACTGCCAGAATCATCCGCTTTCAGATCCTTAGCTAAATATGCCTCAAGCCCCAAACTGGCCTTAATTGCCTGCCCCGACGTCAGGGTCGGAGACCGGAACCCATCAAATTGCGGCGACTTGACATTCGGGCTAGAGCCCCCTATGGAAGCCTTCGAATCATCAGTCTCATCGCGGGTCGGTAGCCCAGGATCCAGAAACTCGAGCAGATGCCTGGATTCATGGATTGATTGTTCATCACATTCATACTCGATCAATGTCTCAGGTTGGTTTGGGGCCGAAGTGAGGTTTCGCAGGGAGGTCTCTATTGGAGAGCTTGGTCGGTGAGTGCGCGATCGCAAGGCATTTCCAACATGAAAGGAGATCAATGTACTGACTTGCTGGCTTGCTTAGCTTCTCTAAGGTCTGCAGGTCGGAGAAGCTTTGGGTCAATAAGGTCGGCAAAGGACACCTCTCTGAAACCATCATCCTCGCCTTCATTTTCATAACCAGGCATCTCGAATCCACTATACTGAGGCAGCCCCTCCCCATCTTCCATTTCTTTGGCTTGTCTCCAATCCCGCCTTGCAAGCCGGAGATTGAGAATATTACCATCATATACATCATGTATCTCCGCTACTCGATAATCGGTCACGGTTGGTTGCCAATTTGTGGCCTTAGACACATCCAATTGCTTGAAGGCAAGCACACACCCACACTTTAGGTCTTCTTCAGCAAGATCTTGAAGAGAATTTGTGTCACTTGGAACTGAAGGGAGGTCGTCCAAATCATTTTCGGCAGTTGGTGAATTTTCGCCATTGTTTGGTTTACTGCACAGCTGCTCCGAATCATCATAGTTGAAATCACCATTAACAAAACTCTCTTCACCAGCTCCATGTCTATCTTCTTCCCCATCGTAGACCTGGAGTTGTTGACGCCTTTTCCTCTTCTTGCCCAAGCCCTTGCGCTGTCTTATGAGGTCGCTGGCTTCATAATCCCAGCGCTGCTCGAAAGGGAAAGGCGGCACAGTCAACTGGATGTCATCATAAACGCACTCTGTAGCTCTGACCACGAGTTTTTTCTCCCACTCCTTGCCTAGGTCACTCTCGGGGACACCATCAGGTTCTTCGGACACTTTCCTCTGAGGGACAAAATTTTTCATCTTCCCTGCAAGCTTTTTCCGGGTAGCTTCCTCGTCTTCTTTGGTCCGCGGCGTTCTAACACCAAGGGAGCCGAAAAGCAACCGCCTGGAGCTTGCGACATCTAACGTACGTCGTTTTGGCTGTGGGCCGCCCTCGTTGGCCTCCACCACAGGAGGTTCGTGAGTTTCAGAGTGCTCTTTAGGTTTCTCCTGGTCACTTCCCTCGACTGGCTTTGAAGGCGCAAGTGTACCATCGACATCGATCCCCCCTGATTCAATATCGCGCAGCAACTTTTGCCGTCTTGCCTCAAATTCTGCCATCTCTGCACTGTTGTGTGAGGATGCGCTTTCAGGCATGAAGCGCCGACCTTCATTTTTAGCCTCCCAATCTCGAAGAGCAGCGAAGTCCGCTTCCGCGGGTAAAGCACCTAGCTCCTTCAATTTTGATAGTCTTCGCCGCATTTTATTGCGTCGGTTGCTCTTTTTTGTTTTTAGTGAGCCATGGCCAGGAGGGTTGGTGATGGGTGGACCAGTTGGTATCTCTCCTTCCTCCGATTCTGAGGTGGAGATATCCGAATCGGAGCTGGAATCATCGCTTGATTCAGAGGACTCTTCTGAAGGACTCGAGCTCTTATCCGAGTCAGTATCGGTATCGCTGGAGTCGCTCACAGAAGAGCTGCTGTCACTGTCACTTGAATCGGAACTTTGTGCCAATTCAGACTGCGCCTTCACTATTGATTCTTGGGAAGCAAGCACCGGGGACTTCTCTTTCTGTCCACTGAACCTAACCGTTTTGGAATCCCTTCGTGAGGAACCTTCTTCTGAGGCTGTATTCATGGCTTGTGTAACTGAACCCTTCGTTGGTGCTGGGTGGGAGGTGACGGGCCTCGAGCGTAACGTATAGGCTCTGCGTTCCGCCTGTTCGTCATCCGTCGCCTCGGTTTCTGGCATGGCAGAAAACTCCAAGTCCTCCTTAAGGTCCTTTAATTCTTCCTCCAAGTCTCCAGCATTAATTTCGGATAAGTCTGCATCACTTTCCGAGAGTTGGGCATCTTCTGCATCAACATGATGGCGAATAACGGTACCGTTCCCGGTCTCCTCGTGGTTCTCATGGTAGTCCTCGTATTCATCCTCACCCTCGTCATCATTGTATTCCCCACTACCTTCCATAAAGCCAGTTTCAGGCTCATCAGCGCCTCTGAGAGCAGAAAGTTCTTTGAACGAGCGAATTCGCGGAACATTCCACTCTGTGTCTTCTTCTTCATAGCCAAACATATTGTCTCTAGCTGCAAATGTAGTACGCCTTCTCTTCCTTGGAGGAATCGTAATGGCAGGTCTTGATGAGGTTGGTCTTTTCAGAAAAGGCTTTCCAAAGGGGACACCATCTATGAGGTGTTTGCCATCGGTGGAGATTTGATGCCGTCCAGACAGTCGCCTGGCTCGTAAGTCGGATATTTGTAGTGCTCGAATTCTTCATCATACGTCGAGTGTAAGTAGAGGTCACTGTGACGCATGCTTTGCCAGAGTCACATAGTCGGGTTCAAACTCACAAAATTTCATCACCATCTCTCAAAAGACCCTCCACCTCCATGAAATGTAGACACTCCGAGCCTCCCACTTCAACCACATAGTCTTCCAACCCCCACTGCCCACTGTATTCACTGTCAAACAGCACCGGCTCTGTTTCCAGAGGAACGACCTCATTGACATCTTCCAGGAGCTGAGCAATTGTATAACCACCATTCGCATAGAGCGCATTAGGTGCACGCGAGGAGGTGATAGCCGAAGAAAACGCGGGCAGCGCAGTCGAGGAACTCTGTCCGAAAAGCGACGGCGGCGCAGTCGTCCAAAGAATGCGCGTTACGGGTAGACCGTGGCGTTGGATAATGAGGTGGAGACGCATGATGGGAATGTGCGATTTATGCCACTTTTCTTGTTCAAGATTGTACACGGTCTCATTAAAAGAACTAGCGCTAGTAAGGCGTGCAACATGCAATAGTAACAGGTTCTTCTTGGGCGTTAGGAGCTCTGTAGACTCGCGTTAGGCCTCACGCTTATGCAGTGGAACAAACAGTTCGGCACTTTTAGTAATGGGAAAAATATGTAGAATCTATAATGTAAGTATTTGGGATAGGAAAATTGAATTAAGACAGAAGCAATGAATTAATTGCGGAAAACATATTGAGGAAAGAGAAATAACGGGCGCATGAAGCAACAATGGGAGCTCGGTCTCTTTTCGAATTACCGCCCTAAGCCCGATTTGTATAAATCATTCATGCCTAAGGCAAACACAAGCATTCCAACGGAGCATTTGACCAACGCGAGCTAATTTCTTCTTCTATGTTTATGACATATATATATGGAGGACTGTAAATAATTTATAAACTATCTTCATTACAGGAAGGAAATGAACACTATGTGGTGAAGGAATGGAATCGATTGTGCCCAGGCTTCTACCCAATGCGATAGATGTACCACTCACCGCAACTTAAGATTCATTAATATACATCTAAAAGTTATACATGAACGGGAATCACTCGATACCAAGAACAACAAACAGTCAATTCCCCACGGGCTCGTACAGTAATCTAGCCCGCTTATGGCTTAGGGGACTAGGTGTGGCTTGGATCTGATCATTTATTTATACTCTGTATACCAACAGTATACGAACTGGCGCTCTGGTCAACTGGCCATGGCATAAAGGCTTAAGAACTAGGGATACAAGATATATACAGGTAAGCGAATACCAGATGGTATCATTCCATTATTATTTTATACGATGCACGAATGCAAGTGATAGGCGGACCTGACCAATACCATAGAGAAGTATGATAATATCGAACACAAGCGCGAAGAAAGGTAGAAAAAGAAAAGAGCCCTAGAACTCCAGTAAATGCATGTCTGAATCGCTCTCATTCAAATCCACAATGTGCCAAATGTGTCATTTGGCTGCTTTTTGGAGGCAGGTGTGTGCTATTCATATTAAGTCCTTCAAACTGTATTTTCGGGGTGGGCTCTATTGTACCAGGCAATTTAGCCAATATAGGGACCTTGATGTTATTGAAACTCGAGCTGGATGACGAAATTCCACACTCAAGCGCAAAAGGTGCCTACTAGGTTCTTGGCCACGACAGATCAAGCATCCCCAGAGCTAGGACTTCGGGGGACAGGTTTTCTATTAGGAACACCTAGCTTTATAGTCCGAACATCTTGTCTGGATGAACTTTGCTGGGCCTGACTTGCGGACGGCTGCAGCTGGGGATCTGCTACGGGCTGATATTGAGGCGGACTGTCTTCCTGAAGAGATGCGAGCTTATGAATCTTGAGCACACTTTGTTGTCGTGCAACTGGAGATGTAGGCGGAGACCCACTCTGCGGCTCGGGAGGGGTTGACGGAAGCATGTCGAAAGATTCGGACGACGAGTTCACTTCGCAGTTACTGTAGGGCGACCGGGGCTCAGGATCCTTTCCAGGTTGAACTGGCGTGCTTGGATCAGCTCCAGATTCAATAGGCCTTGTGGTAGAGGAGGCATCTGGTGGGTTATACTCGCGACGGGGGCCATCCACAGGGCTCAGAGTCTCAGCCATAGCATCCTCGTAGCTTGGGGGCGCGTCATCATAACCATCCTCTGGATCTGTGGGCACCGGTGGTCTAGTAGGTCTTGGAGGCATCGGAGGTGGTCCACCAGCTTCCTGGCAAGGCCGACTTGGCTTGGAAGGTGCAATTGTCGGCTGAATACGTCCACTTTCAGCCATGGCATCCAGAAGCGCCTGGGGCGGAGAGATTCCAGAGTAAACTTTGACAGGCATGCGCAACGGGAGTACGATGAGTTGGGGCTTATGCAGTTAGTGGAGGCGCATAATACAAGGACGGGGCTCGAGCGTACTTTCATATTTCCGACAGTGCCATGGCTCAAGCCAACACGCACCTCTAGCTCATATGTCCTAGAGACATTACAAGTCTCGAAATTCGGTGCCACCGAACTGGGGAGAGGTATGTGGCTCCACATACTAGCATCTAAAGTCCATTCAGTGCCAACTGGATCACCTCCCCTCCCAAGTGGAATGGCCATGTTACTGCGGCTGAAGATAACCCAAGTATTGTTCTCGGACCGTCTTAAATCATGAGCAAGAATGTTGGTATACCCGATTAACTCAATTTGCAGTGTCTGTAAGAAGATCGTTTCATATGATTCCGAAGATTTACTGACAATGATCCGCAGCGGAATGGGTTCGTTGCAGGTGAGGATCGAGGGATTTGGTAGTCTGATGTCCGCGGATACACGAGGCGAGTCACCGGTGGTATCTCGTAGGGAGGAACTGGAAGCCTTTTGAAACAAGCTCTTCATCTTTGATGAAGTAGGGGCTTTAGCAAACTGGTGTTGACGCCGTGCGTATGTTTCCTCGCTCGGATTGCCGGTCCTTGGTGGTTCAATGGGGAGAAAGTTTATGTTGGTAATCTATAAAGTTAGCTATTTGACCCAATGATATTACGTATAGGTTCACATTGGGGATTTATTCAGGATGGCAATATAGTTGTCATCCATCCGTGAGCATGAGCATACCGTCCGGATATTTTCTTTATAGAATTGTGGTCTGACAACTGTCGCTTTCACATAATATTTAATATCTGCCATTCCTGGAAAGCCACTCAGCGACGGGGGCAATGTTTTCTTCACATGTCGATGTGTATCCCGAGCTACCTCGACTTTGAGGCCCGTAATGTTCAGATTGGTGAGCATGCTATTCTGAAAGCTACACGAATTGTTGAAAGGAAACTGAGCTAAAATTAGCGGATGGCTCCATAGTAAGACAACTTTACTTCCTAGTATACCTTGAACTGAAACGGATATTCATATGTTCCAGCAGCGAAAGTCCAAACGGTGTTTGGAGTACTCTTGTTGAAGACAGCCGGCGTCGGGAAGAGGTTTACAACCTTATATAAAATCTACCGGACACATCAGTAACGGTGACCACAAAAGAAAACAGAAACAAGGGAAGAAGGGGGACGAAGAGGGCCGCACTTTGTGAACCTCAATTTCGGTGCGCTTCTTATCAGACTGCTCATGGTGCGGATTTCGCGGTCCAGAAAGACGGGTGCGACTTTCTCCTTCCAATTTGACTTGGATACCACTGATTTGAGTCTCCGAAGTCAAAGTCACCACAACCTTACCGGTGAGGAAATCGAGGTTGGTGAAGTGTGTGTGTGGACTTTCGATGTGAAGAGTTGCAGACATTGCGGAAAACACCTTGACTGCACGAGCCCCCACCTTCCAATCAACTGTTTAAGTAGGTTCTGTGCTCGAATATGTAAACTAAGATACTTCAGTGCGTCACCGATCGACTCTATGAAGGTCGACTAGAGATTGTTTGGTCGATTGTGGGTCAAAGAATAGAAATGAAGTTGGGGCGGAAATCCGGCAAGCCCTACGAGATATACGGGGGGGATCGCTGAATGACGTTGAACGCCAGGGACAACAGCAGCAGTGGGGCAATGGTTCGCGAAAGTCTCGGCGCGGGAACTGCTGAGGAAAACAAAAAGAGAGAGAGAGGGAAAAGAAGGGGTGGACCCAGATCGGTCTTATTTAGATCGGTACCTCTTAGATCATACGGTATATTTGATAGTATCTACTCCGTACTCTCCGTACTGAATATCTAGTACCTCCTGTCCCTTAGAGTGAAAGTGATTGACTGCCAATGGATCGTCCAAAGGGTCTGGCCCATTCATTGTTTGCCGACCGCGGTCTAAGCCACCCTCACAACTTGAAGTCGCACCGCCACCTTCCGTGATTTTTTTTAGTGGATGCTTGACACGAGCATGAGCCATATGTGATGATTAACATTTCATATCTCCGATTGGGTATTGAGCTTATTAATACAAAATCGGTAACTTACACTATACGACTGGTATATACTCTAGGCACCAATATTCTCAATGACAATTACATCAAAGGCCCTCCTTAGCAAGCATGTCTTGGGTAGAACCGTCAGCTTCAGATGACCCAAAGTATGCTGAACCAGTTGTTACATACCTGCAATGGCAAGGTAGAATGCGATGGCGTTGAACCTAAACCCCGAGTACGAAACGTTAGTTACCTCAACTGACGAAGTATTGCCATGAGCGGACCTTCGTCGGTTCCCTGTGATATCACCAACCAGCCACTTCAACCTGTTGGTCCAATTAATCAGGTCCAAGTGGCTCACGCCCATGAGGGTGCCTTTGTAACTATCGTCTCCTCCCCACCTGCTACTGGCAACGCTCACTAGCCCGTCATTATGGCCTTCGACCTGTTCAAGGTACCTATGGGATAGACGAAAGATAGACCACAGGCTTGGCTGCATAGATGCCCCATAGGAAAAGTATCTGCAACGACTCAGCCTTACGCTAACCTACGAAAATGAGGGACACATACCGGACACTTTTAACATCAGGGGTCGTAGGATTGAATGTCTTTTCCATGTACTCCTGTGTCAACTGAGAGAATGCATCGGTCTCGCACTTCATTTGTTCGAGAGCGTAATATAACTGAGCAAGACGCTCATCTATGCAGTAATAACATAAGCTTCTTCCCCTTACGATGAACGAGCCCTCAAACAAACTAACCACCGATCTGGTGAAGAATGTAGTCTGCGACCGCCGAGCCTATAGGCGGGTTAGCCAGATCTTTCTCTTCATGATGCTCAAGTTGCAACTAACCTCGGTGAGGAGTCGCAATGGTCGTCAGGGATAGGACTTTGAAGTCCTTCGGCCGCAGATGACTGATCATATATCGGGAATCAAGCCCGCTAGGACGTATATCAGTTGAACTATTCTGAAAGGGTCATTCCGGTTTGGCCTTGAAGATCTTACCCCTAAAGACGCGTGAAATCAGCAAACCCTCTTTAAGCATTAGTAGGATTCATTTACCATGCTATGGCTGCCTGGATTAGCTTAAAAAGCAACGAATGAAGCAAGCGGAAATACAACATACGCAATAATGTTAACAGCCTTCCCCCGAGCGCCAGCAGCAATATCTCTTGCTAGTTCCTCGGCCCGTGCTTCAATAGATCCTGAAGGGGGTACCGTAGCGGTAATGACTTCGATCCCTTTCACTGAAAGTGCTTCCTTAATGCCACGCCAGTATTGAACACCGGGGAAGTAAGGGCCAGCAAGGCGCAGTTCATCGAACCCAAGAAGCCCATGCGCCAGGATAATGGTATGCTTTGGGGTGGCTACATCAATAGATTTTAGCGTATCGAACCACAAATATGGAGGTTTTGTGTGTGAGTGACGACCACTGACCATAATTATCCCGAATCACCGCATATTCATCTTCAATGACTTTCCCCAGCTCTTCTAACCGTGGGTCAGATGTATGCGGTCCCGTGTCCTCATGGGAGTAGTATCTACAGGTTAGTGAGTGAAACCCTCGTGGAGTTCGAGGATTAAATTGAGGGTACTGACAGATGCGCTTACGGTTAAATAACCTGGTATTTGCGCGCAGAGTAGCGACGGCGTATCTCATTCTTTTTTTTCCTGACTGTTGTCGGGGGTTAAAGACTGACCTGATAATCTGTTATCGCGGTGCGGGATGATGTAATGGCTACTATTGTATGCCTCAGGCCAAATACTCCGGGAATGGATATGTTTGAATAGAAGCATAACACAAGTGACGTATGCGTGAGGCCTGAAAAGCTACATTACATGTATGGGAGCCTTCTGTATTTGGCTGTTGATGAGTAAGATACTGCCAAAGGGCCTAGAATACTCGAAAACTGCCTACCTACGAGTATTGGCTTGAGGGAGTAATGTAAGCATGGGACTGCCGGTTGTACAGTTAGATGCCTATAACTTTGATTCGCTTGCCTTTTTTAATATGGGATCTGCTATGCGGGTAGATCCGTCTGAGCTTAATGGCATTTGAAGAAACAGCTCATCTATATAGAGTCGCGACCTAGGTCTTGCCTCAGGCTGAAGTAGGCGCTGTCCAGCGTTGTAACATCTGCTGGAGCTGGCTTGGATGAAATTAGACACGGTTGAACCAAAGCAATGGAACAGACGCTATATTCACATCATTTAAAACAGTAAGCCCAAATAAATATATCCCCTTAGCGCTGCTAGAGAGATCCCATTACTGCAGTTCTATGCTTGGCTAACAATCTTCTCTGAGGCTTCAGGCTTCACATCGGTCAGGGCAGTGATAAGGTCTTCGACAACCTTAGCGCCCTTGCTGTTTCCGGCTTCTTTGATTTCCTGCAGTTTCACTTCCGCCTCCTTATTCGCATCCTCTTCGGCCTTCTTGTATCCGCTCGAGTGCTAATGTCCAGGAACCAATGTAGTTAGCTATTTGGATCCTATAGACATCTACCTCGTACCAAATACAACCAAGGCTCAATTTAAAGAGTCAAGCTCACCTCAGCCTCGAATTTCTTGAATTCTTGTTCCTTCTGGTTTCTGTATTCTTCGATTTCCTTTTGCGCCTCTGACTTCGCGTCCCTTATGCGCTTTGTGCGGTCTTAAAGATAAACGTCAGGTCTGCTCCTCTTATGCTAAGAGGGTAAGAGGGAAGTCATACATTCTCTAGCTAAACAATGCAACACATCAGTATACGTATGCGGATGAGTTATGTAATATAGCTTATATCAAAGAAACGCACCTTGCTGGACAATTTTTTGAGCCTCTCTCTCAGCCTATACCTGCAATAAGTTGTGGAACTCTTTGACATATACCATGGTAGTATGACCTACATCGAGGAGGGTCTGAATGCCTGCGGAGTTCTGAGCGGACTATAACGTATTGTTAGCACTACTGACAGTCAGAAACGCGGAGTGTTGTGGTGCTCACCATGTTTGCTTATATATGCTCTCAACTGACGGTGACAATGTACAAAAGAAGTCCAGGACTTGGGGCACAGTGCAGATAAGGCGGAGCCGTGGAATGCGCCCGATGATCTCCCCGACGCCACGGTCAACTGTAGGCGGTCTGCATTCTGCCACTAAACACCGCCACAGTGATGATGATCACCGATAATTCGATGCAGGTTCTGGACCATGCCAAAAGTTCTTCTGAATCGTGTTGCCTGCCAATTTTTTCAATATTGTTTTGTGAATTACTCACAATTAGAAACCTACGCAATGTCTCGTGCCTCTAAGCTGACATTGGCCGCTACCGGCTTGGGTGCCGCGGGAATCATCTGCTTTGTACACTGGGCACAAGAACAAGACAAAGCTGTATGTCCCTTGCTCTAGAATGTATACGGACGCTAACTACTGATTTCTCTTCAAGTCAATGCATAAAGGGGTCGAGCGTGATATGGAGAAGCAACGTATTCGACAAGAACGGCAAGCTGAGTTCGAGCTTCAGCGAAGGCTTGAAGAAGAATATAGGAAACTACAGGCGGTCTCTCCAAGCATAGAAGAGCAAAGCGGAGGAGTGACGAACCAAGGGGGAGGAGTATAGAGTTGAAAAGTATAAAGGATATGTTAGTCCATGTTTGATGACATGCTCGAGGCTTGAGGCTCGAGGCTCTCATCTGGTGAGTCTACATTCTTCGGAGAACAACTGTGTTAAGGAGGAACTATCAAACATAGGTAAACTGATACAACGTTAGGTGACTAGCACTTGTATTATATACCAAAATGTACAGTATAGCATTGAAACCCTGCTCTTATTCACCCACCCGCACTCTGAATTACATTGATAA